GGAGGAGGAGGAGGAGGAGGAGGAGCTGGAAAACGTATGGAACTGCCATGTCCGACTTTTCACAATCGACTGCGCTGCTAATTGCACTCTAAGCTTCTCAAATGGCTTCGAAGTAATGGGGATAGATGTCCCACTCCTCACAATATACATGTAAGTTTCGCCTACCGACCGAGCTTATTCTGATGACGGAATGGAGTTGCTTGTGTAAGTTTACTCTCGCTCCTTCCTCATCTGTGGCCTTAGAGTGCCAAGAACAAACAAGGGACTTCCCGTGAAGCATGTAATGGCCACTTTCTTTCCGAAGACCACCCAACGACACCACTACATGAAGTCTTAGGCATGGCACCTCTCCAGGCCGCCACTTCCGCCGGCGCCGACACGATGTCAACGACGGTATCTGGAGATACTCCTGCGACCACGAATCCAGTCAAAGCGGAATCGAAGCGCCTACTCAAACAAGTCTGGTCCGCCGCGAATTTGGAAGACGCCACGAACATCGCCTCGCGCTCAGTCGAGCTGTACGATGGCAAAGGTCTCCACGTTCTCTCCGCCGCCAACGCCGTTGCATCCTTCCCCGGAGGTTTGCGTGCCGCAGTCGACATGCTGCTCATAGAGATAATCCCCAAGATTGTCCAGCGCGAGGGGCTTGATAATCAGGTATGTACCAGCACACCCTTCTGCTTCAGGCTCAAGCTCACACTCCAGCAGGCATTCTGGAAGTCAATCCGTCGGTCCAAGGGCAGTTTTGCGCGGCAGTTCAAGCTCATCGATAAGACTCTCTACTGCATGGTGCGTGTGCATTCAGACAAGAGCTACAAATCTGGGCGACGAATGCGCCCCAGCCCCTTCGAGATATTCGACCGCACGACCGCAGCATGGGAATGTCTACTCAAGCACGTCCGACACAACTACATCAAGGCGAAATATCTCAAAGCAAGCCAGCCGCGCATCTTTCCGATTTCCCGAGCCAACCTTGTTTGGCTTCGCAGATTCCATGTGGCCGACATCACAGCGTTCAAAGTCGCAGGACATTGGCTTCCGCAAGAGCTGGTGGACATGGTGGCGAGGGAGACTTATCAAGTAGGCTTCTCGGCTGAAACGATCAAGCGCATTTTTGGTCCGTTGCAACATAGTACATTTTTCGGCGTCCATCAAACTGCAGCGACGGTTGCTCTACTCCGAGCATACAATAACTGGTTTTGGTGCGCGGAGGATGTGGAAACCGTTCAGGGAGGTACCACACGCGTGGGTCGCCATGCACTCACAGAGACGGCGAACGGCGAGTGGCTCGTGAATGGATCATAAAACTCGAGCGCCATTGCCTTCGAGGAATTCTAGTGCTCGCCTGCAGAGGAAGGTCAAGGGTTAGCAATGCAAACGATCCACGAGAGTGGCTTACTAGCATGTGAAGAGAGGTGATCCGCATACGCGTCTTCCGAATGTACATAATGGCTCATTGGTGCCACTCTCATCTTCCCACTCACAGTGAAATGCATGGTGCGCATGTTATCGTTCCATCAGCCCAGCAGAGCCTGACTCTCCCGACTCCCACCACCCCCAGCGCCCTCCACCGCATGCAACACAAGATACTCCCCCACAGCAACAATCCCATTATTAACCGCCACCCACCCAACATGCGGATACCACTCCTTAACCACCCACAACCCATCCTCATACCACAAATCCCTCGGCATCGTAAACCTCGCCGGCCACGACACCGCCAAAGCCAAGAACGTGAGCGCCTGCAGCGTAAGGGAAGTGGAATTCAGGGAAGTGGGATTTCCAGGGGAGGGTTTCTTGGTCTTGCGGATCTGGAGGATGAAGGACGTCGCTGTGGCGGCGGTGATGAGGGGGTTGATGCAGATGTTGTTGAGGACGAGGGTGAACACGAAGGCGAGGTCGAGCCAGTCGGTTGTGGGGATGGGCATGATGTATGCCCAAGCGATCGAAAAGCCGGCGTGGAGGAGGATGAGAGCGAGGGAGATTCTAGCTGAGCTTTTTGTAGCAGTGGGAGATGGCGTTGCGGAGTCGGGGTGGCGATTGTTAGTACTATCTGATCGTGATGCGAACGTCAGGACGAGGATGAACCTACTCGTTGTTAGATCAGACAACATTACGCGCCCAAGAGCATTGATGAATGGTGAACTCACTGCACCAACGAGCAACCCCACTGCACCAGCACTTGTGCGAGATTGACCCAGTCGCGAAGCGTGGGTGGGTTCGAGATGATGGATCCGTATTGCTTTGAGGGTGGACATAGGAACAGATAGTACATGGTCACGATTTGTGCTTGGGCGGATAAAGCCAGGAGGAGAGTCGCTGGGAGGGAGATCTCGGTGGTTGTCCGTGAGGTGAGGAGCTTATCCCATTGCGGGAGGTACGATAGGATGGTAAGTGGTATGAGCACGCTGGATATTGCGTTAGTCCGTTGGTAATTCTGATCAAGATACGTTTCGTTCTGACTTACATGCTGAACACGTCTAGGGATGCGACCATGACGGCCTGGGTGTTGGTGCGTAGAGATCAAAGTGAAGTCTTGACTTTGATACGGCGGACAGAAACATTGAGAGATGTCTTCATGTGGCAGCCTGGAAAGACTTGGCTTCTTTCAGCTCATCCCTGCGTAGACCAAATCAGGAGCTCGCTATATTTCGGCCCCCAAAATAGGGCGAATGATTGTCTCTGTACAGCCTATTAACGTTGCAGTCGTCGTGGGAATCGTAATAGCACAGCCGCTTGGACTTGATGCAGGCGGCACGATGGGAGCGAAAAGTGTTGCATTCTCGGAGCCTGTATAATGTCGAGACCTCTCTATTCTTGTCTGTGCTTCGATTGAAGTACCACCATAGCTTCTGTTATGTCGTCGAGCGACGTCTCGTGAGACGTGACATGTGAGTCGACGTCCGGCTTTACTTCTTCCGCCTTGACGCTTGAGGGGACATTGGCAACGACCTTGACCCCAACAATTGGCATCTCCCGACCCCTCATTCATCGACCGCGGCGGAGAAACTCATCGACTCGATGGACGTTCTTCTTCGCGGTCTTGGCATGCCTTTTTAACCGTGGTGATCTGCAAGGATGCAGCTTGCAAGCGAAGCGAGCAGAGTAAATATACCTGAAGCAAGCAGGGTACGCATCGATTCATTGGTGGCTTATCTTTGCAAGGTCCTTTTCCTATGAAGTCAATTTCGAGGTACTTTGTTGTAGGTACTAGGTACCTGGGCCTTGGGGTGGTGTTTCAGACAGTAGTTGTATAAAAAGATGTCTGTCCTTCATGGAATTGAGATCGAGTTCTCACTGTCGCGCCCTCTACCGTGTCAGGTCATTCTTAAGGAGTCCTCAAGATGCTGGCCAATCTTGCTCTTGTGGCTTTGAGTGCCTTCACTGTTGGAGCATATGGATACTCGAATCCCGAAGCGTGCTCCGGAACATGCACCAACACGCACGATCCATCTGTCATCCAGCGCAGCGATGGGACGTACTTCCGCTTCTCGACCGGAGGACTGGTTCAAATCCATACTGCACCAGCGATTTCTGGACCATGGACTTTCGCATGCGAAATGCTGTCTGGCAGCTCTAAATTGACAGTCGGCACCAACGCCGGTACGGATCTCTGGGCTCCTGATGTCAGTCTCGTAGGCGATACGTATTATGTCTATTACACCGTCAGCTCTTTCGGGACTCAAAACAGCGCCATCGGCCTTGCGACCTCAAGCGATATGAGTTGCGGTAGCTTCGCTGACCAAGGAGGCATCGGAATCTCGTCTTCATCTTCGAAGCCGTACAACGCCATCGACGCGAACTTACTCAACGATGGAGGCGTGTACAGGATGCAATTCGGGTCTTTCTGGAACAACCTTTACCAAGTCACCATGGAAAGTCCACCGACCAGTCCTTCGGGCAGTTCGGTCCAGCTTTCGTACGATCGCGCCGGAACGCATCCTGAGGAGGCCGCTTTCTTGATCAAGAATGGGAATTACTACTACCTCTTCTATTCGTGGGGCATCTGCTGCGGGTATGATGCGACTAGGCCTGCCGCGGGCCAAGAGTATAGGATCAAGGTGTGCCGGTCGGAGAGTGCGACTGGTGGATTCGTAAGTCCATTCACCCATGACTCCTGAAATGAGGCTGATAGATTCCTAGGTCGACGCAGATGGGACGAGCTGTCTCCAAGGAGGCGGCACGGTCGTGCTGGAGTCTCATGACAAGGTCTATGGGCCCGGAGGACAGTTCGTATACGATGATCCCGTGAACGGCTGGATTTTGGGGTATCATTATGTCGACACCACGATTGGGTACGCTGATGGAGATAAGCGTTTTGGTTGGAACGTTATCGATTTCAGCAGTGGATGGCCGGTAGTTTGATGGATGCAGGCGGAATGCCGTATCGTGAGAAAGATTCAGATTCTGCTATAGTTATTCATCTGCAATTCTGATATTCTTGATCCTGAAGCCCATTGCTCAGGTCCAGAGCTGCCGATGGCTTGAAAGTCAGGCATTTTTGCTATCCTCGTCCTCATCGTTCCGGTAGAAGTGAGACGCATGGAGTCTCTCCACTGTCAGAACGGCGGCAGCGCCTCTGTTCACCCTTCAAGGGGGCCAGCTAACTTGAGGGTGATGGGATGAATGTCAAGCTAGGGGATGGTCGCAGGCTCGGTCGCTATAGGCAGCATCCGTCCAATAGGAAGTTCGGTATCTCGAGTTTCGCCATCGATGCGCCCACGTAGCACGAGAGTGACGACGTTGGCTGGCGATTGATCCTGGTCGTGGAGTGAGAGTTGTTCGATTCATCACTCTCACGCGCCGGCAGAAAAATGACGTAGCGTGGAACTAGCGCGAAGCTTCCAGGCTGTTTCCATTTTGGGCCGTGAAACCACTGGCAGGCGCGAGCACCGTCGAGTCAGTTCCAAGAATCGGTGCATGCAAGTACATATCCTGTAACACTCTCCCACTCTCTGCATTCTTTCTTCACATCACAAACTCAATCCACAGAGAGTCGACACACCCGACAAGTGCTCGAGAGAGCCTTCACATCGCTTCGTTTCTTTCTACACCCCGCCTTTCCTACCACACTTCACCGCAATCATGGCATCCGGAATGCAGTTCACCGACAAGGCCACTCAGGCTCTGTCCGATGCCCAAGATATCGCACAGCAGCATGCTCATTCGCAAATGCTGCCCATCCACCTGGCTGTGGCTCTGATTGACCCACTGCCGGACCAGTCTAAGGACCAACAGAACAACTCGGCACACCCTTCACACGCCGCGACCTCAGCGCCACTATTCAAGCAGGTCGTGGAGCGAGCACACGGCGACCCACAACTACTCGAGCGAGCACTGAACAGAGTACTCGTTCGCACGCCGTCACAAGATCCCCCACCAGAACAGGTCTCCGTTTCCCCTGCCTTTTCCAAGATCCTCCGCAGCGCGAACGAACTATCGAAGACGCAAAAAGACACCTACATCGCCGTGGACCACCTCATCCAATGTCTCGTTCAGGACTCGGCGATCCAGAAAGCCCTTGCAGAGGCCAATGTCCCGAACCCCAAACTCATCGACCAAGCCGTACAACAAATCCGTGGCACGAAGAGAGTCGACAGCAAGACGGCAGACGCTGAGGAGGAGAATGAGAACTTGAAGAAATTCACCATCGACATGACGGCCATGGCAAGAGAAGGCAAGATCGATCCTGTCATTGGTCGTGAAGAGGAGATTAGGCGAGTCATCAGAATCTTGTCGAGACGGACGAAGAACAACCCCGTCTTGATTGGTGAGCCTGGTGTCGGTAAGACAACTGTCGTCGAAGGTTTGGCTCGCCGAATCGTAGACGCAGATGTCCCGGCAGGTCTTGCAGCATGTAAGCTCCTCTCCCTCGATGTCGGTGCTCTCGTTGCTGGTTCGAAATACCGCGGCGAGTTCGAAGAGCGTATGAAGGGTGTCTTGAAGGAGATTGAAGACAGCAAGGAGATGATTGTCCTTTTCGTGGACGAGATCCATCTTCTCATGGGCGCTGGCAGCTCAGGCGAGGGCGGCATGGACGCTGCCAACTTGCTCAAGCCAATGCTGGCACGTGGACAGCTGCACTGCATTGGTGCCACTACCCTGAGCGAATACCGCAAGTACATTGAAAAGGACCAAGCCTTTGAGCGACGTTTCCAACAGGTCCTCGTCAAGGAGCCATCTGTTTCGGAGACGGTCTCTATCTTGCGAGGGCTGAAAGAGAAGTACGAAGTCCACCACGGAGTCACCATTCTCGATGGCGCCATCGTCTCTGCTGCCACTTTGGCCGCCCGATACCTCACCCAGCGACGTTTGCCTGACTCTGCTGTCGACCTGATCGATGAGGCAGCAGCGGCAGTGCGCGTTGCTCGCGAGTCTCAACCTGAAATCCTCGACAACATGGAGCGGAAACTGCGCCAGCTCGAGATTGAGATCCACGCCCTCGACCGTGAGAAGGATGATGCATCTCAAGCACGTCTGCGCGAAGCACGCGCCGAAAAGGCAAACATTGAGGAGGAACTCAAACCGTTGAGAGAGAAGTATGAGAGCGAGAAGGAGAGATCGAAGGAGATCCAAGAACAAAAGATCAAACTCGAGTCACTCCGCAACAAGCAACTTGAAGCTGAGCGCGGCCGAGACTTGCAGACCGCCTCCGACCTCAAGTACTACGCTATCCCCAATGTTGAATCTCGAATTGAGGAATTGGAGCGCGCCAAAGCTCAAGCCGACAAGGAGGAAGCTGCTAGGAACGCCGCCACCGGCGAGCACTCTTTGGTGGCTGATGCAGTCGGACCGGACCAGATCAACGAGATTGTCGCTCGCTGGACCGGTATTCCAGTCACCCGCCTAAAGACCACTGAAAAGGAGAAGTTGCTGCAGATGGAGAAGGTACTTGGCGTCCAAGTCGTCGGTCAGAAGGAAGCTGTTACATCTGTTGCGAATGCAATCAGATTACAGCGGTCTGGCCTTGCCAATCCTGGACAACCGCCATCGTTCCTCTTCTGTGGTCCATCAGGTACTGGTAAGACGCTTTTGACAAAGGCGCTCGCCGAATTCCTGTTCGATGATCCAAAGGCCATGATCCGCTTCGACATGTCAGAATACCAAGAGCGTCACTCACTGTCACGAATGATTGGCGCACCACCTGGGTATGTGGGTCACGATGCTGGTGGCCAGCTGACCGAAGCGCTTCGCCGCCGTCCATTCAGCATTCTGCTCTTCGACGAAGTTGAGAAGGCCGCTAAAGAAGTCCTGACCGTCCTTTTGCAGCTCATGGACGATGGTCGTATCACCGACGGTCAAGGCCGTGTCGTCGATGCAAAGAACTGCATTGTTGTCATGACGTCCAACTTGGGTGCCGAATACCTCGCCCGGCCTAACGCTCCGGATGGTAAGATCGACCCAACGACCAAGGAACTCGTCATGACGGCACTTCGCAACTACTTCCTGCCCGAATTCCTCAACCGTATCAACAGCATCGTCATCTTCAACCGGCTCTCGAAGAAGGAGATTCGCAAGATTGTCGATGTTCGGTTGGACGAAGTTCAGAAGCGACTCAACGGCAACGGACGAAACGTCAGGATTGAGCTCAGCGACGAAGTCAAAGACTACCTGGGCTCGGCTGGCTACTCACCCGCCTACGGTGCACGCCCACTGGCTCGTCTCATCGAGAAGGAAGTGCTCAACCGGCTGGCTGTCCTCATCCTTAGAGGCTCTGTCCGCGATGGCGAGACTGCCCGCGTGGAGATTGAAGACGGCCACATCGTGGTCCTTCCAAACCACGGCGAGAGCGACATGGATGACGATGAGGAGATGTGGGATGAAGATGATGCCGTTGAAGAACTGAACGCCGATGGAGGCGACATGGACCTCTACGACGAGTAAATATAGGAGGATGAATGATTGAATGAGCAAAGATGAACTCAACAGCGTTCAAGCGAGTCTTTGAGGCGTTTTGATGGACACGAGACATGGGAATACGGGATAAGGGATACGGATAATCATGGAATGGATGCATGACTGACTCCTGGGTATACATAGACTTAGTGAATGAATGAAAGAAATATTCAAAATCAAGATAGCTCTCTTCTTCATATTTCTCGTAGTGGTGAGGTTAGCGAAAGCGTATCTTGGCGAACGATTCAACGTTGAAAAGACAGACTTGCGCAATTGCCCGCGATGCGAAGGTGTAGGCGATGCTATTTTTGAGCCAAGGACGGGATACGAGGGTCGGCAACGAATCACAGGGATGCCACGGCGGGACCTTGCAGTTGGCGGGAAGGCGCGATGGAGGTTGCCGAGGTGGGCGAGTGGGCGAGGCGAGCGACAGAGGCCACCGTCTGGCCTGCTCGTTCTGGTGTGGTGCGCTCTGGCTGACGACAGCAATGAGCCACGATTGAACACTCGACTCTTTGGAGAAGGAGTATTCTTTACGGGAACGGCAGCAGAGATTTCTGGCGGCATCGCATGTGGATAAGCTTTGAGTGTACGAAGAGCGGACCCTGATTATTGAGGCTTCTGGAAAAAGGACAGCTCTTCTCACGCACGCATACCGCACTCCTCACCTCACCTCACCTGTCGATCCACTCCTCATCCCTGGACTCGCCGCACCACCCCCTCTACACCCACCACCGCACCTACGACCCTGCACGTCGCATCGCATCGCACAAAGACGACTCCGCGCATTCGAACCATTCCGCCTGTCCCGGACCATGATCGCGCAATAGTCTCGACTCCCCTCCCACGCACGTGTCCACCCCCGAACAACCCACCACCACACGCGCGCACACCAATACTCGTATATAAAGAACCATGGTCATCGAAGACAAGTACATCGGCCTCGCCCTCGCCGTCACATCCACCCTCGGCATCGGCGCATCCTTTGTCATCACTAAAAAGGGCCTCAACGCTGCCGCCGAGCGCCACGGCTTCGAGGGCGATGGCTTCGCATACCTGCGCAACCCCATCTGGTGGGGCGGCATCGTGACCATGGTCGTCGGCGAGGTCTGCAACTTCTCCGCATACGCCTTCGCGCCCGCGATCCTCGTTACGCCCTTGGGCGCGCTGAGCGTGCTGATCGGCGCCGTGCTAGGGAGTTATTTTCTAGGGGAGCGGTTGGGGATATTGGGAAGGGTCGGGTGTGCGATTTGTTTTATCGGGAGTGTGGTGATTGTGCTGCATGCGCCGCCGGACCAGGAGTTGGCGAACATTGATGAGCTGTTGCATTATGCGTTGCAGTGGGGTATGTGCTACAATACTACGATCTGGGCGGCAGATTGAGCGATATGGGTGGAAATGCTGACAGTTTTGCGCGGACAGGCTTCTTAACGTATTGCACGATTGTGACGGCGTTCGCGGTGGTTATGATCTATAAGATTGCGCCGGTGTACGGGAAGAAGAACCCGATGGTCTATCTCAGCATCTGCTCCAGCGTGGGCAGTATATCGATTATGGCGATCAAGGGGTTTGGGATTGCGGTCAAGCTGACGCTGGGCGGGAACAACCAATTCAGCCACCCTTCGACGTATGTCTTTGGGATTGTGGTGATTGTCTGCATTCTGACGCAGATGAACTATTTCAACAAGGCGTTGAGTCAGTTCAGCACGAACATGTACGCGGAAATCCACCCTTCAAAGCGCAACATGCTAAACTTTCGACAGTGTCAACCCGCTCTACTACGTCACCTTCACGACCTGCACGATTGTGGCCTCCTTCATCCTCTTCCGCGGCTTCAACACCACCGACCCGATCAATACCATTTCCCTCCTCTGCGGCTTCCTCACAATCTTCACCGGCGTCTACCTCCTAAACTTATCAAGAGAAGACCCAGACGGCGGCCACCTCGGAATCCGCCAAGGCGAGGACTCCCTGGGAGAATACCACGAAGTCGACGGCATCCCCACCGACGGCCTCACCGGCCTCCAAACCCGCCTCAGCATCCAAGCGCGCCGAAGCGGCGAAGACCACCGCCGCAGCGAAAGCTGGAGCCTCCGAAGTCCCGTGACAGGACGCTGGAACGAAAACCCCAATGCAACAGGAGGAGGGGGAGGAGGAGTCGGCCGCCGAAGTCGAGACGTCTCGGCGCAAAACCTCATGCATTCCTACGACGTCGAAGCGAACTCGCTACACCACCTCGTGGAAGACGACGACGACTACGACGAAGACGACGAATCGGGCGGATCGTCGAATCAGAAACGCACGAGTTTCGACGACGGGACCGGGCGGAGGGTGACGATGAATGGGAACGCGAATAACAACAGCAAAAACGAAAGTTCTTCGTTTGGGCCCCCGCGGCGGAGTCGCACGGTGGATTCGCAGACCGTGGACGCGAGTAAAGGGAAAGGGTTTGATGCGAAGAAAGCGAAACGGTGAGATTAAACTCAAGAAGAGAGTGATTTGGTTGGGCATAAATGTACAGGGCGTTTGTGTGGGTTTTAGGAGCAAAGCATAGGGCGGGTTTTTTGGCGGGGCCAAATGTCCAAGCATTTTCTGCCTTTTGGGGATTGATTGAAACGCCTTTGTACGAAACTTCGAAGGGGAAAAGGGCAAAATCCACTTTGCGCAGGCGTTTTTTTGGAGGAGAGGAGGGGTTGGACTATGGTCTGCCTATTCCTTTTGGGGAGGAGGTTCTTGTTGTTTGTTCTAGTCGATGATGGGATTGAGGTGAAGTGAGGTATTATCTGAATCTCTGAATCTCACATATCAGATCTCACCTGCAATATTCAATCTGCAATCTCAATCGATCAAGCCAACCTGCCTGAGTCTTTCGAGACTGTGAGAAATCCTTCTGTATCTGGTGGGCGTGAAATGGAGAAGAGCAAGAAAACCAAGGGGGAAAAAGGGAGGGCAAGAATAGAAAGGTATACTCAACGTGTCCCATGCATATTGGATCGATTGATTGACTGACTGATCGGGACTTGTTGTTTCATTGTTAGAATCATATATCTTCTTCCCTTTCCCCCTTCTTCTCCAACTTCACCTCCTCCCTTCCCCCCTTCCCCTCCCTCTCTTCGCCAGTTCCATATTCATAAGAGACATCTATCTACTGTTATCGTCTTGGTCGTATATTTCCTCCCTTCCTTCCCTCCCGTCTGTCCCTTCGCCTTTCGCCTGATAATTAGCTCCAAAAAAGCTAGGCTGTACAAAAGTATGATATGATATGGTAATGGTGCTTCTCCCGCACAAATAAGAAACGCCATCGCCTCGCTCAGTGTCGCTCAATTGCTCGCTCGCTCGCTGGTTGCGCTGCACATCCAAATCAATCGAATTCCAGAAACAGAAAACAGTAGTGGTATCGTCTCGCCGCTCCCAAAACCCAGAACCAAAACAAGAACAAGAAAAGCAGGGCAAACAAAGGAGAAACCAGTCATCACGACCCCAATCCATCATTCCAAGCTAAAAGCCCAACTCCGAAAAGATATCCTCCGCCATACTCCTCCCCTCGCCCTCACCCGCACTAAACACCGCGGGCATCGTCGTCGACGATGACACCCCAAACTCCCCCCCTTCCCTCGCAGAAGATCTCGGCGCGCTGGGGTTCGACGCCGTCTTCGCCAGGGAGTGCTCGCTGGCGGAAGCGATCGTCGGCAGGGAGTAATTTACAAACCCCGGGCTCAACCTCCTGCTGCTCAGGGGGTGTTCGTGGGCGGTCGAGAGGTGGAGGGTCGTTTCAGAGGCCGTGCGGTCGAGGGACCGGAGACGGTCTGCGATGGCGCCGAGGTTGTGGGTGTCGGGTTCGGCGTCCGGGGGCACATGTGTGCTGCCAGCGTAAGAGTTTTGGGCGGAAAGGCGGAAGGGGGTGTTTTCGCCGCCGGTGCTGATGGTGGCGGCGGAGAAGGTGGGGGAGGTCATGTCGATCGAGGCGGTGTAGTCGCCTGGGGTGAGGTTTTCGTCGACATCTTCGGATTCGCGGGGGGAGTAGATGGAAGAGTTGGGTGAGCTCGGTGGGCCATTGTTGTCTTGGTAGTCGCGGATTTCGAGGTTGGGGAGAGAGTACATTCGCGGACGGTGTTGTTCGGGATCTTGGGTGAGGTTGGTACCAGGTCTTGAGCCGTAGAATTGGACGTTTTGTACAGAGTCTGGGCCCAAGCTGATGTCGGATGGCTTCCTCCTGTGTTGCCTTATTGGTTCGTCTGGTATGGGCGGTGGCTCCTGGAAGGGTATAGGCAGCTTGTCCGAGGATTTGAACAATGCTGCACCCAGGACTTCAAGCGATCCGATCGGTGCCGCTCCTAGTACACTGGGGTACGGGAACAGGTCCTTGGCGAAGTCCTTGTGGTCGACTGCAGCATCCTCGGCTTCAGAAGGCGACAACGCACTGACAGGTGCGGAAAGTGCGCTTCGTTGGGAATAGACTGAACTGGCTCGAGAGACATCTCCATTCTTTTTGGAAGCCTTGCTTTGCTTCGAGACAGGCCGGGCTCGCGGTGAGCACGACGATGATATTGGCGAGACAGCGTCCTCGACGACAATGAGTGGCTGTTGATCCCGTTGTAGCCTGCCGTCCAGTGGTTCCTCCGTCCGACATCGTGAGTGCACCTTTGATATTGGTGGAGGAACGACAGGAGCGAGCTTGCTCCCAGGGTCCAAGGTCTGTTGAACTTCATGGTCCACCAGAGTACCAATAATATCTCCGTATGCACTGCGACACCGACTCGGGACTTCCTGGATCTCAATCGGTACGTCAATGACATTGACATTCTGGCCTGGTAAGAGTGGACACGCCGTGGTATGAGGTTGCCTATCGTCAAAGGCATCGATGTCGTAGTTCAGACGGTAGTAATACCAGTAGGTGCCGCCCTGCTTCAGCCCTCCATTGCGCGGCTTGGTCCATTGCATGTGCTCGCCGTCGAAGATGATGTTGTCGAACTTGAAGCATCCCGACCAGAAGCCATGACCACGTCGACGGTCGTGGTGCATTCGATATGGCTGGTTGAAGTTGTCCCAAGACCCGATCAGTTCGACAGTCCTGACTTCTGGCGGAGCGCGGAACAAGAAAGTGACGAGGGTGGTGGGGTCCATGGCGATCCTCAGTCACAATCCTCGAGTCCCGTAGAAGTAGTCTGGTCAACAGCCAACGACGAAGCAAGCGCTACCAGTCCATGATATGTCGTATCGCAACGTAGAGTGGGTGTCGAGCCAGCGGAAAGGGAAGTCGACAATGCCAGAAAGAAGGCAGGGGAGAGCAGGGACAGGGAACAGAAATCAGAGGTTGGGGCGTCAACGTATGGACTGGAGAGAGGCCGGTGGGCTTGTTGTGTAGCGGACGATCAAGCCAACGGCTGCACGAGCTCTTGGTTCCTGGACAACCCACGGACGGATTTGTTGCGCGCAAAGGGCAGATGGCCAACCCGGGCCGAAATAGGTGCTTAAAGGAAACGGCGGGCTGGGAGGGTGGACGAGTGAGCAATAGGTGCGTGCAGGTATAGATTGGGGCGATGGCGCGTGCGAGGGTGGATGGGAAGATCGGGATCTCCCACGCGGACCGGGGTAGGTAGATTGATTGAGTGAGTGAGTGGTGAAAGGGAGGTGGAGGGGATAGGAGATGATGTGTTTTGCTTACACTTGCGGCAAGAGCAAAGCAGAGCGACAAATTGCGCAGTGACGTCGGGACGTCGAGCGTCGAGGCAGGCATTGCTTGCGCCGTCGAGTCCAGAGCAGCAGGGATGGCAGAGACGAGAGGACGAGCAGGGGTGGTGGTCGCTAGAGCGGAGTGGTGCTATCAGAAGGATTCCGATATGTCGCTCGCTGGCTGCATGCGCCGTTGCCGTGCCGCCACACCCTCCTCCCTCCGACAGCCACTCGACCGCGAGCAAGAGGACAAGAACTGGGCCATCCGCGACGCAAACTTGGCCACCGCGTGAGACCTACAGCGCCGAGCGTGCATGAAGGCATGCTGTCCCCCCATCCATCTCCCCCAAGCTCGCGGCTCTCCACCCCATAATCATCATCGTCAAATACAAAGAAAAGCAACAGCCGACGTCGTCAACTCGCGCGTGCGGTTGGCGTCGCAGTGTGGCGGTTGGTTGATCGCTTGCAAGCTTTCGCGGTATGGCGACAACAGAGCGGGGACCCTGGGACTCTTTCGAGTCTGGAGGCAGCTAGTCGCCAACGGTTGGTGGATTGCTTAATCTCGGACCAGACACAACCTTGAACCGACCGTCCAGAAGAGAAAAAGGGCGACAGCAAGAAGACCACACAACCCCATTCGCGCGACGTGATTCGCCCACGCTCATTCCATCCGTGAAAGCAGGAGAAGAAGGAAGCGTCTACTGTAACAATCCTCCTCCATCAAATGCTTCGCTGTTGATCAATCAATTCGTGCAGCAGTAGATTGCCATAGACTGCAGCAGCTTCGCATTCGTTCCAAGCACCTAAGCTCATCACTGCCACCGGCCTATCCTATCGCTCCGCACACGTGTGCGACAAGACTTCAATAACGCGTCCCGAACGGGAGAGATCGACCCACCTGCTTTCCAAACGCGGAGTCCACACTTCTCCAAACCGAAATGATGTCTGTGCGATCCCGGGAGACAGGACGGATCGACTTCCGATATTGATTGTTCTTTATTGCTTTGGACGACCCTCCACTCCGCTCTCACGATGCTTTGAGAAGAGATTCGAATGTGAAGAGAGGAGCGCGCTGTTCCCCAACGCAAGAAATGCACGGCCTGGAAGACTGCCAGAATCCAGCGCAGGCGACCGATGAATCTGCCTACGATATCGTGAGACAAGCGCTTCGCAAAAGCACGCACGACACGACATAATATCGGACGCACCTCTCAAAACCGATTACACAAGCACACGAAAGGATGACGAAAGCCCACCCGAACGCCACAGCGAATGTCTCGAGCACAGAAAGCCAGACATATCGCCTCGTCTAGACGCACTGCAGGAAGCCTTCGCCAAAAACCATCTCAAAGAGTCGAACAGGACATTCGATAAAGAGCAGAAACGAAAGAGGTAGGACATAAACAAGCGTACAAATTGGTCCCCAAGGAGTCATATCGACTATGCTCCGCTACATACATACAACATGCAAAACAATGCCCACCCCAATCAAAAATGCAACTTTTTCCTCATCATCAAACACGGATGAAAGTCATGCTCAACTTCGCCAACATCGGCGAAGTTGGCTCTACCCACCATCTCCCAGAAAAATGCCCAAAAACGAAACCCCGTCAAGCTCAATACTTCATCATACAAACCCCCTTCCACCCCATCACCTACGTCAAAAACCCCCTCGAAGCATTCCTCCCCCTCTCCGTACTAAACGCCTCAATCTTCACCGCCCCCAAAATCACCTCCATCCCACTCTTCCCACTCTGCACCCCGCCGCTCACAGGCTGCATCCTTAACCTCCACTGCGCCTTCCTCAGAATCCACTCCTCACTCCCATCGTCATCGTCATCATCATTCGCGCGCCGTTTCCTCCTCTTGCTCCTGGCAAAATTATCGATATCCATGGACGAACCCCCACCCCCGCCGCCGTCGTCCTCGTCATCTCCGTCCTCATTCCCGCTGACGAACCACTCCTTCCCATCGACCAGCACGTCTGCATCGGGTCCGATGCGGCATTTCACTTTCTCCTCGCTCATGCCCGTATTGCGCGGACTGACCGGTAAGCTGGCGACGCCCGCGCCGCGCTCCATCATCATGAGGCCGAGGGGCTGCGTGACGGGGAGGTTCATCTTGTTCGCGATGACGGAGAAGAGGCTCGTGATGCGCGAGAGCGTCTGTTTGAAGAAGGTCGCGCGGCACATGCGCGCGGCGGAGATGGCGTTGGGGGGCTCGACGGCGAGGAGCGTCGTTTCTTCGCCGGTGATTTCGAGGATCAGGCTGTGTGCTTCGGAGTCGACGTATGGTCTCTGGTAGTAGATCCAGCCGGGGCCCGAGGGCGTGCTGGAGGTGGTGCTGCTGGCGGGGGAGGGCGCGGCGGAGACGGCGCCGGATAGTGTGTTGTCGCTGACGAAGGAGATGCCGGATTGCCGGATGTCTTCGAGGCGGAGGGAGATTTCGGAGCGTTTCCACGCGAGGTTGTAGGAAATGGAGTGCGGGATCAGGCGCTGCTCGAGGCCTTTGAGGTGGAAGTATCGCGCGTCGCGGAGGAGTTCTGCTCGGTGCTGCTCGCTTCGGATTTCGACGGGGTAGCCCTTGAGGACATGCATGAGGTCTGCGAAGGTTTTCGCCGATCGATTTGGGACGCTTGGGGGGAGGATCGTGGGCGGTCGGAGGAGGGATCGTTGGGACAGTCCCGGGAATGCGTCGCCTGGTGTGGTGAGGAACATCGAGAATCCTAGCGAGAAGTAGTTGGGTGAGTCGCCGGGGTTGCTGAAGAGGTCCCGTGGTATTTGGAACTCTTCATCCCCTATTCGGATGTAGATAGTCGATGAGAAGAGCTGTGCGGTGAGTCGCGGTACTGTAAAGTCAGTAAATGTGGTTTTTGTGAGCGTCGAGCATACATACAGCTAAAGAACTGTGCATCCGCAAACAGCTTGACAAAGTGCGGTCCATCCTTGGGCTCGATGTGGTATCCTTGTAAGTGTAGTGCTATGTCTTCGAATGTCGCCGGGTCTCGATCGATGTAAAGCGTGCGAACACTGTCTGCGCCTTCACTCTGCCGTAGTTGCTCTTCAAAGAACTGCGAAAAGTACGAAGGGGCTTTGCACTGTCAGTGAGTAATCTATAACCAGTCTTGGTGAGTGCTACTAACCATCAGATGATATCGACGCTCCAGACAACCTAAACAGCTTATCACCAATCTGGATTGGAAACACTTTACGAGCAGGCAAGACCATAGGAACGCCAGGATCCGTCATGCGACGTGGTCCCGTACCAGGGATAGCACCACCGAAGGGAGGCCGAAGAGACTCTATGTCTATGCTCTGAGGACCTCGTCTGCCTTCCGAAGCCTCGGTCGCTCCTCGTCCCCTAGCACTGGGGCCACTTTGTGAACGAGTGTTGTGCGAGGGAGGTTGAGTATCCGTCGGCGAGGACTCATCCTCACCAGAATCGGACATGGTGGTGCGCGACATACGTTTATCAGCACGACTGGAAACGTTGGGCGATTGTTCTGACGCGGACTTTCTCTTCACACCGAGAAGGCTGACAGGTATGTTGCCGGTAGGACGTCGAGGTACGGCAAAGTCTTGACTATCGATTGATCCGTTTGCTCCTTGAAAGGGCCAGTTCATACCAGAGCCAGGAACGACAGTCGGTATGTTGAACTCTCCTCTTGTAGATCGTTGTTCACGTTGCTCTTGCAGCAGTTCCCCCTGGGGTTCGTAATAGTAGGATGTTGACTCCCCAACGCTATCCAATGGGGTGTCCCAGTCCCAGATGGAAGTTTCTATGGGTCTTCGATTTGAGTTGGAGTTGCCACTGTCTGGTACTTGAAGTGAATCTTCGCGGCCGGTAGAGCTAGCCTTGTTTGCGCGCGCGGTGTTAGGCGGTTTCGAATCCGTCTTGTCTATACTGTCGAGGCCTTCGTCAAGTTCGGCGCCGGATGGGGTTTTGTTTGCAGACGCCATCTGCGCAGACGTCTTGGCCGTCTTAGTATTACCGCTTGCTGCGGTCCTGCTTCCAGAACCATCGTGGTCGAGACGAGTCCCCAGATTTGACGTCTCTATGTCAGCGCGCTCTTCTCCACGAGGAACGTTGCTAGGCATGAGAATGGCAGGCGCTTGAAGTTATGCGTTTCGGGAAAGGCTCCTAGCAGTCCTAGCGCTCGGCATGGGAGCTGTATAATCCCTCTGTAAGCAGGAGAATCAGCCTTAAACTCCGCAACACGTTAGCGCAGCTCTGCATGACCTCACACGGATAGGGGAAAGAGGTAGGTGGCTTCCTTTGAGTAGCAGCTTGGGTAAGGCAGTAATTAGCCGGCCTTTTTGGCCCCCGGTCAGCACCAGCCAGCTCTCGCACTCGGCGAAGTGACTTGCTGTGCTGGCGAGCTGCTGACAACGTACACGAAGCCGAGTTCCGTATGTTTTGGCGGTACTGGCCTGTTGTTTTCTCGGACGATGTCACGGCCGGTACGATGTAGGCAGTCGCAAAAGAAATGTGCTTTTTGTTGAGCTCACTCACCAGGCGCGTCCGATCGAGGCGAGCGGGTGTAGCTCGAATGTTGACCCGACGGAGTTGGTGATGTTCCTGGCAGGTCAAAGTCGTTGGCGGTGCTTGGAAATGCGAGTGGTCGAGCGCGATCTGGTCTTGGGGCTGGCTTTGCTGGAGGTCTTGTTCGGGTGCAGAGTCCAATCTGCCCTACAAGTCGAGGCCAACGGGCCTCAGCCTTATTAACTTCACCACCGCCAAACCGCAATCCGCCACATCGCCCGCGTGTCGACGACGGCACTTGTCGTTGCTCTGGCGGACGGGCGAGCAGATCCGTTGGGTTGTAGCTTGTCAGCACTCTAAGACGTGGTAGTGGCGGAAGAAACGGGATGCGTGGTTCAGCTGGGGAGCAGGCCTCTAGCGACAGCAGCGGCGCCATCCATAGTCTACGCGCGAAGAGGCAACTTCACTACAGGTGAAGCTGAACTTGTGCCGTGGGCTTCTGGATGCGCCCTGCCACTCCCCACGGATGGATCAGGATCAAATTCCCCCAATCCCAATCCTACCGAGTAGCGTGGTCACTACTCTACTCCTTCCTTGACATCAGTTGCTCAGGTAAGCCCAGACGAGCTGACAGTCTTTTGGGCAGTCTGCTTTCCTAATCTGCATAACACCACAATGCTGCAATTGGTGCCCTGGGCATGCAGTGTCAAGTATATGCTACAAAGTGGTCCGATGGAATAACAATTTGACATCCCTGCCCATTGTAGGGTTCTTGGCTAAATGCAATCGCCGGCGCTTACTCACGATCCCGGTGCTTGCTTGCGACACCACCATCTCTAATCGACGCCCCATCTTTGCCTCTCAACACTTACTTCTCTAGTTTGTCCACCACACTCCGGTCCTGCATGGTGAATCATTGCCTTGAGACAATCTTCAGTCGGCCTCGCTATCATACCGTCGTGCCGTCGCATTGAAATCCCGGATTCTCGTGAACGCCGGCGCCGGGATGCTGCGGACGACTTCGGCCGGCCGAAAAGCGTCGTTGAGACTACAGTCGAAGAGCGAGACCGAGACGGAGCAAGAAGATGAACAATCCAAAATTCGAATTACGATTACACTACAGTGAGGACGAGAGCTGCTGTACAACGCTTCCTCACACCACCTTAAACTTGTCGCCAGTCTTCTCCTCAATCTCCTTCACACTGGCCTGGTACCCTTCGTCCTTCTCAATCGTCTCGATGTAGGCCATCAACTTGGGGTACTTGGCCTTGTCGATCTTGTTCCGGGACTTGGCAGCCAGCAGAGGGAACGACATCATCATGTCCGCCGCGGTCAACTCTGTGCCGCAGATGTATTTGCCACCTTTGGGCGAAGACGCAACCTCCGACTCGAGGAAATTGAAGTAGTTCAAGAAGTTTCGGGTCAGGAATGCATCATCCACCTTGCCAGCGACCGTCCTTGTGATGGGCTTGAGGAAGAATGGCACGGGTGCCTCCCGGATCTCTGGATGGACATTAATGTCGGTGCTAACGTCCAAGATATTCAGAACTTACGATCAATGACCAGACCCAGCAGCAAGAAGCTCATCAAGCTACCCTCTGCAAAATGCATATAGTAGCGATAGCGCAGCCACTCAGCCGTCTCGCCTCCGACCTGGCCGTCTTTGCCCTCCTGCCATTTCTTGGGAGCGAGATGAGGTGCGAAGTGTTCGACGAGGTACTCAGTCATCATCCCAGATTCGGCGAGGACGATTGGCTTGTCGATATTGGCAGACTCGATGGTGATCTGGGGTGACTTTCCAAGAGGATGGTTCTTCTTGAGGTCATCAGGCGCGAGGAAGTCCTTGCCACGCTTGTAGACTTTGATGTCGTAGTCGATGTTGTCTTTGCATTCTCGTAGGAGCCAGACGATACGCTGTGCTCGGGATTGATCCAGCCTGCATTGTCCGTAAGTAACGTGTATGCGATATGTCTATTGCCAACAGCTCGCATGTTTCACGACATGGAGCACGCATTAGCAGCAGAGTGGCATCTCATCGCTCACCAGTGAAGAGTGACCTTCGGCTTCGCCGTAGTCGCTGCAGTAGTAGTATCCGCCATATTCGCTTTCGATGCTGTCTATAGAAAGTACAAACAACTTATCTCAAAACAAAAAACGCGAAAAGAAGCGCATTTTAACCTCACTCTTTCGCGCTCGTTCTCGGTCCACTGGCCGAGGCCTCCTCTCCTCTTTCTCACAAGATCCCCGGGAGTACCCGCCAAGAACCGGCTGGCTTCACATCCGACGTCAGTTCGCTTCTTGCTCGTAATTACCAGAACAGAGAACCACACGCACGCGACAGGCAGCAATCATGAGGCCCACGTTCCGCCAGATGGCGGGCCATAATAACAGTATGCTATGAGCGATATTTGGAAGATACCGTATGGGAGGTGGAAAGATCCAATGGGCTGACGGAGTGGTGTAGGCGTTCATATGGACCCGGCGCTTGTTCGATATGCGAGTGAGTAGAGAAACATTATCCCAAAAAACGGCATGAGAAAAGAGCTTGGATCAATGGACGGATGAATGAACACAAGAGGAGAGAAGCGAAAAGAGCAGGGCGATGAAGATACACGCGCAAGGACAACTCGCTAACAAAACCTCTCCACCAAACTACAGACATGTACGTCAAACGCCACGAATTCTTCCGCTGGACACCCAAGACTGCCTGGTTGACCGTCACGTACGTCGTCGCCGTGCCCGCCGCGTTCGTATACATGGCCTTTGCGACGGAGGTGAGCTTGTCCCATCCCAACAAACCCCGAGGACGTTGAAAGGATATGGCTGATACGGTGGATGCTGTAGGGCAAATGGGAATTCCGAGGAAAGCTGAAGGGCGATACTATTGCGGAGTTTTAGAGCGTGCGAGGGGAGACGGGATACAGAAGGGAAAGGAGGACAGAAGGAAAGGCATTATACCGGCGTTTGGTGGCAGAAATTGGTGAGAGGAGGATCACACCAAACCACAAGAGCGAGAGCTTGTACATATGAGCGGATACCATGATATTTCCTTGTGTGTGCATGCCGCAGATTCACATTCAAGGTCTCGGAGCTTCGGTCACGTGACCGAGATCCGCTTCACCACGCTCAACCGGATGTGCGAAGGCGGAGATTAGGAAACAGGAGAAGGTGTGTTCTATACTCAAGCATACGCCTGTTGAAACAACTATAACCATATCCACACGGCCTCGCCCATTCTCGGCGATGGATCAAACCGGAACGCCTCGCTAAACAGCAGTCTATACCAACCCAATTCCCCTCCAGCAATCAGCTGAAGCGACCGTGACGCTGCTGCCGCCAGTGGGACAAAAGTATTCCTTATACTACATATTACTTCAAAGCTCCTTCTGGCCTCTGCCAGCGATGCCCCTCCGACGTGGCAGACCCAGCTTCTTCCTATCCATGCGATCGCCCTCCGCAAGCCACTTGCTGGCCTTGACCAGCTGGATGATGTTCACCCACTGCTTGAAAAGCATCACCGGGGCGCTTGCGATTGTCAGGATCCAAGGGATTGTCGAGTCCATCTTGTTAGCACGGGCCAGTTCCATTGCTCCTGCGCTGAACGGGCTGGGGAAGAGAAGGGAGGGTTCGGGCGAGAGAGGGGAGGTGGGTGATTGGTCGGTGGGCCACTTGAGGGCTGGGGTGATGATGGGCGAGCTGAAGCAGAGGAGGTAGAGTGCGATGAAGAACAGCTCGTTCAAGGCGCAGGTGAAGAAGAGCACCATCTGTGGAGTGTCAGCAACTGCCCGCAGCTTCGACTTTCGATTTTTCTCACCTTGTTGGTATAGTACAAGTTCATGATATAGCTTCTCTTCGCATCGACATTCTTGTGGCTCTGAGTCTGGCCTCCCATAACCAGCGTCGCATACATATGCATGTAGTGGCTTGCCAGATCCAGAGAGATCAGGCCTTGGAAAATCATGCTGTAAGCCGGCTTTGCAGTCGCAAGAAAGACCAGCAAGCAGGTCGTGGTGCAGCGATCTGTCACCATATCCAGTACCGCACCAAATCGTGTGCTCTGCTCATACTTGCGCGCGGCGATCCCGTCCAAGGCATCCAGTAAGCAGGAGATGGAGTACAGAAAGCTGCAGCGTCGTGGATGCAGCGGCATGAAATAAAGCGATGCGAGACATAAAACGATGCGGAAGTAGCCTAGAGACAACGAGCGCATGTGAGTTGTTGAAGTCCACAGCCGTCATGATGTTATGTTATTGGTATACTCACCGATCAAGTTGGGAATGAAGATGAAGATGTTCTCATCCGTCTGGTCGCTCTCTGCCTCTACGGGCCCTCGCGGCTTGCCGTTCAAGGGCTTGCCGTTAGTATGTCCATTGGCATTTTTCAACTCTGTCTCTTCAATCACGTCTTGTCCCATCTTGTCGGGTTTATCGGTTCTTCTTCAGGCTCTTGCTGGTCTGCTGAGGATGCGGTGGTGACTGCGCCGGGATGTACGCTAGTCTTGAAAAGAAGGGACGGAGGCTGGTGTTGCTGCCTGTGGGAGATTATTGGGATACTTTGATGAGTGGTTCTCGGTCGATGGCCACGTGCCTGAGCCTATCGTCGTGATCCTTCGAGTCCCGCTTGTCGCGACGTCGTGGTTGAGAGCTCGTTATCGCACGCTGGGTTGTTCAATGCGAGACGCTTCGGTTGGCGAGAGAATGGAGACGATTGCAGATGGTCGCGTGAGAGTTGCAGCAGTCGAGAGGAGTAAAAGAGCGTGTGACGGCGGAGAGAGAAGCTGAGGGCAGGCTGGAGCCTCTGCTTACACTATTCGTTCATCGTTGCGAAGGAAATCTTTCATAACCTCAGTCCCCTTCAGCCAACCCTGAGCACAGCTCGCGTCTCGTGCGCTGCCGACGAGTTCCCGTTCCCGTTGGCTCTTTCCGGTTTAGCACCCGACATGTCCGGTCGAACAACACCTCCGCTACTGCACGACGGAGGCACGTTTCTGCTCCATCTCTCTCCAAAACGTGGTCTGGCTCCAGCCATATCTGCAGGTCTGCCTGTCTGACCTAAGACGCGCGTCATAATACCCAGCTCCGCTCGCCGATACAAGACTACACACTCTGCACCGCCGGCGCCACGGACGAGGACGATAGCATAGTAGTGCTGAGCGTGCGATGGAGCGACTATCAATATCGACATGCGAAGTCAGCGTGTCTGTCCCCGGATACCTGCTTTCCGCGTATCCATCAGAGCAACTCTCCATTGCCGCGAGAAGCCGGGCTACGAAACTCTCAATTGAGCCTTACATCCCGGCCGAACAAGAATAGACCGACAGGCAGGCACACTTGAGCACACGACAGAGTACTTGCCATCGCCGTTGCATACACTGCTATATGCTCAACGACCCATTCCTGGGAAGTAGTCGAGTCAACTCAAGCTGCACTCGTTAGCTTGGTTTTTCCGAGAACGCGAAAAGACGACAAGTCTATGTATTCCACTTTGAGCGGATTGATAAGGGTATCTCCTAGGAAATGTCTATCAACATAGGAAATCACACACTGGCCGTTGGGGCGTGGTGGACAGATCGCTCTGTCCTTGTATCATCACTATCGTGTCCCTCTCTTTGGTTCGTTCCAGTTTGGCAAGATGCTAGTCTCCCATCATCGTGGCTTTTAGTCTCCAAAGACCACAGCACTCGTCCTTCCCGGCAGAATACTGACTTAAGCAGTCACATCACCCAGTTCTTTGTTGACGACCTCGATGACGCTAAGCGACCATTAGCACTCTCAACACCGAGGACTATGGAAGGAACACTTACGAGGTGTAGACCTGGCCAGCCTCACATTGCTCTCCAGTCGAACTGAACGGGAACTGTTACAAGTTTTAGAACAAAACTCGCTGACGTTTCTCAAGACTGCCAACTTACCGGACTGCTGAGGTATGTTCCACAGCACCAAGCATAAGTCGATTTGCCTTGGTACAATTCGCAAGAAGCGACGTCGATGTTCTCGACGGTTGCTACGATATTGGCCTTGTCGCAAACGCCGCTGGTCGACTCGGTCTCGTCGCAGCAGACAGGTGTTGCCAGGCTTCCGTCGCATGAGAAGTAGTCGAGCTCAGCCTGAACTTGGCGGTAACGGTGGGGATGCGCCGCGAGGGCAGTGGTCGCGATTGTGGAAATGGCGAGCGTGGTGAAGTGCATTGTCGTTTGCTGGTCGTGGTGGGTATGTATTATGATTATCTGATTACTGCTGTGTGTTCGTGTGTCTGGCTGATCTATATCTCGCAGCAAGGAACGACTCTGACTCGATAGAAAAAGAAAGTATGGGGGTCCGAAGACGATTACTCTGATTAAGGAAGGTATGTGATGGAGAGTCTTGGACGAGCGAGCATCTCTGCACTATCTATACATACGACGCGCTGCCATCCCTACCAGGGGTGTCGCAGTCACGTCGGCAGCGACGGCAACTACGCACATGTCGCGCAACCTGGAGGCGCAGCGTAGCGTGGAAGGTTGTCCAACTCTTGGCTAGATCCGCTGAGCAATACAGATATCGCTTGTCCTGCTTTGTAGAAGTGGCGGCGGTTTGCGATGCGTGAAATATCAGAACGTTGTGGTCGGGAATCCTACGGGGTGAGGTCGGAATTGCTGCCGGAAGCTCTTCAAGGGAAGTTCACTTAGCTCTGGCCAGAAACACATACAGCTACGACGATGCATACTACGGCTTCTAACCACGAGGTCGAAATCTCTGGACCTGGCGATCTGATCAAAAAACCTCCATCGAAGTATTGTCGTCCCCCAATCTGGTCGCGAGTCCACGCGACGTGATCAAAGTTCAACGTCCTGAGACAGCTTCCCAAAACGGCAGGAGCGTTGCCAAGCGTTTGAAGATCACGCAAGGCTTCATTCAACCCTTGGCAGCTCGCTTAGACCTCACTTCATGTGATGAAATGAATGGCTGGTATCGTGACGTGTACGGGAATCTCGTATGTTTCTCGGACTCGGAGCATTCTGGCTATTCTGCTCAACGCGGGATGCATTCCTTGATCTGCAGGCTGCTTGATGAAATCGAGCTGGTGTTGAGACGTATCTGCGCGAAGATGGGATCACAGGTCCTTGGTTGCGACGACAGAACCAGGTCCTACGGTGTGCGAGGTATCGAGACGAACGAGCAGTGGCGAGCTTTCACAGGCGAGACCCACGAATTGTCTTGTACAAGATGAATCTCATGCCATGGCTGGAGATGCGTATCCTCTGGCAGCTATCAAAGGACAAACATATCCGTGGCATGATGGACGAGAACCGGGCAGATTCGCGAGATGTTGCGGTCCAATGCGTATGCCAGAGTCAGATGAGTTCGCCGAGAAACTCGTGGACTGGAGGCTGAGATTAGATGCTCCGCGACCTTGGGGTCTCTCAAATGCTGTGTTGCGTTGACTGGTGATGCTGCCCATTCGTTCCTATGGGTCTCGATACAAAGCCTCGGTCAAGCCATGGAAGAAGATGCATGTCCAGCTAAGTGGATAAGAGCTTGTGACTGACGCCCTCAAATCATGTGAAAAGAAGCCGACCGATTGAGGCTGGAAGATCAAGAATGAACGACCATGCACGCTCAATTGCACGAAGAAGCTATTACAGAAATCAGTTGTTGTCAACTTCAAGCCAGAGCCTGTGACCCTAGGACACGATCGAAGCACATGCTTATGTGGTCTACTTCAAGAGACAGTTGCTTCACTTCTCGCTCGGTAGACCCTGCGTTTGCACATGCTAGCCAAGCATAAAAGGAACTGTGTTGCTCCCAGCTTGTCTTCTTCTTCAACACCCAACAACAACAACGGCATCCACACACATTCATACCAAGCAGTGCTCCCCTTACACCCTTCATACCATTCATCCGAACACCACCACCACCCACTTGATCACTGGCGACAACGTCGAGCAGTGAACGAGGGGCGTTGCCCTGGTCTAGAGCACAGCTCAGTTCAGACCAGCTCATTCAAGCTCACGCCTTCACAAGGCGACGATCCAAGGCGACGATCTTGAGCGACTGGCTGCTCATCCACTGACATCAAGATCAAGGTTCGCTTGTTCATCCCCTAACAGAGAGTGTCTACTGACGGGGAACAGCTTGATATCATACTGCTGCTTCATTCACATCTCTTCATCACATTGACGAGAGTCACTTGTCGACACTCCGATCAGAGGACAACTTCTCTGGACAAGCTTGGCCGACTGACCGATCTCGATCTTCACAAGCTAGACAAGAACCACGACCGACTGGTTACTTCTCAGCAGCTGTGTTGCAGCAACTACCACTGCTCCGAATCCGCCAGAAGACGCCAAAGCTGGAGCTGACTTGACCTACTCTACTCTCACACCGACCTCGATTATCCGACAACATGGCGCCCTCGATCATTTACTTCATCCAGGAGGGTGCCAACTTCAAATCACCGAAGACGGGCAGATCTATGAAGTCCAAAACCAACCATCTCCATGTTGGCTATTCCCGGGAAAACTATCACAAGGTCTTCTACGAGCCAACAGAAGATGCAGATATTTCAGACGATGCAGTGATGCCCGCCAATTATGTTTGGGAGGGAGGCTCGAGGTACAAATCGGATCGTCGCAAGCCTACAGAAGGCGAAATCACGTGGTTGATTCACTTCGACCCAAAGAACATCCCGAACAGCAACAGGAAGCAAAGAGATGACGCACACAAGCAGACGATGCACGATGCCTGGAAATACCTCGCCGAGGATGATGCACGAGAAATCAGGAAGTTGGAAACCAAATTGTCGGCCCCCGCGAATCGTCGATGGCACTCGTGGTTTGAGGAAGCTATGGATTGGAAGAAGAAATCCCTGAAGCGAAGGGCAAGTAGGCGGACCCGACGACAAGAGCGCCTCCTAGCCGATGGAACGCCCCAGAGCGAGATCGACAAAATGGACCATTTGGAGGATACCTCCGATGATTCTGCTGTCGATGTTGATAGCGACAACGACGTCCGTGGACCAATGCCCCCTCCACCTACTCTACCTCAACATGGCACACGACGGCCTCTTGGCGCTGCCGGCGGCAGCGGGTCCGATTCGAACAGGAGCGCAAAGCGTCGGAGAGACCAGAGCACGACGCCCAGCAGCTCCGGTGGCCGAAGCAATCTCAGCAACCTTGGAAGGGTCTCGACAGGAAAGCGCAGAGCTGGCGGCCAGCCCTCCGGGGCTGTTGGCCCGTTTATACAAGACGGATCAGAGCCGGATTATGAAGATGACGGTGGCAACTACATGGCGGGCGGCAACAACAGCAACCTGCCAGGCGCCTTGTTGCGCCAGCCTGGGCCCGGCAGTGTGAGTAGCGGCAGGTCACCCAGCGTCTTGGGCCGATCACCACCACCACCAAGCGAGGATTTCGATCCTGCACCTCCACAGGGAGGAACCCCTCCACCAAGACCACGAGTTGAGAACGACTGGATCGACGCAGACAAGTATCAGAATGAGGGCGACGAGGACGCTGCATTCCAGGAGGCTTTGCGACGTAGCAGTGTGGCTCCAGATTTCCCACGACCAACCACTACAACTGGAGGAAGCATGCCAGTGGCCGACCGTACGGAGGAGGAGGAGTTCCCAGGAATGAGTGCGGCGATTCGGCAAAGCCTGGCTCCGCAGACTCCACCACCAACCAACCAAGCGAGGGTCGAGGAGGTCGAGGAGGTCGAGGATGTCGAAAACTAGGAGTGAGATGGTGAGAGCGAGTGATCTGTGGACTTGAATGGGTGAAGTTATGGGGAGAGTGAAAGACGGCGGAGGGTGGCTTGAGAGAGGAAAGGGAGGACATTGGCACGGTGAAGCGATTTGAAATTACTCACTACTATCATGATTCACGACACACGACACGACACGGGGCAGAGGATTGTTTTGCATGTATTGTTACAAGACACCAACTCAATAGATAGGACATTCATCACAAGCTTGTATTCAGAATCTCTCAGGCGCAAGTAAGTGAAGTCAATGATGCTCATGTGATTGGGACGGACTCCAGTCCGCCTGTCTGGGGCCAAAATAGAATACGCTGCATTGAACCTCAAGAAAAGTTCGACCACATCAATGACTGCTCCCGTGACATCCACTCTTCGTCGACGACCTGCTTCTTCCGTGATAGACCGATAGACAATTGCAACAGACGCATTGGCTTCCGCATCAAAGACGATAGAGCGCCTTACGAGACCAACGACTTCACGACTTCTCCACTCCGTCCGCGCACAGCACCGTTTTCTCCACGCCTCTCCATCGCTACGATCGAACACCGACGACGACGACAACTCACATTCAAATCAACAAGACAGCACCGTCTCCGCCCTTCGCGACCTTCTTTCCGGCCACCAGCCGCCCAAGAAACAAGAGCCGGGTCAAATCACCACCCAGCTCGATCCAGCAGTCACCTCCCGTTCAGTCGCTACCTTTGAGCCCACGATCCGATGGTACATTCCCCAGGGTACGCCTAGCGAACGCTGGTACGAGCGGACAACACAGTCTCTGATCAAGCTTCGGAAGAGCAATGAGTCACAAGAACAGCCCTTCAAAGAGTTGCGCTATGACGAGAATGGCCATCTGATCCTACGTGACGAACATCGGACTCACCTCAAACCCAAATACCCTTCTTTCTTCAAGGCCTTCTTCAAAGATTTGGTCAAGCGAGACTTTCGGTCACTCGTCAAGATGAGATCTTTCGTGCAGGTCCTCACGACGCCGACGGCCGATACACCGGGCACGACGCTGTTGCTGCATTTTGATAACAAGAGATATCTGATTGGGAGCCTTGCAGAAGGGACACAGCGAGCATGTGTACAAATGGGAGCGAGGTTGCTCAAGGTGTCGGAGTGCTTCCTCACTGGACGGACTGAGTGGAAGAACACGGGTGGATTGATTGGCATGATCCTCACGCTGGCAGACTCTTCTGCTGCTAGCCAAGCCAGTTCACTGGAAGATGCGTTGAAGAAGGCAAAGTCAAAAGCAAGGAGGCTGGGCATTGAGAATGACCCGGAGAAGATGCGAGAGTTGGAAGAGGAGGCCAAGCAGATGGTTAATGCCCTGTCGATCTACGGTCCTCCCAATCTGAATCATACTCTTGCGACCGCGAGAAGATACGTCTTCCGGAAAGGTATGCCTGTGAACGTGCATGAAATTCGAGGAGAGCAAAGTCACAAGCAGGAAGGAGGCGATGAGTGGGCGCCGTTCTGGGCGGACGAGAATGTCAAAGTCTGGGCCATGTCAATTTCTCCTTCGAAGGCAGACAGTTCGAAGTTGACGCCTCCGAGTTCGATCAGTCCTCGCAAGCGGAGCTTCGATGAGGTCGACACAGAGGAAAATGAGTCTTCGACTGCTCTGGACGACTCATTCACACCGGATGAACGAAACTACCTTACAGCCAAGGCCGTAGTGTCTGAAATGTTCAACTCAACGTGGCGGCTCGATACACTCTATGAGACGCCACTTTCTGAAGTCAAGCTTCCTGCTACGATTTTCATCCGCAATTCGCAAACAAACAAAATCGAGAAATACACTGGTCCACTCCCTGGAGGAAAGCAGTATGTGCCTGATCCCGATCTCAAAGTACTGGTTCGAAAGCCTTGGCCAGGCGCCTTGGTTGAGAGCCTGCCACCAACAAAGCCGGCCAAGGAAGCTGTCAGCTACATTTTCCGTAATCACATGCAGCGTGGCAAATTCCATCCTGAGCGAGCGAAGGCGTTGAAAGTAAAACCTGGCAATGCTTATTCACAGCTGGCCAAGGGAGAGAGCGTTGTAAACCAGGATGGCGAGACGATCACGTCTGACATGGTTCTTGACCCAAGCAGAGTCGGCGGCGGCATTGCTGTAGTCGATCTACCAGGGCCAGAGTACATCGACAACCTGATAACAAGACCAGAATGGCGCGAACCAAAGGTCATGGAAGGTGTGGGTGCCATAGTATGGATTTGCGGCAAGGATGTCGCTACGGATGCGCGGTTACACTCTTTCATGCAAGAGTTCAAGCAAGTCGAGCACATCGTCTCATCAGCCGAATACTCGCCTAACAACCTTGCCCTCGATTCTGCTGCGGCTGCAACGGTGCGGCTCAAGCAGGTAGATCCTGAGCGCTATGGTGTGCCTGTCCATGATTCAGAATCAAGCGATGGTTTGCAGCTATATGGCGGCCACGCCGGCTGGAAAGCGATACATTCCAAAACGCCCCTGCCCGAGGGAGTTCATTTGGCAGCTCGCGGTCACACAGTAGAACTCGAGCCTTCGATAGAGGTCCAGACAAAAGATGCAATAAAGCCATTGCAGATTCCTGAAACAGTGGCAGAAATGCCGAAAGAAGTTCTGGAAGAAGCAGCCAAAGCACAAGAAGCATCAAAGAACGCCGATGAGGAGACACAGGCCTGGCTGGACAGCCTGCCACCCGGTGCAAAAGATGCTGAGGTCATCACGTTGGGTACCGGTTCAGCCCTGCCGTCAAAATATCGCAATGTTTCTGCGACTCTGGTACGAGTGCCTGACTGGGGAAACATACTTCTAGACGCCGGCGAGAACACACTCGGTCAGCTGAGGCGTGTGTTCACTGCAGATGAGATGAAGCAGGTCTTGCAAGATCTCAAGATTATCTCGATCAGCCACATGCATGCTGATCACCAGCTGGGAACAACTAGTGTTGTCAAGGCATGGTATGAGGAAGTCCACGACGGTCAACCGGCGCCACCGATAGACCCTACGCTCCCAGAGGGCAACGATTTCGAGTCGATTTTCAAGAATGAACGTCGGCTTGCCGTCGTTGCAGAGCCTGCCATGCTTCACTGGCTTGCTGAATATTCTGCAGTCGAAGACTACGGGCATTCTCGTATTGCACCCCTGTCCCTAACGCCCGCCGATACATGGTCAGGCCGCCGCTCGAAGCTGGGCTGGTTCGTCCCTGCCGCAGAGATGAAACACCGCTCTTGGGAAGAGTCAGGAGATCTGCTTGCCAGGAACACTTTCTCTCCTTCGTTCATCAATCTCTCCGACATTCAAGCCGTTGGCGTGAAACACTGTCACGGTGCTCGCGCCGTCAGCATCACCCTTCCATCCGGCTTCAAAGTGTCGTACTCTGGTGACTGTCGACCGTCCAGGCCTTTCGCGCAGATTGGAAAGGGCAGCACGGTCTGCATTCACGAAGCTACATTTGATGACGAGCTGCAAGGCGACGCTGAGGCGAAGAACCACAGCACGACTTCTGAGGCCCTGAATATCGCACAGTTGATGCGAGCAAAGGCTTGCGTCCTCACGCATTTCAGTCAGCGGTATCAGAAGGTACCCGTCCTGGAGCGTGGCGAAGAAGAGCTGGAAACAGTCGAAGACTTGCCAATGACTGAGGATGGCGCTGTCGTTGTACCAGAGGAGTCAACGAATCCGGAAGATGACATGGGAGGACCGCTGGAAGACGCAGCTGCAACCTTCCCAGACCAGGAGACTACCGATAACGGAGGCAAGCAGTACGACTTGCCGTCCAAGAAAGCCTCGAATGGAGCCCCAGTACCAGCTGGTGGACCACCAGAGGCTGTCAAATTCAAGCTGACGTCGGATATGAAGGTGTGCGTCGCATTTGACTACATGCGTGTCAAGGTGGGCGACATCTGGAAGCTTGAAAAGTTCACACCGGCGCTGCTGAAGCTGTTCGCTGAAGAGGAGAAGGAGAAAGAAAAGGAGAGGGCTCGACTCGAGTCTGGGCAGAACACCAGCAAGAAAGCGAAGAAGAAGGGCGGACAGAGAAATAACTAAAACTATGTACAGAAGACCCAACAAATCCACTCCGCCTAGGCTATCGCATCAGGTAACTCCGAATATTCACCGTGCAGCATCTTGAACAGCGGTTCCCAGACTGTGACCGCCCTTCGCGTGATTCCCCCATTCGACATCTCCGGCTCTGGGAAAAAGAAATGGCTCTTCGCTGAGCATTCGATCGCTTCGCCGTAGATGGACGGGTCCTCGAGAAGACGCACGTAAGCATCTGTGACCGTTTTCATGGGCGTCATACTAACAGAACCGTTAATCACTGCTCACAACAGATCTCACTGAAAGGGAAAAAGTTCAAACTCACCACTCCTCATTAACAGCCTCCACCATCTCCCTCGGAATAATCCCCGTCTCCACAATCCCCGGCAAAACACAATTCATCCGAATCCCCTCCTTCGACCACAACACCTCCTTCACGCCCCTCATGAAATTCAACACCGCGGCCTTCGCCCCATTATACTCCGGATACGACGGATGCGGATGCACAGCAGCAATACTCGCCGTCGCGACAATAGCGCCTCCAGGAACAGGATTATGCCGCATGAAATGGACCGCGAGCTGCGTCCCATACACCACGCCCTTGTAGTCGATATCCGTGCAGGCCAGATCCGGCTCTCGAGGGATATCTTCCACCTTGGCGTTGTGATTCTGCAGGAGGTAGAGGGACGAGCGGTCGACGATCCCGGCGTTGGCGCAGAGGGCGTCGATGCGGCCGTGGGTTTCGTGCACGGCGAGGAAGGTTGCGGCTTGTGAGGCGTAGGAGGATACGTCGGTACGGTGGAAGGTTGCGTGGGGTTGGAGGGTCGAGAGGAGGGTCGCGTTGGGAGTTATGTCGGCCATGGCGACGTGGTAGCCTGCGTTGACGAGGGCTTGGGAGAGGGCGGCGCCCATGCCGGACTGGGGGTTGTTAGGATTGGGGATGATGGGGGAGGAATTGGACTTACTGAGGCGCCGGTGACGATGGCGACTTTGCGAGGCATGTTGTCGTTGTTGTCGGATGAAAGGGTGGTGGTTGTTTGCAAGGAGGAGGACATGATCCGATCGCAAGCAGCAAGAGGTGTCGAGAATATATACCACAATCTTCCCAATCCTCTGGGTCACAACTCTGTCCAAAAAAGCAGAATGACCTATCCTCACTCTATATCTCGAAAGTCCACAATCCCTGCAAGTTTCGTACGGTGTCAGATCTATCAGAAAATACGCATCGATCTCATGTCAAGGAACGAAATTTTTTTGTTTTCGCCGATGATGGTTTTGAAATTTAAGCCACGTCTGCGTCATATACGTATACGTATAATGTGGTGTCCAGATGTGATGGCGGGTATGCTTACCCGGCAGGTGAAGCTCCCAGCCTGCATGGGAGCATTCACTTGCAAAGCGGAGAGATGTGTTTAGCGTGAACTCAAAATTCTATCGGCACGTGGGCGGGCTCGATTCTTCATCAGGTCCGAAGATGTCCTGGAGGACGCTAAGGATAGGTTGACGAGGCGGAGGGAGAATGTTGACGATGAAACGGGCGATTTGGTGGGATCTTGCATCCCTGTCGGGCTTTATCGATGGAATTGCGATGCGTTGGAAGGTGAGGAAGATCTGATTCTGATGGTAACCTGGTTGATGGATCGATTTGGGTGATCGTCGTGGCTGGGCTCCGGGGGGGTTTTGTTCTTGGATGGGATGGCGTCCAGGACGGCTGACAGTCGTAGGGATAATGACTGGCTCGTAGCGATCGACCCCATGTCCATTCCATTTTGCCGGTAGATTCCAATTTTCTCGAGGCTTTAGCAGATACGCCTCATTCTCAAGACGTCAGATCAAAAGAACGTCTCGACGAAACGAGAGATCAAGAGGCCAGGAAAGGGGATGTTGAGACGCTCGGCGTCGAGATGTCAGATCTTGAGCTGCAAAAATGAAGGCACATAAATTCTTCAGATTCCTTCCGAGTACATTCGGCCACAGGCAGCTGATACACAGGCCATCCCGTCCGCTCTGGCAGACTTAAGCAGCTGACCGCCCGACTAGTACTGCGGTTGGTGACAACGCGGGAATCCCGGGTGCTGAATGTTTTGCTTTTTGATCTTGCCTTTTGGTTTTGGTTTTTGATTTTGCTTCCTAAAAGCCCGTGGCACACCTCATACCCCCGGCTACCCAAGTCAGTGTAATAGCAATACCGCGGGGGACTCCTGAAGGGCTCTATACCGAAAAAGTCTGTGACAGAATCGTTCAAACGCGACTCGAGTTCAATTTGCGTGAGCGATCCGTGATACAACCATGAAGGTTGCCCCAAACAAGATACATGAGGCGGCAAAGACCCATACGTCTGTGATTAATGCGTCAGGTGAAAGATCGATGGGCGAGTCTTTTGTTTTTCTGGACTCACATGTGAAACTTCCTCGAGTATTCAGGATAGCTCCAGAGATTGGGTTGCCTAGCAAGACAGCAAATTTTGATGCATTTCGATACGAGAGGCTTCGTAACCAGCCGGGCAATGAGGGCAAGTTCCAATTCACAACCACAGGACTGGACCAGTCGTCGTTTCGGTATGGCCAACATCCATGTTCTGGCTGTTACTTTGCCGGGCATACGGTCAAGGTCATGTTGGCGAAGCTCATTTAGACCTACGATGTCCGTCTTCCGGATGGAAAGAGAAATGCATGATATGCAAGAGAAATCATGAGGGTATCTCGAGCATAGTGGAACCCAGCCAAACTTTCAGAGCAATGCTTGCCGACTGTTGTCCACTGACATTCAGATGGCTCAGTCAGAGCACAGCAAAGAGCGGGATTAGCGAGGGACTGTTACAGCGACCACTGTGAGAAGACCGCGCAGCAATTTCGTTTTCTATTCCTGTCTATTCCGACTTAGCCTCGGCCTTTGCGTGCTGCTTGGCCAGTCTGTTCGAATCGGCCTCCGTCTTCTTGGTCTGGCCGGTGATCTTAGGGGCGTTTGGATTCGCGGCAGGATAAGGCTTTTGTAGCACATCGTTGTTGGTGTGCACCACCTCTTTGACAATCTTGCCGAGATCCTTCTTCGATTTCCACACGTCCTGCTTCTCTTCAAGAGCAGTCAACAGCTTGTCGGAGGCAGTCACTAGCTGCAGCAGGTCAACTCATGGAGGCCAGCTGTTCGTTCGATCAGCTCTTACAATGTTGGCGGCATTGCTCAGCTCGAGCTGGGCACCGTCGTCGTAGAAGTCGGGAATGTCGGAGGGGGCACCCTCGGCAGCTTTGAGAACCTCGTCTCGCTTTTGCTCGATTTCCTGTCACAGACCCCAACATCAGTTCGGCGCTGCCTATCAACTCAGCCTGGTCTCGTGATACCTTGTAGCCAGCCTCAAGATCATCGCCCTCGATGGTGTTCAGGATGATTTCTGTGATGGCATGAGTACCCTCAGCCAGCTGTCTGAACACTGCTTCCCATTGATCGGCCATGTTTAATCGAGTGTCTTAGATGTATGAGGACAAGTTGTGAGATTGAAGGAAGTGAGAAGTAAGAGAAACTGAAATACAGTAGTAGAAACGCAGTGCGTTCCTTTGCGGGACCACGTCGTCATGATCGTGACGGTTCCAGGCTCTGTCGATCTCTTGCAATGGCTTGGACGAGATGACCACTAATGCAGGTGCAGGATCACGTGCTTGTAAGCACCGGAAATCGCAACATTTGCACGCAAAAGCCTAGCCAGGCGATGAACTGGCCAGACGAAGATGGTGATGGTGGGATGTGTTGTAATGTGCGTTATTGTTGCCAAGTGCTGGTGTGGGAGTTGGACGTGAAGTGGAAGAGAAGCACCCGGGGCCGATGGGCACGTGCTCTGGGGAGTCTTCTTCGGGCAACGATCAACGACGACTCCATGTTATACTGGCCGTGTCCTAACGCCGTCGCTAAATCCTGACTACTCTATCATTACAGGTGTCCCCCTGGAGAAGACCTTTTGACCAAGCCTTCTCTTCATCACTGCTCTCTCCACGCAATCTGTGCTCACTCTCCAATCCCTGATTCAACGAATGCCCTCCAATAAAGTAAGAGCTCAAAAGTCCAAGCCCACTAATCCCGCACAGGACCGCGAAAAGCATCTGGAAGGAGTAGGCGTAATTCAAGACGATGGACAGCCTCTCAGGACCATCGGGCATACTCCTCAACAAGTGTGCGAAACCCTCAGCATTCTCCGCAACCATCGCCGGCACATCGAGCGATTGAGCGTGATTGTGAAAGAAATTCTGAAAGATCGTTCCACCGAGAGCAACACCCAGACAGAGGCCCAGACTGCGGGAGAAGCTGAACATGGACGTTGCGTGGGCAGCGTCTTTCTGCTGGCACGCGGCTTGCGAGGCGACCAAATGCGCCATGAACAGCAGTCCTTGACCGATTCCAGCCGTGAGGAACATGAAGACCCAAGCGACAGTGGGCGTGTCGATGTCTAGGAGAATGAGGACGCCCAAAGCTACTGTGTTGATGACCCAGCCGGACCAGACGGCCCAGCGGTAGGAGCCAACGCGAGCGATGATGGGGCCGACGATGCCTGAAACTGGTACGCAGACCATGGAGAAGGAAAGGAGGTAGGTACCAGCCTCGAGAGGTGTGTAGAGCTTGACGGTGATGAACCAGAGCGTGATGAAGTAGACTTCGGTGAAGAGAGTGAGACCTTGAAGGACCGTGCAGGCGTAGATGGCGATTGCTGACCAGGATGAGAAGAGCGAGCAGCGCAGGAAGGTGACTTTGGCGAGGAACTTCTCGTAAAGCCCAGTAATAAAGACAACAGCCAGTCCGAGGATGATCGGTACGAGCGTTGCGGCCGAGTGCCAGGCAAATTGGCTGCCGCCCCAGGTGATGCCGACTAGAAAGCTCGTCGTGCCAACGATGAACAAGGTCGAACCAGTCCAGTCCACATTCGAGAGCTTATCATTGATCGTAGACTTCGGACGGTCATACTTCAGAACGAAGGGGATGATAGCCAGGCCGATAGCGCAGAAGGGCAGGTTGATGTAGAAGAGCCATCGCCAGGTCGTCTTCTTGACTATGATGCCGCCAAGAATAGGAGCAATGTTGAAACCGACAGACACACATAGCTGTTGGAAGCTCTGGTATTTTGATCTCCATCGCAGGGGAACGATGTCGGAGAGGATGATGAGGTTGACACTGAGAATGCCGCCACCTCCAATGCCTTGGATGGTACGGCCGGCCAGCATTGCTGCAACATTGTTGGCGAGGGCGCAGATGAGAGAGCCAGCAGTGAAGAGTAGCAGTGCTGAGAAGATGACACTTCTTCGACCAAAGACATCAGCCAAGGCGGCCATAAGAGGCTGAACGACGGCGTTGGCCAGCAAATAACTCGCAGCGATCCAGAAGCTTTTCGTGGCATTGGCGTCGAGAGCATGCGCGACGTCCTGGAATTTGTTAGCGATGCCCATTGATCAGATCGATCGACGAAGACATACCGGTAGGGTCGCCGTCAAGATGGTCATGTCCAGAGAGATAGCAAACACAACAAACATTTGACCAAGCACAATGAGTTTGACCTGTCGACTCGGCGTCCATGGCTGCTCCTCCGTCTTCTTGTCAGCTTTCTCCAGGTCGCCCTGTGCCGAGTGTATGCTGTTTGCGATTGAAGACATCGTTGCGTCGGATACGTGTTTGGACTCCATGACGGCAATCCTCCAGAAAATTACAACTAGTTGAGTGAATAGAAGAACGAGGGATTGGCAGTGTACATCGAGAGAGCGCATGTCCCCACCTACTCTATATACTATCATCTGTGCGGTTCAGCAATCAACATGAAAACGCCATCAAACGGTGGACACAGACGCCGCTATCATAGCGCGCTCGTGCACATGTGTGTGGGCGTCCGCCAACGGTGCGAGGCGGAGCGATGAGCTGGGAGCTAGGCCATGCGACCAGCCGATAAACACATGTGAATACCCATCAAGTGGCTGACGAGGAAGGGTTAGACCTGGCAGTTCAGGAATGGACCACGGATGTGTCGGTCTGTCGAGCTGTGGCGGCAGTGAATGCTGGACGTGTTGCTGAGGCTTGCAGTCGATGAGCATCGCGCTAATCGATCGTTCCAGGTACTTCGCATGAGTGCCGACCACGTGGAGGAGCAGATAGGTGCAAGCTGATCGCCCACAAGGCTGAGGTAGTTCGAGAGTCTATGCGGCCGATCTGCAGCTAACAGACGTTGACGTTGATCATCAGCCAGCCTCGAATGCTTTCTTTAGAAGTCTAGAAGCCCGGATTCAAGCTTGGATTGCGTAGCAGTGTAGACCGGAAATGTCATGGGCGGAAGCAACCTCGCACAGGATGCTGAAACAATGCCATTGCCGCCTGAAAACTAATTGTATCACCACTCTCCGGACGATGGTCCTGATCCGGAGAGGCTCGCATTTTGTGCTCTCATGTGTTTGAGCCCTTTCATCCATTTCCTGGTTTCAAGATCGCTCCAACGGGTGTTCGAGACACTCTTCTTATCGCCTAGGAAAATTCTCCGATGGTATCATGGCGCGGAGGCTGGACCGGGGCTGCCGTGGCTGCAGGATCGGTGGCTTGCGCAGAGCTTTCGAGCTCAGCGTGGGCGTTTTGGCGTGTCTGTTGCCGGCGACTACGTCGATAGCGAAGCGGGCGGTGTTGGCAACTCACGACATGGGTTGCTTGTGCCTGTTGGAGATGCCAACAATCCGAGGATGGCGGTAGGGATGGAAAGCAGGACGAGGTGAGGTGGACAGCCGTATCCTGAGACGCTTCGGGTTCGGCAGGAGTCGCCGTGGTATCTGATACGAGGCAACGAACCAACACGACGGGGTTTACGGCCTATCTCGTCGTACAGATCGCATAGCAAACAGAATCACACCATTTTCACTCACTTGGCCGTGGCAAACCAACACTGTTGACGTAGCATACGAGGCATCAACGGCCAAGAAGAGGTCTCTTACCTAATCCAACCATTTCTTGTCCAACGCCTCCAAGAACCCCAAGTCAACATTGACAAAGCTCTTCCACATATCCACCTCAAACTTCCAAGGCCGCGTGGTAAGCGCGAATATCACCGCAGCCGTGTACCACCGCAAATCTTCCTCGGATTCCCCCATGACCAATGCCATGTCTCGCTTGAACACGACCTTTCCAGCGAATTGCTTCTGGAATCGCTCCGTCCTCTCTTCGACCGTGGCCTGCAGGCTGTAATCACTCAACGGCATATCCTTGGGAATGAATCGTAAGTGCCAACATCGACCCATCGTATCCGAGAAAGCCAGATGTTCCCTGTTGGGCCCAGCGACTTGGAGTTGCCAGAAGTGCGAGTGAGACCACAATCTCAACAAAGCGAATCGAGAGCCTTCGTATTTGGCCGCAAACGTGCTGGCGCATGCGAGCAAGTCGATCTTCCGAAACTCTGTATCAAGAGGTCCATCTGGAGGATCGGGAAGGGTGCGGTAGTTGATGAAGATGTTTGGATCATCTTTGCCGTCTTCTTTTACGAGGAACACATACCCTGATCCGTCGGGTGCATAGGCAGGACCAATCATGCCAGCTCTGAGCCAAGCTGCAATCACTGGTCGAGCGACCAAATCCCAAGCCGGGGGGATTCTACATTCGTTGGCCTGAAGCTGCCGCTGTGCCTCGTTCCAAAACTCGTTGGGTCTGGCATCGCAGCCGTTGTATGATCTCGAGTAAGGCTCACCACGGGCTTTTTGAGCGTTGTCGGTCAAGTCGTCCAAAAGCGAGAGCTTTTCAGGGCCCAAGCCAGCACGAATCTGCTGGGTTTGCGCACTCCAAGGAAATGAAAGCGAGGCAAGAGTAAGTGCGTCGGCCATGTCTCGCCATACGAGCCGGTGCGCCGACTTGTAGTAATCCAGCCACAATTCCATCTTCAGGAGCTCAATGAGCAAGGGCACGCTGAACGGTTGCTGCAACTTCCTAGCCTCCTTCAAAACACTCAACGTTGACACCCATCGCTCCTTCGAGCCGGGGACAAGATCCGCTTCGTGCCACTGCTGCCGAAAGGTATTTGCCGCCTCCCGGTCCAGGAAACTGCCGAACTGACCACGAAGATCTTCGTCATCGTGAGGATCCTTTGCCATGGTCAAGTCCATAAGTCTAATCATTTCCTCGGTTTCCGCCGGGACAGCAGAAAGCACATCCATCGCACGATCTTCTACCTCGCCTTCTTCCTCATCATCTTCAACTTCATTCTCGTCGTACCACATACATTCCTCGCAACTGCAATCAGGATTCTCAGGATCAGGACACGGCGGTATGTGTTCTGGCACGTTGTCCTCAAATTGTGCAGCTTGCTCGGGATTCAAGTAAGACAACAGCCTCTGCGCTGGCCTCTTGCGTTTCTGCGAGGCCTCGATCTCGTCGAGATCGTCGTCCGTATCTATAGAAGAAGCGTCAAAATTTTATGCCTCGCTGAGTTTTTAGTAGTCGTTGCATGAAGCACTTACCCAGGTCGTAGGCAAACCTCTTGATGTCAGGTTGGCTTTCAATGACGAGAGTGATTGGATCGTCGAAGCCCTTGATAGCGGTAGCCATCTGGCCTTGCCTTTCTTCCGGGAAAAGGACAAGGTCTTCGGCCGCGTCCCGCTCATTGTAGAGGACGTCCTTCGGGAATTGCTCTGTGAGAGTCTGCCAGCCTTTCAGCGCATCGCCAGACACGACACGGAAATCGCTCGAGTGTAGATCATCGTAGATGGAATTCTCGCCGGCCTTGACGTCCCTGGCCCGCCCTGAGGTCTTGTCTCGGTGTAGAGTCTTGATGATAGAAGCGACAGGATTGTAAAAGTCGCGGCCGGTACAAACGCGATGGGCTTTCGCCAATGCCTATCAGAACAGTCAGCTTCAATCTTCCCGCTTCATGAAGGGAGCACTTACGGTGTGGATGGTGTCGTAGAGATATGGGAATGGTTGCCCCGGCTCTAGATCCCAAATCGTGATGTCGTAGTAAGAGTTGAAACCGAATGCGTGACTCCCATAAGCTCGAACGTTTTCTAAACGCTCGAACATGTGCTCTCCCACCTCAGCAATGACGTCCCATTCGTTTTTGCTTGCACGTCCGATTCCAGACTTCTTTCTGACCAGCCATGAGTGTTCCTTTGGAGGTTGGATCAGGATTCGCCCCGTCTTGCCATCCCTTACCAGGATACACACGTAGTTGCTCATCATCGACAAGTATTGCACGAAACGCCGGCTCACAGGATCGTTTCGCTTCATGTGAGCACAAATGAAGTTCTTGGCCTCCGATACAGCGTGTTGCGTCTGGCCGCGCCCGCGACCACGTTGTTGCCAGCGCTTGGTGATCTCGTCCGCGGCGTTGAACTCGCTATAAGGAATCAGTCCCAGCTGTAGCAGTTTTCGAGTCATCTGGTCACGCTCCCAACGTCCCCAGGTTGCCGACGGAAAGTACTGAAAGAGCGCCAGCACGTTCAGCTCCCAGAACTCCTGCCAGTTGCGGCACAAGCCAATGGCATCTTCAAAACCAGTGCCTTTGGCGATGATGGAGTAATGTAGCCACCCACCACGGGCCATTGCCTTATCTGAGGGATAGTTCCAGATTGTCTTCCCACAGACACGGAGCCGGATTCTCTTGTTTTTGAATTGGCAGTCATCGTCAAGGTCACCAAAGTCGATTGCATGTTGCCCACCGTCGACGCTCTTCTGTCTGTGGCTACCGAGCTGGTTAAGCTCCTCACGCTTCGAGCTCCACTTCTCTGGTAGAAAGGTTTGGTGCAACATTCCAGTGAATCCTGACGCTTTCCTGTTGCTTGTTGTCTTGTCGAAGGCGTCCTGCTCATCCTTCGTGTGATCTTCGTCATCACTATCACTATCCTCCGCATCTCCACGAGCAAAATCCGCGCAAGCGTCTCGAATCTCCTGCAGAGCAGGCTGTTCCACGCGAAGACAAAGATCTCGAAGCTCATTGGTGGTGATCTCTGGATCTGCGAGGAACTCATCCACGCTCTTGGCTCGCAGAGCAGCAGGAAGCAACGCAGCTTGCGAGATAAGTAGTCGACACAGAAGCAATTCTTTGATCTCCGCAATGTCGTCAAGCAGCTGCTCGACTTCATCTGCTGGCATGCCTGGGATCTTTCCCACAAGTTCAGCTGGCCGATCCATGGTGCCCGCAAGCCTGAGACCATCAAACATGGTTTCGTCGACGTTTTGTCCGATGACCAAGCGATCATGCATTTCTTGCCGCGTCTCATTGACTTCAACTGTGGGTGTGTTCTCCTCTTCTTCACGGGCGTCGGCTTTGGCTTTGGCCTTCGCTCTCTTCTTTGCGTTTCTCGTCAGCGCGCTACCTGGTGTATTGCTTTTCGAGAGAGCGGCGGCTTTGGGATCGATGTTCTCTTTCTCCGACGGCTTGACTTTGTGCGTCTTGTCCCTGGACATAGGCGACTGGGACTCCGAAGCTCTCTCAAGATCCTGCGTGGCAGATGCCAGCCACATCAAGCGTCTCATCAGGTCGACATAGTCCTCGCGTTCGTCTTCGATAGTGTCCTCGATTGGATCGAACTCCAGATCATTGTGATTGGCCTGTCTCAGACGCTCTTCATACGCCTTGTCCAGGTACGCATCTTGTTTTCGCTGTTCCTCTAGATGCCTCTTCTTCTCGAGCCTGGCATCTACTACCTTCATATGCCGCTTGAAAAGTAAAGCCTCCTTCTTGACCTTCTTGCCCTCATTGTCTCGCGTGTTTTCCTCATCATCCTGACGCTGGCGTACCCAACTGAACCATTTCTGCTGCTCGTACAGAACTTCTGCCGTTCTTCGTTGAAGTCGTTGTAATGCGCGAAGGGTAGTGCCTTTGTCGTTTACCAGTCTGTCAATGTAATGCTTGTGGCCATAGTCCAGCGTCTGGGAGTAGAAATGTGCATGATGAAGTCTCCTCGCGCGAATGACGCGGTCCAATAGGTTGTGCTTCTTGAACAGGTAATGATAGAGGCTGTTGAGCGTCTTCTCATCCTGGACGGAAGCGAACGTCTCGTTACGTAGGGAAGTCTGCGATTTAGCAAGGTAGTCTGGTGGAGTTGCATCGAGAGTGGTCAACTGGGCATTTCGCTTCTTGTATCCCATATACATGCCCATGCATTGACGGGCATGATAGCCACAGAAAAGGCCATTGGCATGCGTGGCCTCACCTCGACATGGTGTCTCGTCTGAAAGGTTGAGAGCACGACAGACTTGCGCCATTGCTGTGCTGTGAGACACGTTTTCAGAGTGCTGTGTGCTTGTAGAATTACCTTAGTCGTAGGGCAAGAGAAGTGGGAGACAGGAAAATGCAAGTCCTTACGCTCCTCAACAAACCAAAACAATGTGATACATCAACTTCCCTCACCCGCGGTGGTCATGGCGGTGACGACGTGACACTTTCGCGTCTGCAGGTATCCGCTCGAGATCTCAACGCAATTCTGAATCTTGCCCTTGTCGTGTCAACGATGAGCAGTAATCGTGTTTTTGCTGAGACCTCCTCGATGCCCCATTCGATATCACGCTTGTGAAATGGGGTGTTGAAGAACAGTGTCCTCGAAGCCAGAATCGCGCTATGCCCAATTTGCTTAGCATCACATGCCGCAAATTAGAGTTCACGGAGTTACACTAGCGTGCTCACAAAGCACATGTCGCCCCACTCGAAGCTTAAATGCCACGGAGGTGAATGAGTGCTGAGGAAACGTGTGTAACGATGCTCTGCAGATTGGGATAAGAATTCTGGGTCGTTAGTCAGATTGCGGACATAAAGTGACAGAGGACGACTTCGTCTACCCGAGACCTCGAACTGTAAGGGCACAATGTTGCCTTGGTGGTTAGCGAGCAGCGACGCCAGAATGTATAAGAGAAGTCTGGCAGCCCTGCATCCAACAGAAAAGATATCACACGACAGCCCTCCTCCATTGATTCTTCAATAGAAGCCTCAAAAAGACACTATCACCTCCCTCCTCTCTCCTCGCAAACATGAGTCCAATCCCGCCCCAACCCACCAACCTCTCCGCCTTCCTCGACAGCCCCAACCAGCCCCTCCGCATCGCCCCAAGCCCCCTCCCAACGCCAGGAGAAAACGACATCATAATCCGCAACCACGCCGTCGCAATCAACACAATCGACCCAGCGCAAGCCGCCGGCTTCAACGTCAAGAAGTACCCCACCGTCCTCGGCCACGATCTCGCGGGAGAGGTCTTCGCCGTCGGATCGCAGGTGACCAGGTTCCGGAAGGGCGATAGGGTCATTGGCCATGCGTGGCAGTTTTTGACGGGCGAGGCGGCGGATGGGGCTTTTAGTTTGTATTCGAGGGTGCCGGCGCGGAATGCTGCGGTTTTGCCGGAGGGGATCTCGTATGCTGATGGGGTTGTTTTGCCGCTTGCTCTTGATACCGCGGCCGCGGGGTTCTATCAGGAAACGCATTTGAACTTGGAGTTACCGACGATCGATGCCAAGCCGGCGAGTCGGGGCGAGGTGGTCGTCGTCTATGGCGGTTCCTCTTCAGTTGGTGCTGCAGCCATCCAGCTTGCTTTCAATGCAGGCTACCGTGCTCTCGCAACTTCCAGTCCTCGCAACTTCGACCTTTGCCGTAACTGCGGTGCCAGCGAAGTTTTCGACTACAAGTCAAGCACCATTGCCGAAGACATCGCTCGTGCAGTCGGCAGCGACAAGTTCGTCGGTCTATACAATGCAATCGGGGTACCAGAGTCCTTCGACGTGGTCCTCCCCGTCATGGAGAAGTTAGGAGGTGGAATCGTCGCAAACACGAAACCGCCTGGCAAGTTGCCAGAAAATGTCTCAGCACGATTTGTGCTGGGCGTTGGCGAGTCCAGTTTCCCGCTGTGGGAGGGCTTCGTCACCGAGGGGTTGGCGTCTGGAAAGCTGAAGTGTCTGCCAAACGCTAAGGTCGTCGGGAAGGGCTTGGGGAGTTTGCAGGCGGCATTCGAGACGCGCGATGGGCCTGTGAGCGCAGAGAAGATCGTGGTGGAGCTGTAAGTGGTATGGGTGGAGTCAAAGGTGATGAAGTGATGTCCAACTCGTCAGAGAGCCGCCAGCTGGTTTGCCCCTGTATCTTCCTGTTCAGATCAGCTTCATAGATACTTTCCTAGAGAGGACGTGGCCTCCAGTCAACAGACTCAGCACTTCGCGAACTCTCTCATCACGAACACGCTGCTATCCGCTAAGACTCCTTATCAGCGCCGAAGATGGCTGCAGGACATCGGGCATCCGGAATGATATCGTGTCCCGAGTCTCTGTCATCTCTGACAGTAAAGGCGCGAGGATCGAAAGCATCTCCATATCGACCAGCTTCAGCAATTCCCGGCAGAACAGCACCTACTTTGCACAGACTATGAGGATTGCTATGGAGGACGCGGTCCAGTCTGGCCTGATTTGCCACCAGGCAAGCATGACACCAGCCCATCTCTGCAGTCGCCTTCTGTTGCTCAAAGACATGGTATGCCAGCGTGAGGCACAATCGAACGATCAAAGCAGGCACCACGCGGTCCGTTTGTGTGAACGACAGGATGACTTTGCAGAGTCGACGGGCCAGTTGGTCAGCGTTTTGCTCGATCTTCCGCTGTAGTTCAGACGGGACGAGCATGGTGGTATCGGGACATAGGAACCAGATGCGCAGAATGGTGCACTGGACCACGAGTGACAAGATCGCAGTGCATACGAACTGATTGGCGTCCACCTCGGACATCGGAGCGTACACTTTGGGGAAGACAGAAGAGCTTGCCATGACCACCACCTCTTCTGTGTTAGGTCTCAACCGCTGAGCCTGCGTCACACCTACGCTTGGAGGCTCCTGGAGTTGAGGGAAGAGACCTTGAGCATGGTTGGCGATGATATATAGGCGAGACACGTGGTCTAGGAGCTGCGTCACCGATCCTCCAGTCGACAAAGCATGATCAGTCCGCTCGAGAAGGGTCGGGAGCGCACCGAAAACTGTCAACAATTCGGCCAGTCCTTTGGATTTAATCTGAAGCCAGGCGGGATGTACAGTCCAAGCCTTGCGCTTCGCCAGAGCGAGGAAGAAACCATTGTAACAAATGTGGCGGATCAAGCCCCTATCCAAGGTCTGGTCAGCGTCCAGATGCTGGGGCCCCTGCAGCGTGAGCAGGTGCTGCGCGGTCTCAAGATGAAGGACCCAACAGTCATCAGTCTTGCCATCGTCCGACAATTGCCGTACATGATCATTGACATGAGTCATCAGAGCCATTGTCGAGACGATACCGCGAACGTGGCTCCCAACATCCTTCTGAGTGCCAGCCATGCGTAGTGAGGAATTGAGCATGCCCAGCAGACGCCCATATGCAATCCGACTCTCATGGCGGATGCGCTCATTATGGCTCAATGCTCCAACGTGTGCCAGGCCCATCGTCCTCTTCGCCAACTTGAGCAGCTTGGTCCCAGGCACAGTCTCGGCCATTGCACGCAGGTATGTGATCTGCCGCCAAGGAGAGATGGTGGCCGGCAAGTAGGTCTCGTAGAAGTCGGCGAACAGTTGCGTATCGAGCTCATCTGAGTCCGGCAATGAGCTTTGCAGTAAGGGCCGTGATATCTCAATCTCCTGGACCCGCGCCACGACCAATTGTTGTTTTTCCTGTTGGCGAGCGGCGTTCTTGATCGGACGTGTGCCACTCCTTCGACCTTCTTGCTGTGATCTTCTGTTCAGCTTTTGGCCGATCGTCTGAACACACATCTCATACCAACCTTTCGGCGCGGAGGCTGTTCAGGACCAAAATGCAAACTGGAAACGGCTCCGGGTTCGCATGGCGTCGTCCCCCTCGGCGTCGCTGAAGGAAGTGGCTGGCGAGACATGCCGGAGAATGGAGCGAAAGACGACCACGAAGACTGTCCAATACTCCTACCTCTTACACTGGTTCTATGAGCCGCCAGCGAGCAGATTGAGACGCAGTCCTCACTGTTTTCCGAAAGATCTTGCCGCCAATACCAACACAATCAAGCTTGAACAACATTCAGCCGCACGCAGGCGACTTGGCCTTGCACTCCCCTCTTCTGCAGGAAACACATCCTCTAACCGACCCTGCTAAACATCAGTACTCGTGCTACAACATACTCGCCGTCTCGCGCCGCCTGGCGATTTGCCAGGCGCGAATGCCACAAGTCCCGAGGAACCGACTGTCGCATAGCATCGCGGCATCTCCATGCACCTCTTATCGCGCGACAAGTATACCATCCAAAGGACACCCAACGCGGGCAAATAATAGCCAGGAAAAGCACTCCACGATCTTGATGAAGCAACCTCGATGTCTATGTTTTGTCGATGGAGGTGGCACCGTGGGGATTCTCCGGATGTGACTGGAAGCCGTGGAGGCCCACGTTGGCTTGCGAAAATCCACTCTTCTGACTTCATCCCATCCATCCTCCTTCAACTGCATACATCATGGCTTTTCGGTTGGGACGAGACTTTGTGGCCTGCACAACCCTTTCTACTCGTCCATCAAGCATGCATTGCTACGTTCTCACATGGCCAGAACGATACGAACACTGGATCTTCTCCAGAGAAGAAGCAATGTCTTTGTCGTCTGTCTGATCGCGGCCTTGGGCCATCACGATCGTTGAGATCAAGCAGTAGGTAGGTGATTTTAGCTTCCTCTATCTCTACCCACAGCACACACTATCTCGTGAAAGAGCCACTTTTAGGCACTCTGATCTCGAAAAACGTCAGAAGGGATTCAAGCCAGATTTTACGCGTTCACTCTACTATCCTCTCTTCTCTGCTGTTCAATCACATTGTCCTTGTCTCTACCACAATTTCTCTTTCCAGCAAGAACACCAGCAACAATGGCGATCCACGCACAGGAACCTCCCCAACAAACCAAACAGCCAACCTCCCAACAACTCCCAGATGCGTCCAACATGGGAACGAAGCGAAAAATAGTCTGCTTCTCAGGTACGTCCCCTCCCAGAACTCCACCACTCCGAAAACCCTACTAAACAAAACGCACCCTAGACTTCGACGGCACAATCTTCATGCAAGACACCGGCCACATCCTCTTCGAGACCTTCGGCTGCGGCCCCGAAAAACGCGCCCTCCTCGAATCGCAAATCAAATCCGGCGAGCGCAGTTTCCGCGAAGTCTCCGAGGATATGTGGGCATCGCTCGACGTACCCTTTGAGGATGGGTTCAGAGCTTTAGAAGACGGTCTTGAGATCGATAAAGACTTCCTTCAGTTCCATGCCTTTTGTCGGAATAACAATATCCCGTTTAATGTCATCTCAGCGGGGTTGAAGCCGGTGTTGAGGAGGGTGCTGGATCATTTCTTGGGAGAGGAGGCGAGTAGTGGGATTGAGATTGTGGCGAATGATGCGGAGATTGACAAGGAAGGGCATGCGTGGAAGCCGGTGTGGAGGCATAATACGCCATTGGGACATGATAAGGCGTTAAGTATTGATGAGTATAAGAGGCGGGCGGAGATCGAGAGTGAGGATGGGACGATACCTATGGTTGTGTAAGTCCAAGTCCACCAGTCCCACTCTCCACACCAAACTTGCTGATAAACATCCAGCTTCATCGGCGACGGCATCTCCGACCTAGCAGCAGCCGGCCAATCCGACGTCCTCTTCGCCCGCCGCGGCCTCGCCCTCGAAAACTACTGCATCGAGAAGAAGATCGAACACATCCCCTACGACAGCTTCGCCGACATCCAGCGCGAAATCATGCGAATCGCCAAACTTGACGAAGCCAAGACGAAAGGCGAAGGTCTGCCAGCCAAGTTCAACCCCCGGGCGAATATGTGGCGGAGGGTCAGTTCGAAGCAGGCGATCCCGGCGTTCAAGGCGCTGACGCCGCAGAACGAGGAGAGGGCGTTTTTGTGGCCGGAGACGTTTACGGAGACGAGGAGGCCGACGGCTTTGAGGGCGGCGACGTCTGCGTAGAGGTTGTGATGTTGTTGGGTGGAGTTGAGAGGATGTCAGATCGTATTGAATACTTCCGGCCTCAAGAGAGTTCATATCCTTGCTTTTGTTGTCTCGAAATGGAGCGACAGCACAGGGATCAACGTGTCCATACTCGAACTCCGGACGTCTGGGTTGACTCTTCACAAAGTGAAGCAGTTCGTCGTCATCAGGTTCCGCTCCTTCCTCAGAACAACATCACTGTCGTTTCCAAATCTGTCGCTAACGAGAATCGTTCGTTGCCCTCACCCATACTCCCAGATATTGACACGAACAACATGCGCCTCCTCCTCCTCCTCCTCCTCCTCCTCCTCGCCCTCATCGGCAGTGCAGCAGCACAAGCAATCCGAGGTTTCAATTCGGGAGGCATAGGTCCAAAGGGACCCAAATCACAGCAAGACTTCGAAGCCGAGTTCAACAAGATCAAGAACCTACCAGGCACCGGGCCCTTCACCTCCATCCGGCTGTTCACGATGATTCAGCCGAATACTGCCAGCGTAAGCTCACTCGAGGATGCATTCTATGAGGTTGTGCTAAGTGATATGATCAGGACCCAACAGTAGCCATCCCCGCCGCCATATCCACACAAACCCGCCTGCTGCTCGGCCTCTGGGCCAGCGCCGGCCAGGACGCCTTCAACAATGAACTCACCGCCCTCAAGGCAGCCATCACCCAACACGGCGAGAAGTTCACCTCTCTCATCGACGCCATCTCCTGCGGCTCAGAAGACCTATATCGAATTACACCCACCGGCATCGCAAACAAAGCAGGCATCGGCGCCTCCCCTGACACGCTGGTGCAATACATCCAGCAACTCCGCGACGCAATCAAGGACACGCCTGCATCCGGGGCGAAGATCACACATGTAGATACGTGGACGGCATGGGTAAACGAGAGTAACTTCGCAGTGACCAAAGCCGTCGACTGGCTCGGCATGGACGGCTACCCCTACTACGAGAAAGAGCACGAAAACACCATCTCGAACGCCGGACAGCTCTTCTTCGACTCGTACAACAAGACCGTCGCCGTCTCGCAGGGGAAACCTGTTCACGTCACGGAGACGGGCTGGCCGGTTGCTGGGCCGAAGTCTGGGCTCGCGGTGGCTTCTGTCGAGAATGCGAAGAAGTATTGGGATCAGGTCGCTTGTCGGTTGCTGGGGAGTGTGGATACGTGGTGGTTTACGCTGGATGATGCGAAGGCGGATCCGGGGGAGATTTCTTTTAGTTCGATTAAGCCGGATTTGGGGGATCCGTTGTTTGAGCTTTCTTGTCCTGGAGAGTAGGGAGGAGCAGTATGTCGGAGAGGCGATTCCCAGCTCTGTGTGTTGCTTTAGTTTGGCCGTGGCTGGAATCGTAATCAATTCTATGCACCTGTGCATGGTCGTACTTGACATCGGGGCCTTTTCACTCTTTACGTCCGTCCACCACGACCTCCTGATCGACATTTGAAAGGCTGAGATCGTTCAACTCCACACTTCGTACTCAAGACACCCTCTCATTGATTCGAAAGCATTACCAATAGATTTGTTGGAGGTTTCGCTACAGGTAGGTATAACTTTCGTCAAAATATGACCACGATCAGTGGCCACATCATTGCAGTAGGCAAGCGAGCGCGTGAGTACGAGAGATGCAGCCCCATCTGTAAACACAACATGGGCGCCTGTAACACACTCGCATTGGTCAAAAGCCCGCATCCAAATCTGCCGCAGCCTGATCAGCGACCCTGAATTAGAACTACGCCGCATGATTGCAGGCGCTTAAAACTGGATCAATATCTCCCTTCACGCCACCTCGTCCTACACGTTCTTCGTGCAACCACACCGAACGATGCCGCCCACCGAGCGAGCCAGGCTATTACAATTCCACTTCCGGCACACAACTCTGCTGCGTAGCTGGCGATACGTGCGGTGCGAACTCCATCTGCCACTCCCTGTCTTCACATTCACCGCTATATTCGTCCTTCTACCTCGGCGGCTGCACAAATCCAACTTCGACGATCCGCTCTGTCGACGGGATTGCAACGATCGGGGGACGCTGTTAGTAGGCGCGGATGTTGTTTACGACGAAGGAGATGGAGACGGGGTCTGGAGTTGTTGTGGACGGACGACGGATGGGACTAATGGCGTGGATTGTTCGAATCCGGTGGACCGCTTGTCTTTTCAGATTGGATGGACACCTGATCAGTTTCCTGGGCCAGTGGACAAGGCGCTCACGCCGGGTGTTACGACGACGGTGGGAAGTGTGACGGGTGCGATGACGAGGAAGTCGAGTGCCGCAACGAGCATGCCGACTGCTCAGACGTCTCAGAATAGCTTGATGTCGACGACTGTGGTTGGGTCGGCAACTGCTACGGCGGCTGTAAGTCCGCAGAGTCCTACTGCTGCAGCAACGGACCACAATACCGGACTGTCGACGGGGGCAAAAGCTGGTATAGGAGTCGGAACCGCGGTGGTTGCTTTGGCCTTGCTTGGAATGATCGCGGCTATCCTGCTGTTGTGGAAGAAGCAGAGTAAGCCAGATCAAAACAGAACGTCCGCTCCCAGCACAGAGACACCACAAAAGCCGGAAGGAGGATATGACTTCAAGCCCTCGGTGTTCCATAGGAGCCAAGGGTTTGCATCTCATCCGCACGAACTGAGTGCTTCGGCAATGACGCACGAGTTAGATTCGAGTGTGCAGCCACGGCATATGATGGATTCCGGGTTCAGGACACATCAGGAGTGAGGGTCTCTGGCTTGTCTTGATGCGAAGGCGGATCCGAATGAGATTTCCTTCAGCACGATGGAGCCGGATCTTGAAGATTCGCGGTTTGATCTTGCTTGTCCTGTCGAGTAGGGAGGATCGTGATCCCGGGATTGGATTGGATCTGTAAGCGTAATACCTAAATCGCATTTGTAGCCTGATGTAGGCAATGCTAGGGAGTCAATAGACGAAGCTCGGCGGTTTGCGACTTCATGTCTGCTGTTGCATACTTGGTACCAACCTGAAAGCCCTCTGTTTTCGCTGTGAGGCCGCTGTCACTATCATGGCGCATGGAATGCGTCGTACACTCGTAAAAACCCAGCGTGAGGTCGACTCTGTCTTCTGACCGCTGTTCTACTCAACGTCGCACAGCCCAGACACGTTGAACCACGCGGTACCATATCATGCTCTTGCATTATTCTGCACGCGATGCCTTGCGTCTTTGCCCCTTCTCTCTTGCAGACTTTCCGTCTTTCACAGCATTAACTGAACCAGGATTGCTTGCACAGCTTGGACGGGAAGAGCTCTCCCATGCGCGTCATGGGTTTCGGTTGTGGATCGTCAGGTACGAGAGCCAAAGTCAACGCGTGCACCGCGTCGCGTGGTCACTCGATTCACAGCATCCTCTCATGCAGCACGCCTGCGGTCTTGGCAGGAGTGGTATGGCAGTCGACGGACGTAATGGAATCCTGAGCTGCGAACGTCGCACCGCCGATGATGCATGCGATGTTGTACGGCGTCCCATCTTGGGATTGTTGGAGAGCAAAAGGTAAAACTTCGAGCTCGACGCTGATCGTGATCCTTCCGATGGCCGCCAAATCTCCGCGACCGCATGGTTGTCGTCTGGTTCGACGAGTTGCGAACCGGGAAACCCGGCATCCCGAGCGAGCAGGTTTGCCATCGGGCAGGATTGTGGCAGGTCATCAGGCAGTGAGGGGAAGGTGGCCGAAGTGGACAGACAGACCTCGATAAGACCTCCGCCAAGGGCTGATCTGCTCGCTTGGCAACAGCGTCAAACCAAAAACCCACTCTCTGCTGCAGCAGGCCCACGCGGGAGGTGGAGGAGGTCTGCTCGCCGTCTCGTCACAGGATCCAACGGCCGCTGGAAATGAAGATGGACAAGGATCCTGCCTCTCCTTGACGCTATTGCCTGCACGCTCGTGGAGTCGACGGCGCCCCATGGGGTCATCGTTGCGGGACATGTGCTTGCTGCTGCAACACCACCTCCAGCCAAAATCTCCAGAAGGAGCAGGGTTGGTTGCGAGTACGGTCCTTCTCGCATTAATATGTAGGTGCCTGTCCTCTCTCACTTCCATCTTCTTTGCTTCTTCTCTCTCAGCAGCAGTAGAAAATGCATTTCCATTCATACGCCGCCATCCTTTCGGGGGCATTGGGTGCCAGTGCCCTCAAGTTCCCTCGCCAGGCCGCCAATGCCTCCACACGGTACTCGGTGCAGACTCCTCCTCTCGACACGCCGTGGACGTACGAAGTAGGAACAGACCCATGGCCGCAATACCCAAGACCAAAGCTCGCTCGATCCCAATGGCAGAGCTTGAACGGCATCTGGACATACTCCAATGCTAGCAACTTGGATGCTGTGAACAGCCCTCCATTCAACCAGACACTGCCAAGAGAAGTCCTGGTTCCATTCTGTCTCGAGAGTGGCTTGTCCGGCATTCAAGGCCAAGATGTGCTCTACTCGTGGTACCAGACCACGTTCGAAGTCCCTCGCAACTGGACTGGTGAGCGAGTGCTGCTGAACTTTGGTGCGGTGGATTATGAGACGACGGTCTTTGTGAATGGACAAAACGCCACTTTCAATCGTGGAGGCTACTTTGCGTTTTCGGTGGATGTTACTCCATACCTCAACCGAGGTGGTCAGAACGAGCTGTGAGTTACAGAAACATGAAGATTGAGGGTTGAAGACTAATTATGATAAGGCTGGTCTTCGTTCATGACCCAACAGACAGTGATCCATATGTCATCCCAATTGGAAAGCAGACTCTGAACCCATCCCACATCTTCTACCGACCTTGCAGTGGTATCTGGCAGAGCGTATGGATCGAATCCGCCCCAACAAACCACATCACCGCGATCAACGTCAATGGAGATGCTGGCGGCAATGTCAACATGACCGTGACGAGTTCTGGCAACGCTAGCTCCACTGTAGAAATCACAGTCAAGGAGAGAGCCAAGGACGATGGAGGCCATGGTGGTTCTCCAGGCCAGGGAGGACCACCAGGCTACGGAGGCTACAGCGATAATGGGTTCCAGTGGGGCCATGGAGGTCACGGCGGCCACGGTGGCAATGGCGGGAATGGAGGCAATGTCGTAGCCAGGCACAGTGGCACGACGGGCTCTCCCATCACATTCAAGGTGAATGGGGCCAAGACCTGGTCACCCAGCGATCCAAACCTCTACGACATTGAGATCAAGTTGGGCTCGGACGATGTCACCAGCTACACTGGTTTCAGAACCGTTGGACGAGAGGAAGTTAATGGCGTTCAAAGGATCACATTGAATGGTGATGCCATCTTCACAATGGGTACCCTTGATCAAGGTAAGAACATCCCTTACAGCAACAAAGCGTTCCCTTACTGATGTCGTCCAGGATACTGGCCAGACGGACTCTACACACCACCCACCTACGAAGCCATGACCTATGACATCCGCACCCTGAAGAAGATCGGCTACAACATGCTCCGCAAGCACATCAAAGTCGAACCCCCGCTCTTCTACGCCGCCGCCGACGAAATCGGCATCCTCGTCATGCAAGACATGCCCGCGCTCCGCCCCTCCCAATCGCGCACCCTCGCCAACTGCACCACGGAAACCATCCTCCCCGACGACGCCCAACAAGCCGAGTTCCAGCGCCAGCTCGAAGTCCTCATCACCCAATTCCGCTCCTACACCTCCATCTTCAGCTGGGTCATCTACAACGAAGGCTGGGGCCAAATCACCTCCTACTACCCAGAGTTCGCACTCACCGACCTCGTCCGCGAGCTCGACCCCACGCGCATCATCGACTCCGTCACAGGCTGGTACGACCACGGGGCCGGCGACTTCAGCGACAACCACCACTACGCGAACCCGCAGTGCGGCACGCCGTGGTACAGCATCAACTCGTCGCCCTTCGACCCGAGCCGCATCGGCTTCCAGGGCGAGTTCGGCGGCACCGGGCACAACGTCTCCGCAGACCACCTCTGGAAAGTCCAGGAGGCCATCAACACGATCAATCAGACGTACGAAATCGACCAGACGCTCGACACGTGGAACTACCGCGGCCACTTCCTGCTGAACGAGCTGCTCTCGCAGGTGGAGCTGTACTCGTGCGCGGGCGCCGTGTGGACGCAGACGACCGACGTCGAGGGCGAGGTCAACGGCATGTTGACGTACGATCGCCGGATCCTGCGCCCCGTGCTCGAGCAGTGGAATGCGGATATCCAGGCGCTCTATGACGCCAGTGCGAAGAGAACGAATGGGTCCATGCCGATTGCTTCGAGCACGATTGCGTATACCACTGCGACGGAGCCCTGGCCGCAGACGTTCTGGAGTGGGTATCACTGGACGCCGGCGGGGCCTGCGAGGACGACGGGTGGTGGGGGTGTTCCTGGGGGTTGGGGATCTTGACGATATCATCAGAAAGTCTTGATGGAGGAGTGATAAGTTTCATGAGCAGATGACAGATGGAAGCCAGGTTTGCATCGCATTGCGTGACAGGATAACGTTTGGCGATGATGAGAACACAGAACAAGAGTCTCGTCCACAGCAGCACATGAAAGTCTTCCATCCTCAATGCTGCTCCTCTCAGTAGTAGCAGGTCTTCTCTTCTGGTGCAAGTACCTTATTACTGATCTCGCAATCTTCTCCCGTCTCCATTTCCATACTAATCCAACACCCTGCCCTGCCCTATCCTTCTCAATCCACCGGAATTCCTCACGAGAGAGATTCGCGGAACAAATCCCCATAACCCTACCTACCACCACTACTGACTCTGTGTAACCATCGACGCCTTCACATGCCACGTACCACACTACCGTAACAACTTCTTAGGGCAGATCGGAATCCTCCGCGGTCCACATTCACCGCACACACGTGGGAGGGCTCACTGACATCTGCGCACAAATCCCAGAATTCTCTTCACATCGACATGTGGACCACCGATCGTCACGATGGTTGTTACATCGTCGTAGACGGATTCGGTGAGTGCATGGCAGTGGTCAGTGGCAGTGTTAAGTTTCAGCCAACGCCCTCCATGCACGAGGGCTTCGCACGGCACGGGAGAAGTTCCGCTGTATAGCAAGAAGCTTGCTTCCCGGTGCCGAGAGTCCAGATAGGTAGTTGTACGGTGACGGAGAATTGGGAATGGTTCGGTTGGAAGTTCGTATATAACTCGTGGGTTTTCTTGACAGACGGCCTGAAAGTGGGGAGGTTGGTGGATTGAGTTTTTGGCGTCGTCGTCGGGTTGGGTTGCTGCCCGATCGTCGTTGTCGTCGTCGTTCTTCTTTTACCTGGCGAACTTGACTTCCTGTGTGCACTGAAGAGTCCGAGACGAGTGAGACTCTTGTGTCGACGACAATGGCGGTCTCCAACGCACCTCTCGTGGGCCCGGTCATTGCGATGGCCTTGTGGACTTTTTCCATGGAGTTCTGGATGTGCGTTTTCCACATCGTCGGTTCTCTTTGACAATCACTGACCGCTCCCAGGTACTCATACCGCCTGCCCGACATCTCCAAGTACAACGTCCAGATGCCACCAACAGTGTAAGCCCCCAGCACTTCCCCTTCCAGAGCGATCGCATTCAGCTCATAGTCCTTCTCATGCAGAACCAAAGCCGAACTCGAAAAGCAAATCCCTCGACATCGAAACTGGCCCGCCGAGAACTTCAATCATCTACACGAACAACCAACCGTCTTCTTCGCGGTCGCTTTGGCATTGACATTTCTCGAGGTCTCTGACGGCTTGACTGTTACTCTTGCGTGGGCGTACGTTGGCGTTCGAGTCGTGCACAGCTTGATCCAGGCCCAAACGAATATCATCATGCGGCGGTTTGCGGCGTTTGCGACTTCGAGTGTGATTCTTTTTGGCTTGACGGCCAAGGCTGCTGTGGTTTATTTCTTCTGATGTGGATGTTCTCAGTGCGAGTGCGATTGCTCGATGGATGCGTTGTGATGATTGTTGGAGATACCCCTTCTGCTTTTCAATGCCGTGTTGATAGTCTCAGCGCTGCTTTTCTCCTTGTCAATATGTCGTCCATAGATAGCAAGAAATGATCTCGGTTCAGAACTCTTCAATATCTTCCATTCCGGGTATCAATCAAACCCATCCTAACGCCTCCCAATGCATCATACAATATACACCCAAGATATCCACCCTTTTCCCTTTCTTCGCCTTCTCTTCTCCTCTACACTCTGTACTGCTCCCTCCCATGAAACGGACTCCAAACCCCCCTAACGCTCTCATTCAAACTCCTCACAGGCTTGGTAACCCTCTTCAACTTCTCCCCACTCGCCTCCTTCAACAGTGCCACCTTATTCAGAACCTGCAACTCATGCAAATTCCTCACACAAATCGGCTTCGTGCGTCCGTTCATGTAGTGTCCGATGACGACGGGGTGCCGGCCGGGGCGAGGGGAGACGGAGATTTCGATCGAGGGGTTTTGGCGCGCGAAGAGGGGAAGTTTGTTTTTGATGAAGTCGCTGTTTGATGGAAGGTCAGTATATGGTTGGGTGGTGGCGTGTCGAGGTGAGGACTGACTTCATTCCTCTGCTGCTGCCGGCCCAGTCGCAGTAGTGAAAGTCCAGGCGTTTGCACTGGAGGATGAAGGCCCCGACGCCATTCTATGAGATAGCATGAGCGACTGTACGTATCATTCAGATAATAATACATTACCTGAGGCTTTGCTATCGTCCGCAGCGCTTGGAGAGGCATGCTGGCATCGTCTCGTTGATGTCAAGGTATTCACAGCAGATGGGGTTGGACTTGACTCGGGATATGGCTTGGCATTGCCGCGGAGAGATTTCTTGCCTCAGGCATCCAATATTCACTAACCACTACGTACTGTAGGATACTAGAGCCTATCACTACGACTTTGAGCTATCTGAATGACTGAAGAAATGCATGTTCCTTCAGTGTTATCAACTCATCGGTGCTGCAGCCATCCACCTCCTACATGTCGACCCTTCCTCACGATTTTCTTGGCCGTGAGCTGACAATTGTGACGGGCTTGGTGCGTGGCGAAGGCATCTCCGTATCTTCTGACTGAACGTGAGCTCCCTAAGCCCCGTTTGTACCATTGGTGATTGGAGGTGCCTGTCGCTTCTGCTGCAGCCAAGCATCCGCGTTCTGGAATGTGTTCTTCAACTCAGAGCTGACAATCGCGCTGTCAGCAGCCTGTACACCAGCGTTGATCTGTTCATTGATTAGCCAAAGCCTTTTGAAAGAGGTCTTTCCAACTTACTGCAGCCCACATCTTCCACGCCTTCGCCAAATCACCATCGATATCTTCCGCATGATTGAACCAGTTCTTGATATTCGCGCGCCGGGACGGGTCCTGTGACTGCTCGTCGAGGAAGCTCTTAACAACCAATCCTAAGCCGAGATCAGGCTCTTTGCCAAATGGCATCCTTCCCGCTATGCTTCTGTACTCGTCTTCGCGGTCTCGGTCTGCGCTCGCACTGAGCAGCATGTTGCAGGCATGCACCTCTGTGAGGTCACGAAGAGTGTTCCTCACGGCGGCTGCCACCTGATGGAATGCGAGCAGGTGCCTCGATAACGGACCAGTGTAGCCGATGGCATGATGTTTGAAAGTGCCAAGGCATGCAACACGGCTGATGAGATTCACGTGCGCCTTGTCTGCATCCGTGCCACGCATTGGCGACCCAGTGTAGGGAGGCTGTGGGAACGTGGGCTTCGAATTGAGCGCATCGAGGCGAAGTAGCTCGAACGCAACAAAGATGGCTTCTTCGGCCTCCCGGGGCGGAGAGATAGTTCCGAGTAGCTTGTCACTGATTGCTCGTTCGAACGCAGCCATGAGTGCCTTGCCCCATGCCGAGAGGGTGTGGTCAGAGTTGATGTACCCACGATCTTGAAGGAATCTCCAGAGAATGTTGGAAAGTAGCTCTGACTGAGTCGAAAGTAGCGAATGCTCTCCATCCTTGCGACGCGTTACGGTCTTCTTGGCTGTCGACTCGTTTGACAACAGCGTTATAGCGTACTGGATGGGAGACGAGTTGAGATCGATATTCTTGACATGGGATGCCTGGTTCAGTAGGCTGTCTTTGACGTGCCAGCTTTCAGCGTCCTTTGCCACCTCTGAGAAAGGCGTGTCTGGAAGTCCCAAAGCTTTCTTGTCGTTCTCATTGAACCAGCAGATAAGGCTGACGTCTTGCTTGGTGTAGTATCGGTGGAGAGACTTTGTCAGGACAGCGAGGCATCGTGATCGCATGGGCCGCAGCTTGTCCTGGACCAAGTCCTTGTATGCCTGGGAGCTGCCCCCATCTAAGGGTGGTGTCTCGAATATTTCGGACCGTGCACGCCAATTGAGTACTCGAGAGCCGATCAAGCCGTAGTGAAACCAAGTCATCAACTCGTCGGGAAGCCGATGGCTGATGACCTCGTGCAAGTCGGAGGGTGAACTGTCAGGGTCTAGGGGCTTGTATTCTCCCTTCATGGTCACGATTACCATGTGCTGCACGGCCATCTTAGCCTTGCGAAAGAGATCCAGATACTCAGCATCTTTTGCTTGCAGGCATGCCGTGTGGCCGTCATTGCCAGCGCGAGTGAGGATGGCTCTTGCAGCGGTCAGCTTTGAAGTCGTGGTGTCGTTGTCAATCTCCGGCATGGTTGTGAGGATGCTGGATCCAGACAGTAGGCAAAGATCGACAAATTGAGGGTGTGTAAGGCCGAGTTTGGAAAGGACTGCATCCTGTGTGACGAAGTAAGCTCGTTGACTCTCCCAGTCAAAGTGCGTGATGATCTGGTCAACTCCGAAGACCAGTATGGATGCGGAGCCAACGGAAGCATGAGTTAGATCTTTTTCGTCCAAATGGGCGATCTGTGCTGCAGCGTTGTATGGGGCGACCTGAACTTCGACTTTCTCCTGTTGTGCGAGGTAGAACATCAGGTATCGAGTGATGTGCGAAGTTCGATAGGTACCTAAATTCACATTAGCGCTCGCGCATACTCCACGAATTCATCAGTTGACATACAGGCTTTGCCAAACGCAACTACTGCATCATCACCACGACCTTGATCGTAGACCCTCCATGCCTCGTCGAGGATGTGCACAGACTTCTGAGAGTCTTTGCTGATAGTCTTGCGGTCCCGGCAGCCAAGTTCAAGTCCGCTGAAGACAAATATAGGAGTGATACCCGCTTGCCGAAAGTTGTAAAGGTCTTTGTCGATGTGATCCTTCAGAGCAAAAGGTAGTCCGCCAAGCGCTGGTAGCAGCGGCTCGCGGGTCTGTGAGTTGGTGAGCAGAGAGTTGAGATAGTCCTCGACGTCGATGCCGAACTCTCTGCCTTTGCAGCCTGCATCGATGGGAAAGGATTCGAGGATTTCTTCAGCTTTCACCCATTCCTTGAACGCCAGCGATTCGGAACCCATGTTCGGCCACTTCGCTCACTCGAGCTTCGAACTAGCCGTGAATCGATCGCATGCGGTTGGAAGCGGACCGCAGGTGTGAGATGTCGCGTCCGCGATGTGTATCCGTTTGGTCGTGAAGCTGCAGAGGACCCAGTGCCGTGTAGCGATGGAATTTGTGCAAGTTGTATGGAGGAGAGCGAAGGATGGAGAATTGAATGCGTTAAATGTGAGGGTGAAAGTGTGGGAGGCGGAAGGTGCTTGCTCTCGAGGAGCCACTAGACTACTGCAGGTACCATGGCACGGGCCGTGAGACCGCACGTGACCTTCGAACTATTGCTCCAAGCGCTGAACAGATGGAGAGTAAGCAGCAATCACATACTCGAGAGACTCGATTGGCCTCTTAGTGACATTACGATGTATGATTTCCGGTAGCTCAACTCGCATCCACACTGCAGAGATGACCCCTCCCAAGGTATCTATTTTCCACAAATCTACCCGCTCCTGAACGCCGAGATATGCTGCGTCTCCAACACCGTCTATGATACCTGCGATACTTTACATTTCCAGCCCGACGTCTGGCTAAGCAGAGGCAGGCTCGCTCCCAAACACCATCCCAGCTCATTACCCTTGATCTTCTTCGCGATCTTGACTTCTCTGTCGATTGGCATCTCATAGCCGGTATGCAACAACGCCAACATGAAATTCAGGTCCAAGCAGGTCTCTGGTCGGTCCTCGAGCTCTTCCATGGCTCCGGGAACGGACTGGAAGACCTTCCATGCGTCTCCGCCTTGGCACACTCGTGCCGTGAGATCCTTCAATTCTCTGAGGGTGAAGGATTCCGGCATGCCGAGCGGTTGGGTGCGGTCATAGAAGTAGGAGAAGAGGTAGACATCTTCTCGAGAGAATGTCTTCTCAAGGCTTGGTTGGTGGACACCGTTGAAAGCACACGGTGCAAGCTTGCAGTCGGCTTCCTTCTTAAGGGTTTTCTCAGCCAACGCACGGCATTGCGCCGGGCTTCCAACTTGCGGGCCAGTCATGTTGACAGTGACAGTCTTGCCAAGAGGATGCCCTTCGCTCAGAGGCACCTCAACCTCCTTGCTCATTCCGATACCAAAGCACGGGTTCGACACAGGCTTGTTCAGCCAGAGTGTCGACTCCTGGTTGTTCTCGTACATGCCCTCAACAACCACACGATGCAAGTTGTTTCGTGCTTCCATCAATCCGTAGCCAAGGTATGAGTGTTGGTAGAGCGTGAAGTCTCGTCCGCCGAAGCTCAACTCGTACTTGTGATCACCCTCTTGCATCTGCTCCGGCATACCCCCGTCTGCGGCTTCCTTGAACGTTGGCTGGAACACGATCTGGGTGCTACCACCACCAAGATCAAACACCGCGGCTGTCGGAGTCTTGTCAGGACCGCCAATCTTGCCGAGGAGATAGTTGGTGGTGATCCAGGCGTACACACCCTCGTCCTTGCCATCCATGACTTCTACGCCGCCCTTCTCTTCACTAACAACTGGGAATGGGTACTGAGTCTCCAATCTGTTCCGCACAGCCTTGAGAGTCGCATCGCTCATCTCAGGACCAAGTTTCCGCAGACCAGCCGTTGCCTTGACAGCGACCGGTGTGCAGCCCTTCAATTTGTCGGGCACATTCTTCACCGCAACATCCATCAGCACATCCAAGCTCTTAGCCGCACCTTCAGCATCGCCCTTGTAGCTGCTCAATCCAGATCCGCCCTCTTTCTTCGCCGTCATCTCGAAGATTTCATCCTCGAGCTCTGGTGTAGGTCCGCAGTTGTTGAACTTGTAAACATGAATTCTGCTGCCGGTGCTGCCGGCATCAATCATAAGCGCATATTGAATCAAGGGCTTGTCTTTCGAGTAGCTGCGCGTGCATTTCGAAGTCGCTACTGAGGGATCGCTAGCAACGTCTCCACCAGGGAACTTGCCCGCGCCAGGTACTATTGAGCCCGCATATCGTCCTCCTGGTACAATGTAGTATAGCATGGCAAGCACGAAAAATATCAAGCAGCCGGTCTTGATATACCGTGCCCTCGTGCCTTGATTCATCCACGCGGATTGCAGTTTCTCCTGCATGGACTCGGGTCTTTGTCTGTGACGGTCTGGTTTCTCGTGCGGATCGCGATCTTCGCGCTTTGGGAATGTGAGGGAGGATGCGCGGTTACGAGCCGACGAAAAGCTCACGTACGACCAGAGATTCGGCCTTTGGTGGGTGCCTGTGCTGCTGGTGGACATGAAGTGGTCGTTGAGGGTTGTGAGGTCAGATCATCGCCGATGTCGAGGTAGATGGCTTTTCAAGGAGCGACGAGAAGGGAGGCAGGATGGGAAAAGATTTTGGCGAGTGCGAATGGAGAGACAAGGTGGTATCTGTTCATCCCTCTCCCGCGGTCAATCGCGGCCACTGAACCCCTAAATTTGGCGTAGATCACGACGCTAAAGCGGATCCTTGCAGTATCACGTGAATGCATTTCTTCGTCTATAGGTCTCTATCGATCTACGACAACAGACTCGCAACTTCCTTTGCGATACCTCCCTCTACTTTGCATGCCTCTACCTTTCCCTTGGCATCCAACGCTGCACAAAGGTCGAACAGCTCTCCACCTTCAGGGGCGCAATAAACGAGATATCCCAGGGCAAGCAGAAGAGCCTTCGTAGCATCCGGGTTCTCTTCTTCAGACAAAGTCTCCAGTAATGATGCTGCAAGTTCCACCTGCTCAGCCTCAGCTAGAGCATCCTGCCCTTCTTCTCGGCGAGTCCGGTAATTGGATGTTGCCAGATTGAATGCCAGAGATGCTGCTGCGATTCGGGCGGTTGGATGTGTTGCGTCCAACAAAGACGAAGTTATCAGTTGAATCAGCTGCGCTATTGAGTCGTCCTCGGCAGTCAATAGCTCTCGCACAAACAGCGGCGATGCGAAGACGTTGCATGCTAGGTGGATCGTTACCAGTCGAAGATTGTGAGGGCAGTCTTTGAGATTGTTGACGTGGTTGACGAGGGCGGGGATGGTCTTGGGCTTGTTTTCCTCAGCGAAGTATCCACTGACTCGGGGATCGATCATGGCACATCTCAGCAAGTCGACGGCAGCAAATCGAATCTCCACAGGCAAGGACAACACCGAGGATGTAAACGTGCCTGAGATCTTGTGGAGGTCGGGCACCGGGGCGTCCTTGGGACTGTCGCTACGCTTCTCCACGAACGTCCGAAGTTCGGCAAATTCTGGTTGACTGGCAGCGTTTCCCAATTTTGTCGTCAATTTGTCCAACGGCGGTACTTTGGCGTAAGTAATTGGTCGCATGGATCCAAACTGCAGGGTTGGTACTTTGAGTGTGAGATGTCGATGAGGAGGGAATGTCTCGTTAATCACCCGCTCGACGTTCACCTTAAGCAGCTGAGGGTCGGCGCCACTCCATTCGTCTTGCTTCGCTCCCTTCGAAAAGGTTATGAAGGTAGGTGTAGCTCTGATCTGATACCGCATCGCGACGTCTTGGGCCTCGCTAATATCGACTTTGGCAAATAGAGCGTTTGGGTGTTGTTCCGCAAGGTTGTCGAACATGGGGTAAGCCAATTTGCAAGGCGCGCATGTTGCTGATGTGAAGAAGATGGTCACGACAGCATCCGATGCTTCTGCCAAGTATTCCTGGACGGCGTTCAGGCTCAAGGGGTTTACGACTTTGCCATATCTCAGTGATGGTGCTAGACTTTCTCCATTCGTCGCGGGTGGCACCTGCTTTGATCTTGCTGCAGCACTCGATGTGCCACTTCCGGAAGCCTGAGGTCTATTCTCGACGGGAACTTCAGCCTGAGTGATAGATCGCATGCTGGCATCGATTTGCGGCTTGAGCATTTGCCCAAACGGCGTATCGAGAACTCGTCGGGGGAGACTCTTTATATGCTCCGGTATTCCTCTACCAACGAGAAACATGGCAAAGTCGTTTGTAAAGTTGTTGCAGTTGTGAGCAAACAAATCGTAGCTTTCAGGCGTGTAGATTTCTTTCAAGCTTTCCAGATAATCAAGGATTGTTTCCATAGGCAGCTGGGTGGTTCCCATGGGTACGACTTCTATGGGCTTCCCATGGTGAGTTGTGCCTGCGTAGCATGTTTGAATTCCTGCTCCGAAGAAGTATTCTATCCCGTCGAAGACCAGCGAGGTGTGATAGACGGCCTCGATGTGGATTCCGAGAAGTTGTTGCGACATGGCCTTTGCCATCCCACGAGTGAGGTCGTAGACGTAGAGTTGGACTTCCATGTTTGTGGTGAGGTGACAGGTCAAAGTGTTTTCAGCAATTTTCTCCTTATCATGCTCGAGTTTGATGAAATCCAAGTGTTGATGATGGATCTGAGGGAAGCAGGCCGCCAGATGTTGACGTCTCCAGAGAACGCCACCTGTGGCTGTGCTTTCCTAACCGCATTTCACGCTCCTGCCATCAACATTCACCTCTATACTTTCACCATGAACAAGCTAACTTGTCAAAGAAAGCCATAGACCCGGTCTGGGACATAGAGCAGCAGATGGAGCACGACAGGACGGAGAGCGATCTGGAAAATATTTCAGCATGATGTCGTGAGACTTGAGAGGTTGAGAGAACAACCACAAGCTATTTCGAGCCTTTTCTGCACCGGCACCTGGAGAATAATGTCCGACCCGACCTGGCTCATAGAAGCCAACCTCTCACGCATGTGGTACAGCTTCGTCGACGCAATCAACAACCGAGACTTCAGCAACGACTCTCCAGTCTGGAAGAACCTCGCCCACGACTTCATCCACGAAAGCGACTCCCCTGGCCCCGAACGCAAGGCCTTTCGTGCCAAAGACAGGGGTCCATCGCAATACTTAGACACCCTCCGGAATCTCACCACAAGATGTCCAAACTATAGACAACACATCAAGAACACCTGTGTCTCGGTTTACTCGAAAGCAGGCTTTGCGGAGGCGGCTTTCGATATGGATGTTTACGGGCTTTTCCGGGATGTCATTAGACCACATGTCTCGCACGTGGAATTTCGGTTTAGAGAGGGCAGGTGGGTTTGTACTTTGGTGGAAGTCGTAAGCGGACAGGCGATTGCCGATGGGACGACGGGGGAGCTCTCTTGGCCGGAGAGGATTGGAGGACGGTCATGTGAATGAAAAGTGGCAATCTTCACATGCGCAAAGATGCGACAATAGGAAAAGCTCAATGACTTTCAAAGCTACTGCAGGGTCCTCTTGAAACGAGGGAAAGCGCCAGGAGAGCTCCTACATCGACTCTCAAACAAGGCCTCATACCACCACCACGACACAGCACACACCTAATGCCATTCCAACTCAACATGGCGCTCATTCGAAACCTCGTCCTCGTCTTCGCCGGCCTCTTCATATTCAAGTGCCTCGGGGAAGGCGCTTCACTCTGCCTGCACTTTCCTCACGGTGACAGCTATTGCTTCAGTCTCACTCATACGAAGACCAACATCACCCCCGTCTCCGATCACAACTCATTTTAGGACGAAGCAGTGAAGACTGGTGGTGGCGCTGGACATGGAGGTGAGTTTTCGATATTGGTAAAGCATGTGGAAATGAGGCGCTGACCGCGAATTTTGAAGAGCACTCAAGATCAGTTCGCGATTTAAGAGACATCGGAAGCGCCGGACGCAACTGCTCCTCACAGGATGCTGCAGAGAAGGGCATGAATGCTCGCGCGAAAGACACGGCTTTTGCGTTCCGGGCCTCAGGCAGTGACGCAGACATTTAAGAGCTACCCAAAGTTCACGACAGAGGCAAGACCCAGGAGAAGGGGAAGCATTGCAGAGACACAGGCGAAAAAGCCGTCTTTCAGAGACAAGGACCGTTGAAACGCATCGGAAATGAATACAGATTTGAAGACAAGCATGTCGCATTCAGAACAGCAATCAAGGAAAATGCTACTGATACAAGCCTTCCGCTGAACGCATCATCCGCATCTACTCTATCACGCAAGCTCGTTCCTCTCGCCTTCAGGAACGCAGGGGTATCTCAATGTCCGCCATAGAATGTTACATGTGCCGAGGAAAATCAAATTCAACCAAAACGCCAATCATCTTTCCCTGCCGCATCTCAGATGGCACTCACAGGGACCACTCACTCACATACCGTCATTTGGATAATTTGCGCGCCTGCGGCCCGGATGGAGGCGAAGTCTCAAAAGTAGCCGGCAGGCTGCTGCACCACCTGGAATCCGTCATCGTCATCTTGATCTACTGCATCCGCTTCGCCTGCATCCGGTTCGTCGTCATCGTCGACGAGCTCTTCGATCTCTCTGGGTTTGTTGCTGATCTTGAAGTTGCACCACGCCTCCTCCGTGACCGCGTGTGATGGTCCAACCTCGTGATGCTTGATAATGCAAAGATCCCTGCCGGCGACTGAGAACACCAGTCTACCTCGCTGCAGCGTTCCGTGGTGAAGCTTGGCGAACACGCAGGCTTTGAGCTTCTCCCAGATCGTCAGGTCGTTGCCTTGCTTCCGCATCCACTCTACGACAGTGGGATGTAAGGTGTCGTGCGGTGTGATGGCATCGTATTTCGTGCGGAGCCGCAAGACCAGCTCATTGAAACCCCACACCCTCTGGTGAGTCTTCCACACTTGGCGAATGTCTTCCAGCGGTCTCTCGATGGCTTTGAGCTCTCTTCGAATCAACGAGCCTTTGTGGGCGGACGTTATCGTCTCTTCGAGGAACTTGCCCAAATGCGGATCCATGAACTGTCGGGCTGGAAAGAGGACTTGCTTCACGCGGTGCATGGCTTCGTCGGCCTTGGGTTTGACAATCTTGAGGAACACATCATCGATGACATTGCCCTCCACAATCGGAGCCCTCATGTTGTTCCTTTCATCATCATCATCGTCTATCTTTGTAAAAGCCCAATGGAGAGGCCGTGGCAGATTCTTAGGTAGTTTGATCTTCTCTTTGAAGCGGCGAAAGGCGGCCTCGTCGAAGTTGTAGCCCTGTTTTTCCGCGTCAACGAGGTAGTCATGCAAGTGGACGAGGTAAATGGCCATCTCGGAGTTAATGCCACCTTCCAAGTAGACAAGACATTCGTGAAGGCGGGTAACGGTACCCAGAAGGTTGAACCGAATTCGAGTCACTGCCATTTCACTGAAGAAATGGCACCACTGAGATTCAGACCGCGGATCCGTGACGAAGTCTCGCAGCGTCTGTCGATCCTTGTCGATGCCAAAAAAATCGATTTGCGGCGGCCCCCATGGTGCAGGTGCGTTCTTGAAGGGTGCGACTAGCTTTGGTTCCCAGCACACCCAGAAAGTATCACCATCGTAGTCGCCCCCTTGGAGAAGTTCTGCCAATGGCCTTTTGCCTTTCGCTGAAAAGATGATCATGTCCGGAAGGTCAGCCAACTCCGAACAAAAGACGAAGCGAACTTTCTGCATATCCCACGGCGCCATGGCTGGATTTCTTGCAACCAACCCCTCTCCAGTCAGTAGTGACCGCACTTCGCCGGTGACGTGGTCCCTGAATGGTGCCGAGAAATTTACGTGAACCTCACCTGGTTCAAGAGTGCCGGTGGGGTCAGCCATACCCATCAGAGTAGTCGAGCGACCGAGAGGGATCTTGAAATTCTTGCGCGTGACATCCAGCCAATGTTCTACCATGGCCTGCACCTCGCCAGCAAGGAATGCGTCCTGGCTAGGAACAAAGCCAGCTTCCAGTAATTGGACGATCCTTTCTTCCCGAGCTTGAGGAAAGCCAGCGAGGGTTCGTATTCCGCCGCTGCGACTACGCTCTTCCCAAATTTCGTTTTGGGCGTGCATCCATCGGCGTAATGGCGTCGGTTTTGTGCTCTTCAAGGCCATGTGCAGCTCTTCAAAATGTCTCTGAATGTTCTCTCGAATAGGCTGAAAAATGGCTTCCCGTGGCACGCCTCGATCAAGCAGAATCGGCAAGAACCCAATGTGCAGTAAAGATCTCCTTGCGGGAGAGTTGGCCTTCAGGACGTTTAGGACCAGCGTTCCAGGGTCACAGTCCAACAGTGAATCTCTTAGGACTTTGATCTGCGTCCTCGCAATCTTGATGTGATGGCTTGGACATTCGTCGTGTTCGTCGGTGTGTCCTGCTTGACGTAGTCTTCGGTACCAGATTCCTTTGCTTCCAGCAATGCGACACTGGACCGCGGAGGGCATGTCTGTTCTCCCCAACGCCGTCGCAACTTCACGCGCGGTGGAAAGCGACATTTCGCAGCATCCATCACTCATCTCCCTTGCAGACACCTCTGGCTCATAGAAGTACTGCATGAGGGCTGGGTCCAAGAACCTATTGTCGGCAGGATCCGAAGTCGCACGCTGGTCCTCGACGCCATAGTCAATGTCCTTTGGCTGAAAAGCAACTGCCGGCTTGCTGGCGGATACCACAAGTTCGAATCTCGAGTAGAGTTTCCGCGCGGCCTGTTTCGCGTTCTCGCGGTGCGGCACAACGTAGGAGACTACGTCATGTAGTGTGGTTTCGTGGTCAATGGCGACAAACACAAGCCGGCTAGCCCCAGGCTTAGTTACTGCCAGGTCAGACTTCTTCCTCTTCTTGTGAGCTTGGGTAAGAAGGAGGAACCATCGTCGACCGAGGAATGTTTGTGGAGTCTCAGCCATTTCTTCAAATCGTCTCATGAGGTTTTTGCCTTTCAAGAAGGCTGGTGGTTTGTTGAGGCTCGGCATGTCAACGTAGAGGATCCTTTCACTGCCAAATCGACGCTGCAGATCGGAAGTGGTGCCTTTGCTGGGATATTGAAGCTTCATATCGAATAGTACGCCGTTGCTCGACACTGCAAATTGCAGCTTTCCAGTGAATGTCATGTCTTGGTAGTCAGGATGCTCGGCGTTGAAAGCTCTAGAGAATGGCTTTTCCTGCTGCGACGCGATCTGATACAGCTCCTGCAAGGATTTTGTCCGCCACTGGTCCAGTAACCTTTGCGGCGTCACAATCTGAGCTTGAAGTAGGCGCTGTGCCTCCCATTGGATGTAGAATGGCAGTGAAGAAAACACGCCGGGAAGCTGCAATTGCGCAAACCCATGTGAGGGTCGGAATTGAGCCGGTTCTGTATCCGCGGCATTCTCAGGACAAGTCTGAAGCTTTGTGCTCAGTTTCTGACGCTTCGGCGATTCAATGTGCTCATCCGCGGTCTCGAATTCTTCTTCGCTAACCACGCCGCTGTCTCGCTTCTGCCAGTAATAGCCGTTAGCTATGAACTGGTCGACGTCTTTCTGGCCCTCTTCATATGCGCTGGTGTCGAGTGAAGAGCCCCATGTAGTTTCTGTGTCGCGAAGTGACTGGGTTGAGGGTGCAAATAGCGGTAGAGTCGGTCGTGCTGTCTTGTCTGTAGCCTTTGACTTCTGAGATGACTCAACCTCCTCAAGCTTGTTCATCAGCTCGCCACATTCGGTCGTAGAAAGTGAGGACAAGTAGTTGGATTCTCGCCGTCTGGGCGAAGTAGACATATCGCTGAATGAGGTCGCTGCCGTGTCTTGAGTCGCTTGGCGCGGACTGGATTGGAACAGCCCGTCGAAGGACTTCGTAGCAGCAGTTGTGAAGGATGTATCTGCCGCAGGAGGTGCCATTGAAGTTTTGGCAGAATAGTAAACAGAGGTGCCGTCGTCTCGTGGCCCTTTTGCTACCGATTTAGTCGCTGTGAAATGACCCTTGATGCCTTTGCCCTTGGTCTTAGCTGGTGTTGGGGATGGTGATGGTGGGTCAGCTTGCATTGGCTCGAAGGCATTCTCGACAATCCTGGCGGTCCTTGGTGTCATGCTCTGGTTTTTGGCCATCTCCGCCGGTCCCCTCAGAGCCTCATATATCAATTCGAGCTTGACAAACTCTGAAGTGCTGTTTGGAGTGGAGGGAAGACTTCTGAAGAATTGGTTGATAGCAATCTCCAACGCAGGTTTGTTCTTCCACCACAAGAGCCGATACGATCCCACGATCTTATGTCCGATGCCGTTCTGGTCCTTGGCAGGAGAGATACGGTCATCTATAGGTAAGGCAATTCCGGCGTCATGGCAGAATTGAGCGAGGTCGTGTGATAGTTCCATTGGCTTCTGCTGCCGCCGTGCTTCTGGCGTTGTATGAGGGACCATCTCAGAGCTTTTCCGCTTTTTCGCCATCCCAATGGCGCGGCCAAGGGGCCGATGCCTTTCTATATGTATAGGGGTAGCATTGGGCATGTGGCACGTCAAACAAAACAATGCCTGAGGTCAGACGGGAAGTGAACATTAAAGAGCAAACAGTGTGAGACTTTGGGACGGCTCCGGAGAGCGGCCGCGCTAAGCCAAGGCAGGTGATTGGTTGTTGCCTGAGGTTGCCGGGGTAAGGACGTTGGACTGCACGTGGCCGATTGTGAACTGAGGCGTGCAGGCAACGCGGTCTGACGGTGAAGCGCGTATCCTAGTCGATAGATAAGGGCGATATCCATGTGAAGCACGACCAGGTGACCTCAAATGAAAAGGCGTGGGAGGAGAGAGTCAGCTGGAACAGCCAGCGCGTGCTCGCTCAAGAACAGAAAGTCGTATTCAGCTGCAGAGGGCCAGAGAGGCCATGTAGATGAGTAAGTCGTGTCTGGCATAACTCTAGCCCCAAACTCCAAGGGCGCGTCAATGTATGTATGACTTTTGGTGCCCTGGCAATGCAGGCTCTTCCCCCCAAAACGCTCTCCAACACGCAACATGCTAATGACCTTCTAGACCTTCATCTCGGTGAGACCGTGCTTCCAGACAGTCACGAATGGAGTGATGCCATCCTCGCGGTAGTTGAGGAGGACGATCCTGCGTGGAAAATCAGTGACGACTCTTGGAGCTAGCACTCAAAATACACTCACATTCCATCTGGGTCCATGGACTCGCCCGTGAAGAACTCGTAGTCCTTGAAGTTGCTAACGATCTTCTTGGCGTATCCCTGTGCGTTCTTCTCGAACTCGGTGATGGTCTCGTCGCTGGCACCGTTCTTCTTGAGGCCCTCCTTGACCTGCTTCATGTAGCCCTTGAGATGGGTGAGATAGCTCTTCTTGTCGAAGGAGGTGGAGTTGAGGCGGAAGGAGTGGACGATGTCGATAACGGTCTCCTTTGTGTCGTCGACATCCTCGCCGCCCTCCTCAGCAGAGGGGTTACCGCCGACGTCGAAGTCCTCGCCACCGATCGTGATCTTCTTGCAGTCGGCCTCGTAGACAGCGCCGTCAACCTCCTTGAGGTCGTAAGAGTCGGAGACGATCTCGTCGCCGGTGATGAGGTCCTGTGCGCATGGTGTGGTCAGTGGGGTGAGGCTTGGAGAAGAAGGCCGGGCGGAAGATCGCCAGGCACGTTGGTGAAGGGGGAAAAGTCAGTTCTGGGGCACAGAGTCCGCAATAAATCGACTCTGACCATGCGATCTCGAGGCTCTTTGACCTGTGACAATGTCGTTGCCCGCTGCAGATGTCTGCTGTAGACCCCTTCCCTTCCACCTGCGTGCCAGTGGCCGGTCGACGCTTGCACATACCTTGTAGATAATCATGTTGGCGGTCGGACAGGAAGAGCTTTCGGGTTGGGTATCTGGAGGAGGGGAGAGCAAAGAACGACAGTGATATTTGGAGGTGGTGGAGGTCGAGGAAAAAGTTGGGTGCTGCCCCGCGGTTGTCAGGGTTTCGCTTTCTGGACTTCGACCTAGCGAGTCACGGGTGGCGGCTCGAGCCGTGTAATCTTGGCACCACGCTCTTTTTCGCTCCTGCCAGACTTGTTGCGAACCTCCAACAACTTCATCAGCCAACTCTTTCCAAAAGCTCGCCGCTGTCAATCTGAGGTATGTTGGTGGACGATACACAGCAAGAGATGCCCTTCAGGTAGCCATGGCCTGCGCTCATTGCGACGACTTGCAATGACACCGCAGCGCCTGTCTCGACCGAGCCTCAGAACTCTTGCGGTCTCGCACCGGAGGGCACTCTTTGCGCTCACGATGGCTCTTGAAGGCTAACAGCACCGCCGCAGACACCTCACGCCGCAAATCGCGCCCTGAGAATCTCATCCAACCGCCAAAATGGTCAAGACTTCCGTCCTCAACGATGCGCTCAATGCCATCAACAACGCCGAGAAGACCGGCAAGCGCCAGGTCATGATCCGACCATCCTCCAAGGTCATCGTCAAGTTCCTCCAGGTCATGCAGCGCCACGGTAAGCCTCGGAAATACCACTACGTGCCTCGACATCAGCGCAAGAGGAGGATACCCTTACACAAGCACACAAATGCACAAACTGCACCCGGGTTGATAACTAGGCAATGGTCTCATACTGCCCCACGACCAACGCCCTTTAAGTGCTCGGAAGATTGACACTTAACGGCGAGGATCTTACACGTCTTCGGAATTTTCGGCTGATGAGGCACGTTTAATCTCTCGCGACAAATGCTGATTTGTATCCAGGCTACATCGGCGAGTTCGAGGAGGTCGACGACCACCGCAACGGCAAGATCGTCATTCAGCTGAACGGCCGGTATGTGCATGCCCTTGCAAGAGCTCAAGAACCAAAGACTGACATACATCCAGCCTCAACAAGACCGGTGTCATCAGCCCTCGCTACAACATCCAGCTCCGCGATATGGAGAAGTGGGTCACCAAGCTCCTTCCCTCGCGTCAGTTCGGATACGTCGTCCTCACCACCTCTGCCGGTATCATGGACCACGAGGAGGCCAGGAGAAAGCACGTCGCTGGCAAGATCCTTGGTTTCTTCTACTAGATGTCGGCATGAATGGAAGTCAAGTGGACTTGTGGGTGCATGAACTTAGCGCGGCGTAAAAGGCTGTAGCTGCACGCAGTATAAAAAGTCGATTCTGCTTCTGACATCCAATGTTTTCCCGTCCCACGTTCACAGCTCTCACATTTGACTTCCCAGAATTCTTGTGCTGCGCAAGCCCCTCTTCAGGCAACCACGCCTCCAACCTTGAATCCTTCATTGAGGACTCACACCCACACCCTCCAGATATATAGATTGTGCATCGACGAATCTTCGTCGTTACTGAATGACACGACCTTTCGGCTTCTTGAGTCGGATATCCAGCATCATGGCTTCGCACAAGAAGCACGACCCGCAGACACTCTTACTTCCCACCCACCACGCCACAGGAGTAGAAAGGCGAGTGACCGAAGACTCACTCTCGAAATGCAATCTTCAAGAGGATTCACCACTCTTTGCAGTCTTGCCAGCAGAACTGCGCACGACCATCTTCGAACTCGCAACTCAACCTTACGATGATCCTTCTCATCCATACAAAGAAGAGGACTACTACTACCGCCCAGGCCACCACACAAAGCCAAAAACCGACACCGCTCTTCTCCTGACCTGCCGCCTCATCTGGCTCGAAACAAACCATCTCCCCCTCCATCAATCCTGTCCAACATTCTGGTTCAAAGCCGAAGAGCGGCGGCCAGAATGGACACGCAGAGCACCAGTTTTAGGCAGCAGATACTCCCTCCGTCGACCTAAGACGCGGTGGATTACCGAGGAAGAGAGATACAAGCGCTTTATGGCTGGACTTACGGCTCAGAACGGCGAAAACTTGCGAGAGATGCGCTTCTTCGGTCAATTGGCGTGGTTGGAAAGTTGGCAGTTGACGTATTTGCTCTCTTCGACGCAGCCGATTCCGCCGAGGATCGTTGTGACTGTGAGGCATACGGACTGGTGGTGGTGGGAGAACGATTCGGCTCTTGCGATGGACATTGAGTGGATCTGGAGGTTGTTGAAGTTTAATTCTGGCGTGAGGAAAGCGAGAGAGTTCGTGTTGGAGTTGGAGACGTTGGATTTTAAGGTGGATCATTTGTTTAAGGGGATTGTTGAGGGGATTCAGAAGGAGTGTGGGGAGATTGAGGGGTGGGTATTGCAGGACGGTGCTGGGAAGGAGGTTTCGGAGTGGACGGGGCCGGCGACGATTGGAGGGAGGGCATGGGTGCCGTATGTGTCGAGGACGGAGTTGAGGTATAAGTTGTTTAGTTTGGTGTGGAAGCGGCAAGAGGATGAGTCTCGTTGATGAGTTCGTCTACATCTTCACACTGCCTTCCTGCACACGAACGTACAAAAGTCGCAATTAATGAACACTCCTTGCGCACACTCCGCGGCGGCTTTCTGCAACACTTCATAGAACGACGCCCTCGACATCTTCTCCTGCAAGCCTTCAATCGCCGGCACGGGAAACTCTGTCTCGGGTAACTTCGCTATCACACCATGCCACACCGTCAAGAAGTTGTCGCACCAGGCCCGCTGAAGCTCCCCTTTGGCTGGCAGCCATTGCTCAATCAGAACTTCGCAGCCCCTCGACTGCAGCGTTTTCGGGAGAGTATAGAGCCATTCGGGGCTCATATGGGCAGCCGCCTGCTGTGATCTATGGAAGAAGTGGACAAGAGCTGTGGTTGCTACCGATTGGAGCTTTGGGTTATTTGAGGGAACGTCTGCCCTCGTCGCTGAGCTGTCTCCTTCGTCCCATTGAATGTATCTAAAGATACGTTAGCCCGCTTCTCGTCTGCCCGGTCATCGAAAAGGACTCACCCGCCAGGCTTAAGCATCTTGAGCAAATTGTCCAACACAGGCTCAACCTTATTGTCCAAGATCGCACTGGAGAGCGCCCGTACATGCACGACATCGAACACTCCAACATATTGGTCCGGCACCTCCGTGAAGACATCCCAGGCATGGAAGCTGATGTCGGGGGACAACCATCCAGCAGCCGGAAAATGCGCAGGCGTCAGATCAAAGCCGTTGATCGTGGCGTTGGGATACTCTTGATGGACGTCGAGTATCCAAGCCCCGTTGCAGCAGGCGATGTCTGCGATGCGGATGGGGTCATCTTTGGAGACATCGATCTTGGGATCCAAGTTATAGCCGAGTGTATAGAGCCAGATCCAATGTTGCATGTGAAGTCTATCGGGTCGTTAGCATAGAGTCTTGTTCATTGTCAAAAAGATAGTGAGATGGACCTAGCGGACGACTGGAAGTCTTGTTCTTTCCAGAACTTGGATGGCCTGAACTCCAAGGCGTCTGGTTTGCTCTCTCCATTAGCTCCATTAGATGTGGCCATGTTCGAAGCAGTCGAATCGAGTCAGTTAATAAGTACTGTTACTGCCGCGAATGAAAGCGATAGAAAGTGTGAAGTTAAGTAAGCAGGGCCTCGATCTTTATGGAGGAAAGAAATACGAGTAGCACAAGAATCCTTTCAGACTTAGAGAGAGAACATGTAAGTGTTATACTCCATCGCGGAATCCATGCAGGCTTCCAAACAGCTATATTCCTAACCCGCCACGAGAAGACTTATCGCAATGCGAGGCTATTTTCGCCGGTGGTATGCAGTCCTCACATCGCACATGCTCCTGAACGAGGAAGTGTTCGTAGGATTCAGCTGTCTTCGCGATCGCAGCGAAGCCGACGCCAGACGTCAGAGTCGCCGGGTACTGTCCTCAAGCGCCAAGACATATCGCACACATTCGGGCCGTGTATGCGGATGTATTGGTAGTTGTTGGGAAGAGAAGTTGAGAGGCACAACATTCACTCGCCAGGTCGACATCACGGTCCTTGTTTACCCGGTTGTTTGCTCCTTCCTCGGCAAAACTTGAATTTTCCGGGCGTTACGCTAGCAAGGTCCTTCCCTTCCTCTGAAACCAGCCAAGATCACAAACCATCCAACATACAAACAACAACTCAACAGATAGATTCGCGACGATGGTTCTCGAGGCAATCTACGTCGTGCGGCATGGGGTAAGTACACAACCCTTCTCTTCAGATCCCTGATGCCCATCTGGCAAAGCGGCACCAACCGAAAGCGAGATGGCGCGAGCACGTGGATATTGCCCCTTCTGGCAGGCATGATGGAATTGAATCGCATGTGACGACGAGGAAGCACACATTGGCACGCATCAAGACTTCACGTCGACAGATAGCAATCCGAGGCTATACGAAGAGCATCCTCGAAATCAAGGTACAAAGCAAAAACTGACCGCGTATTCCCAGTACCGCTCCAACTGGTGAGCATCCTCGAACGCGAGGTACGAAGCAACAACTGAGCACGAAAGAGGTCCGTCGACCCTTCGACAGGTACATACTCCTCGAACATCCCATCACCAACCGGAATCGTTGCGGATCCCGCGCTTTCTGGCTATGGAGTCAAGCAGGCTGAGCAACTGGGCGAGCATCTCCTGGCTCTCGATCCACCTGTCGACCTGATCTACAGCTCGCCCTTCTACCGCTGCCTGCAAACTCTGAAACCCTTCACGACCGCTCTGGCCGCCCGCAAGCCCATCCGCATCAACATCGAGCCTGGCGTGGGCGAGTTCTATGGCCTCGCACGTTTCGACCATCCCTCCCCCGCGGACAAGACCGAGCTCGACCGGCATTTCGATCATCTGCACGCCTCAGTCCCTCCATCCATCGTTCCGAGTACGAAGGGCGAGAGCATTCCTCAGCTACACGATCGTGTAGCTTATGCTCTCAAGCAACTCGTCGAGCAAGCTGACAAGGATCCCAATGGACCCAAGACTCTGCTCATCTGCACTCACGCCGCGGTCATGATCGCCATCGGCAGGGTGCTCACCGGACGGATGCCAGAGGACGAGGGCGAGGACGACTTCAATTGCTTTACCTGCAGCTTCAGTAAGTACGTGCGGCGGAAGAAGGGCGAGGCCTTGACGAACGGAGTGCACGCCCCTGTCACTTGGAGCGCCGACAAGCCAGATGACGTACCTGACGTCGACTGGCGGAATGGCAACGGCGTAGCTGGCGGTTGGGACTGCGTGGTCAACGGCGATTGTTCATTTCTCGATGGTGGCGAGGAGAGAGGATGGTAAGCTAAACCTGATGCCCCCTTTTCCTTCTTCTATGTCTACGTCTTCGATGTCTGCTTTCCACTGGACCCACTTACGAGCCTTGATGTTGTTTGCAGGAACTTTGAGATGGAGAAGGCACAGGCCGGGAAAGTCACCGGTGCGGATGTCTAATCATCTTGCTTACATTCACCGCCCGTCACAGGCACTTTTCCGGCGATGAGAGCTTCCTGACTGATCCGAATGCTTTCAACGACGCCCAAAACGAAGCGAAGGAGTCTGGCGACGAAGTTGGAGGTAACCTTCCGGATAGAGGCGTTCGGGGAGACAAGGATAGAGATAGAAATTCACGGTTATGAGAGCATGGCGTTGGGAACTGATGCAAGAATATGGCGTGACTTTGAAGCTTTTCATTGTGTCTGGATAGACGCTGCGGAAGACAGAAACAGCTATAGACTTCGCTAAACTGCAATGCATCTGCATTTCACCGCAGAACCCTTTCCCGTCGCCATCATGGGCGAGTACCGTGCGCCGATCCGTTCAATGCGTCAAAACTCCCATCCCGTCTATTCATCTCCCTCTACTGGGCTGGGGTGAGCTGGAGGAACTTGCGGGTGCGCTGAGCACGCTGGCGGGAGTTGAGGTGGGAGCTATTGCCAGTGGCACGAGCGACGGCCTCAGGGGCTTTCTGGACAACCTCCTCGCCCTCGGTGAGGATGAGCTCGATGTGGCATGGGTTGGACATGTATGGGTTGATCTGTGAACATGTCAGTGGCTGAACTCGTAGAAGACCGTGGAGAAGTTTATAACATACACGACCGTGAGCACGGTATGTGCGGCGGCGCTGCTTGGGGGCCTGGTTGACCTGAATGTGCTTGACAATCAAGTTGCTGGTATCGAGACCCTTGGTATCGGCGTTGGCCTCAGCGTTCTTGAGCAAGCTCAAAAGAAACTCGGCCGACTTGACGGGCCAGCGGGCCTTGGAGACACCGAACTGCTTGCCTGTATCACAAGGTCTCAGTATGTTGTTCTTTTATCCACCTATGCATCCTCGCACATGGCGCCGCATCTCTCAGCGATGGGCTGCGTACATACCTTGGGCAGTACGGCCAGTGCTCCCGGCATATCGTCGCATTGGAACGGCCTCGCTCTTGTTCTGGACGTTCTCGAGGTAGGTGGCGGCGCGCGCGAGCTTCCATCCGTTGATGGCCTGGGCGGTCTCGCGAGTGTTTTTGAAGGAGACCCGGAGGTATGAGCCGCGAGCTGGTGTCGAAAATTCGTCAGTATTGGCTGTATCTCATTCTGCGAAGTCGTAATTACCGCGAGCGCTCTTGGCGGGCTCAATGTGTTCAGCAGCGTAGCGGACCATTTTGACGGATTGCTGAACGGCGGGTGGTGGTATCGTCGACCTTGAGCGAGAAGTTTTGCGACACGACGTCTGGAGTAAATGGCAGGTGCGAGGGTTGGCTTGGCGTAAAGCCAAACTAATCTGGGACTAGCGACAACTTTAAATGCTAGCTCCAGTAAATTTGAAAGACTGGATTTCAAGTTGCGAAAAGCTACCTTCCATCTCCACGAACGCACATATCCATACGGACAACACATAATGGCTTTCACACCAAGAGGAGGCCGTGGCGGCGGCGGCGATCGTGGCAGAGGAGGTGCAAGAGGTGGACGTGGCGGCTTTGACCGTGGTGGCCGCGGTGGTGGCAGAGGTGCGCACACGATCAGAGCTCAGAAATTTGTGGGCAAGTGCTAATCGAGCTGTAGGTGGCTTCGGCGGCGGCGACAGAGGACGTGGTGGTCCCAGAGGTGGGAGGGGCGCTCCCCGCGGCGGTCCTCGCGGTGGCAGGGGTGGTGCACGCGGTGGACGAGGCGGAGGCCCTGGAGCAAAGGTATGGCTGCAGAGATCACGACAGACGTTCGAATATGAGGTCTAATCATGTCCAGGGTGGCCAAAAAGTCATCATCGAACCACACAGACATCCAGGTGTCTTCGTTGCCCGCGGCAAGGAAGATCTGCTCGTCACTAAGAACCTGACTCCCGGCGAGGCCGTCTACGGCGAAAAGCGCATCTCCATCGACACTCCTTCGACTACCACCGGCGACGCGACCAACGGCGATGCACCCACGACCAAGACCGAGTACCGTGTGTGGAACCCCTTCCGTTCGAAGTTGGCAGCTGGTATCTTGGGTGGTATGGACAACATCTACATGGGTCCTGGCAAGAAGGTGCTATACCTTGGTTCAGCGTCTGGTACTTCGGTCTCACACGTTGCTGACATCGTCGGCCCAACCGGTACCGTCTATGCTGTCGAGTTCTCGCATCGCTCAGGACGTGACCTGATCAACATGGCTACCCACCGAACGAATGTCATCCCAATCATCGAGGACGCCCGTCACCCGCTCAAGTACCGCATGCTCGTCGGCATGGTCGACTGCATCTTCGCCGATGTCGCCCAGCCCGATCAAGCACGTATCGTCGGTCTCAACGCCCATCAGTTCCTCAAGGTCGGCGGTGGTGTCGTTGTCTCCATCAAGGCCAACTGTATCGACAGCACCGCTGCTCCCGAGGCAGTGTTCGCAAGAGAGGTTACTAAGCTGCGAGAGGAGCGCATCAAGCCAAAGGAGCAGCTCACTCTGGAACCATTCGAGAGAGATCACGCAATGGTCGCGGGTATCTACCAGCGATCGGAGTAATTTCATCTGGCTTTGTGTGAGAAAAAGATGGCAATGTGACAAAGGATTGGCAACGGTGTTCTGTGGCGTTTGAGGCGCTTTGATGATCAAAGGACGATATTGGGTGGCGAATGAGGTCCAGCGATCAATCATGATCAATACGGTTGTACAGCATTCTACCTACGACGTGTATCAAAGACGTTTTCTGTTACGTGCTGACATGAGCTGTCGATCAAGGTCAGTGTGCTCAAGGGGAAGAGAAAAGTAAGAAATACTAGAGAGAGATCGCCCAAAAAACCGCCCATTTCTAACTATTAACCTGTGGGCCTTAACCCCTTTTCCCAAATACTCATACAATCCTGTGCATAAGTCCTCATCACGATGAGTTTCGGGACTGATAGTAGTCTGCGCAGTTGGAGCTCCTGAACACGAATGTTCCGGCCCCTTGCTACAGGTCTGCTATCAAATCTCAGTCCTCGAATCGTTCAGAGGAAAAAGTCGCGTTGTTGCTAATGATGTTGATGATGAAGATGTCCCTCCCAGAAATACGAAAAACTCTCAAAGCGAAGCAAAGCAAAAAGAAACAGAGAAGTGGTGCCTTACCCTTACTCCAGCGTGGCGATCCTAGCACTGCGGCGAGTAGGACTGCCCTTGGAACCCGTCGACGCCTTCTTGGTCTTGCCGGAGGACTTCCGGCTGGAAGTTCTCCTGGACGGCGTCGGTGAGAAGTCGACGATGTCGCCGTAGTTGAAGCCGCCGGCGAAGTCGTCCGTGGTGTCGAGGAAGTCCGTGAACTCGTACTCGGCAAAGGCATCCGCCATGTCGAGCGGGGCTTGGCGGTTCGCGGTGCTGGCGTTGCGGGAGGTCGAGATGGCTGTGGGGCGAGTGCGAGAGGAGGGCTTGCGGGAGGATGAGGGCTGGGCGACGACGTCGGTCTCGGTGTCGGAGGGCTCTGCGTAGGACTTGCCCTTCTTGGTCCCGCGTGTTGGACGCTTGGAGACAGGCGTGTCGACATCCATGGACTCAGGGGCTCGCTTGCGCTTGTTGGAAGACTTGGAGCGAGTGGGCAGGTCAGCGGAGAAGGCGTCAGAGTCGAAGTCATCAAGCTCCTCTGGCTCGGCGTAGAGATCAGACTCAGAGGCGGCGTAGACCGGGCCTTGGGGACCAGTTGCGATGGCTTGGCCTGGCTTGCGGAGCTGAGCATCTCTCATGGCGCGGTATTTGACATTGGCCTGGTAAGCACCACAGGTACAGGCCTCATCACCAAAGTCATGGATGGCGCGCTCATTGGGAGCGTAGTGGTAGCCTGGGTGGGCGAGCTCATGCTGGCGCTTGGCCTCAGCGGCCTGCTCACGGTATGGCGCTTGGCCATCGACACCGAGAGCGTGCCATCGCTTGCCGACCTCAATGGAGATCAGAGAGTTGTCTTGGGTGTTGAGATCTCTCGTGACTTGCATTCTAGTCTGCTTGCGATAGAGGATGAAGGCATTGGGTGGACGGCCAATTCGCTTTGGGCGAGGCTTGCACGTGCAGGCTCGGTCGAGACTCAACTTCTTGTTGTTGCGGCCGACGCCTCTGTGGCTGAGCTGAGCCTTGCGCTTTGGTGTCGTGCTTGGAGCGCGAGCTGGCTGCTTGTGGGGAGTCTGCGCACGAGGCGTCTGCGACGAACGAGTGGATTGCGTGCGCTGCGCAGAAAGGTTAGCTGGGGCTGGTTGAGGAGGATAGTAGCCAACCAAACCTACCGCAGGAGGCTGAGGTACACCAAGGGATGGAACATGCTGAGGGCCCTGAGTGAACATTGGTGCTGGAGGCGGGAACTGCTGTGGGGGGTTGAATGGTGCAGACAACTTCGGGAGTGCAGGTTGCATCTCCTGAGGAGTGCCATAACCAGAGAGGATGGCAGTGCCGAATGCTGATGCCGGGGCTGTTGGGAATCTAGGTGGGCTGATGGGGAAGTGCCAACCAAGAGCTGCATTGTAGTGTGCTCCGGGGGCGTATGGGCCTGCTGGATTCCACCAGCCTAAGTCAGGGTGGTAGTTTTGAGCGGGGACATCACCAGGAGGCGGAGCAGAAGGCATCGTCGGGGCTGGTTGAGGTTGGAAGAAGTTGTCAGCAGGGAGCTGGCCAAACTGATCAAACTGGTCATCTGTGAAGGGCTCCGTATCAGTGGTTGCATAGCCAGTCTCGGTATCAGAAGCCATGGCGAAGTTGAAGTCTTTCACGGCCTGCAAGTTGAAGTCGTCCATGTTTTGGGGATGTATCAGTGCTACCAGAGTACTGATTGGTGTAGTTGATGTTGCGGGAGTGGTTCTCTCTTGAATCCGCAAGTGTGGTTGGTGTCTGGTCAAGCAGTCGTTCGTTGGGAGGTCGAAGCAAGCGTACCAGACGCTGGAGGGTGTGAGTGTGTTGGAACTTGACAGACGGTGGATTCGAGAGAGCGGACGGTGTGAAGAAGGAGAGGTCTGAGATTGGGGGTAATCTCGTTTGCTTTAATAACACATGTGTCTTTGTTGCTTTCGAAAAGCCATGGCCGTTGTATCGTCGTTGTATGCCATTGATGAAAGACTCGAAATAGACAGATTCGGTGATTCTCAACAAAGGAGCCAGGACAATTGCATTGGAAGAAGTCAATAAAAATGTCCAGAAAAGTCTTCTTTGCTAGGACATCGACAAAGCAAGCCCGTGTAATCTTTCACCATGCCACTTGCGGTCCGCCGCCAAGAAGGATGTAATGTCTGCGAAGATCCTGTCTTTCAGCTGCAAGGCTTGCCCATTGATAGAAGATCACCTACCGGTGCGTGACCCAAACTCCATCTTCGAGTCGCCTTCTGAAGTAGCTTAGACCGCAGTTCTCCCTCCAGAGTTTGTTGCAATTCATAGTATGTCTCTCGTGGACAACGAAACAGACCTCGGCGCTGCTTTTACCTCGATGGACATTGACGGTCACGTTATTGATTGTCCATGCAAATCCTTTGTCGTTCTTGATAGCTCTTTCGACGTTGTCCAAGACCTCCTGGCGGCTTTCAGCGAAGGTTGGCGAATGCTCAGATTTCGAGCCTTCCACTACATAGTAGTCATCGTCAAGGTGTGTGTGCAGGAGAGTAGAGTTTTTAAAGTCCTTGGTGTGATATTCCGCCATGATTCTCCGCTGCAGGTCTTCGAGGTAAAGTGCCGTGGACGCGCGTTCGGACACCTGGACGCTTTCGATATCATTAGGCTTGTCGACTGGGTCATCTGATGCCGTTTTGTTGACCATTGGTGTGGCTTATAGTGTTGCTTGGTCCACAGTACCCGAGATTTACATGTGAAGTATCGGGCAGTCGCCTCAGACGAGCAAAGCCTGATCGAATTCGACAACAGTCCTTTGGGCCATGATGATCGTGCTGGTTGCAAGAGGGCGGTGAAGCCAGCCAGCTGCGCTCGCGATTGCCCCTCGCGAGGATTGTTATCGTCCCGGCGAGACGGAAGGGGGCTGGAAAGACATGGGTCAATCTTAGGGATGTCCATGGGTTTGCGAAAGTATGTTTCGAGACTTCATCTCCTGTCAACGAAATCTGCTGTGGCCTGCGAGAGTGGGTATAGCATCAAACATACAGTTTCCATCGCACACTACCGCTAAAGGTCAAACAACACCTGTAAGTATTAGTCGCTGGTTTGTGTGCTGGCGAGTGATGTCCATGAAAATGGAGACGCGTCTTGATCAGATAACAGTTTGGGATTGTAGCAAAGAACTTCCTCATTTTTCGCATTGGAACGGCGAGTGAATGCTAGATCATCCTTGAAAACGCTGGTGTTTGAGATGGGCGATGGGAGTATCCATACCTGGAAGTAATTAGAGCTGTTCAAATCACAGAGGGTCAAGAAGAGAGCAGGAAAAGCATCTTGGTTGCTGCGAGGTATGTATATGGGAGAGACAAAGGACCGAGGGTGTGGTTCAACAGTCTCTCATGGGCTTGTATAGGCTTTCGTACTGCCAGCCACCCCTCAGTACCTCTAAAAGGAAAGTGCAAACCAGGCGAGACTTGGCTCTCCGCCGATGAGTCAAAAGCCAGAAAGGGAAATCCGAATCCTGCCGTGGCAGCAATGAGCGTTCCTGTACTGCCACGGTGTAAGATCCAAGCACGAAAGACCAAATTGAGGTCTTGAGTCATCCGGAAGGCCGTGCAGAGGGGAGAGCCTTGGTGACTGGTGAATGTGAAAGACCTGACTCCATCAGTAGTGACCGATCAAGCCATATCGCGGAAGAGCAGTCGAACGATGGAGCTGTGTAGTGGGATTGTTTCAGTTTGCCAAAAGGTGGCTGATGCTTTCTATTACAACTGCTGAGGCTTCGAAAACAGAGTAATTGATGACCTGACGTCCGGAGAGTCAGGGACCCACAATCCACGTGAGCTAGGATTGGATTCCTTCACGTCTGCGGCTCGTTGCCCATGCAAGAACAGCTCAGCATTTGAAAATGACAGCGGACATGTATTGACGTGTCTCGAGATTCCAGATCCAAGGATATTCACAACTCTTTCTTGCTCTCGGTACTAGCACAGCTAGCACATCAAAAAATCCGCGCATCGAGAGGCGCCGGATGGGCTGGGAGCGGCTGTGCAACTTCATCGAGAAGTCTCCGATCGCTGGGCGAGCCATACATGTCCTCGCAGGCTGGTGTTTCGGCAGTTCACCTCATCAAGGTGCTGCGAACGCTGAAGGATGGAGTGTTATCTTCTCGCTTTGTGAGCGAAGCGGCCGCAGGAGCAGCGGGTCGTGTCGGGCCGTTGGCTATGGAAACTCAATTCCGTCTTATGTCCGATCCTCCTCAGCAACATCCCTCGCCGCCAGAGGTTCGATTTGTCAAAGAGACGGTCCTGTACGATCTATCGACGCGGACATGAGTGCGGCAACGCGGACTCCCTGGCATTGTCCGCAGATCGCGGGCTGTGATTCGATTGTCTGGACGCCGTACCTGCATATCACATGCCGTACATGACGTCAAAATAGACCTCACATTCGTGGAGCTATGAGCTACCTTATGGCCGGTCCAGACAAGTACTTTGTGCGAGCCAAGGCCATTCAAAGGTTTGCCTGGCACTATTGTTCTCTGCTTAAGATCCAGCACCGAACCGTCTTCAATTGTCACACAACTGAACAATAAGCTCACCTTATCCGGTATCGAACCTCACCCACAACCGACAACATGACGGACCTCTTCAAGCCAGCACCAGAGCCCAAGACGGGTCTTGGTCGCTACAGGATCCTTTCCTCGACCGCCGGCGTCCGCGTGAGCCCACTGCAGCTCGGTGCCATGAGCATTGGTGATGCCTGGTCAGGATTCATGGGCTCGATGTCCAAGGAGAACTCGTTCAAGCTGTTAGATGCCTACGAAGAAGCAGGAGGAAACTTCATTGACACGGCGAACAACTACCAGGATGAGCAGTCTGAGGAGTGGATTGGCGAGTGGATGGTGCGTTGGGCTACACTGAGAAGACGAGCAATGGCTGATAATCAGGCTACAGGAGAAGAAGCAGAACCGTGACTTCTTCGTCATCGCCACCAAGTACACCACGAACTACGTTGGTGCCAAGTTCGGCAAGGGCAAGACTGTGAACCACACCGGTAACCACAAGAAGAGCTTGCATGTGTCGCTACGGGACTCGTTGAGGAAGCTTAGAACGTATGCAAATCACATTCAACTGCGGATAAGCTGGCAGAAGTACTGATGGTTTTTCTTGCAGTGACTACCTCGACATCCTTTACGTGCACTGGTGGGACTGGTCCACTAGCATTGAAGAGATGATGGACTCGCTAGACGCCGTGGTCAAGCAGGGCAAGGTGTTGTACCTCGGAATTTCAGACACTCCAGCCTACATCGTTTCCGCCGCAAACGCCTACGCCAAAGCAAACGGCAAGACCCAGTTCAGCATCTACCAAGGTCGATGGAACGTCATGCTCCGCGACATGGAGCGCGAGGTGATCCCAATGGCCCGTCACTGGGGCATGGCACTGGCACCATGGGACGCCATCGGCGGAGGAAAGTTCCAGACCAAGAAGCAGATTGAAGAGCGCAAGAAGAATAACGAGGGTCTGCGGAGCATGATGGGCAGCGGTGACCAGAACGAGAAAGAGGAGAAGATGTCCGCGGCCCTCGAAAAGGTCGCCAACGAGCATGGTCTCGAATCGCCAACCGCGGTTGCCCTCGCATATGTCATGGCCAAGGCTCCCCGTGTCTTCCCCATCGTGGGAGGACGAAAAGTCGAGCATCTCCAGCAGAACATCAAGGCTCTGGACATGAAGCTCTCCGACAAGCAGATCGAGGAGTTGGAGAGTGTGTACTCGTTCGAGCCAGGCTTCCCGAACAACTTTGTCGGCGAGGATCCTCATGTCACTGGCAAGGCTCCTCCACTCGTCGCTGGTACCGCCCCCATGGCGTATCTGCAGGGCCCTAAGCCCATCGGTCATGAGTAAGAACGTCATTCGATGCGATGAAAGGCTAGGCAAAAATCGCCGGCTTATTGGAAGCGCAGGAATAGACAATGAATATCATGATCATTCCAAACACTCCGTGCATTCCCTGGACCGGTCCACAAGAGTCGAAAGCGGTAAGAAACTCTCGAAGATGAAGTAAAAAGATCTCAAGCGAAGGATGGGTTGCAAAGTATAGCTGTTCGGAGAGGGTCGATGCTTTCGATCGAACCTTGACTACCCTCATACGTGCATGCCCATGTACTCACAACATTCTAGCCGACCTTCTTACCATTGGGACAGCAATTTCTTTCGACCTTGGAACCTTTGTCGGCTTCAGACATCACCTCCTCCTGATCACAGGTCCCTCCACTCATCCGGGTTGATGGTCTGCTTGCACCGACGACAAATCCGGAAGCCACAAACACGGCATTGCAAGACCTGTGGGCACCAGTGCCTATTGAATGCCACAGTCAGCTTATCGTAGACCGACTCTCCCTCCCAGGAAACTCACATAGTAACGCAAAGCCCACGGATCTGGTAATCGCACATGCCCGGGGGCATCTCGCCAACATCGTACCAGCTGCCGTGGTGATTGCGGTGACAGGGGATCGTGACCCAGATGTCAACGCGGCGCTCGTCGCTGCGAGTGCGGATACGGAGTCTGGTACCTGGAATCATGCCGGTGAGTGGGTTGGGGCCATAGGCGGCGCCGGGTGGTGGGAGTCGTAGCATGGCGTCCGAGGGCGCTGGCGCAGTCGTTGGGTGAACAGCATGGCCGGTGTTCGTTTGAGGACCGCCTGCTGGAGCAGTGGGAACGTTTCCTCCTTCTCCACCGTTAGCGACGTGACCTTGCGAACGCATTGAGGTTGAGAAACCTGGCTCTCTCTTGATGGCTGGAGCGCGACGTGCGACATTTCGCCGTGGACGGGAGGAAGCAGGGGCGGCGGCGGCGGCGGTGGTCGAGGTGACAGAGTCGACGCGAGTGCGTTTGGAGGCGTTGGCTTCGTCTGGTGAAGTGAGTACCGAACCGTCACGACGACGGGATTCTGGCCTCACCATCGTCGCCAGTGTGCTTTCGCTTGCCAGTGAGCCAAGACCGTATGAGCTCGAAGTCCCTGGCCATGGTCGTGTTGGGTGTGGTGGAAGGTGGCAAGATGGTTACATGTAAAGAGCGTGCTGGTGATGGTGTTTGTATTTGGAAGTGAAGTCAAGAGCAAGGGTCAAGAGTGCCTGCCTTTATGTGATCCCTGCAAGCGGCTTTCGCTTTCCCATATCAACGACCTGAAGAGGAAGGAGCGACTCGAAAGTTGAGTAAGTCGTTTATGGCTGCATTCGCAAAAACTTATTTGCCAACAAGTTCTAGGAGTAATGGCATGCTTCCTTGTCCATTCGCTAATCCTAACGATCGACGTTGTGTTAAAGTTGTGCAGCATGCCCCTTTGTCAACTTCCTGTCAGTCTCCTGCGCCCGACTTTCCATTGTCCTGAGGACCAGGAGGCAGGTTTTACCCAGTGCCAGCCTCAACGACGGTATGCTGGAATGCCCACAGTAGTTGAAGACTGGACTAGGACTGTCAATGCAAGCAGGGGGCTTTCATCTCTGCGAACCTGTCGATGATCCAACCCTGGCGATAGCGATATTTGGGCACCATCTGATCCTCGTAACGAGTACACTGCACTGCCACGGGACAAGCATACTCCTTTTTCGGCGGGCTATCTTCAAGCCTGTTCACACCTGCTGTTTCAACAAGTTGAGAGCCTCCTCCCGATGTTGTGGGATGTCGAAATCCAGAATGAAGTCCCAGCGATGCAGCAAGGCCTCTTTGAGCTTCTTCGGATCCATTCCAGCGCTCTCATCAACGCCCATGAGCATCTTGCCCGTCACCCAACTTGAGTCTACGATCTTCTGCGTTCGAGGACGTCGAACCTGATCGTAGACCTTCAACGCAGTCTGCGCCTGAGCTGGCGATGTGGCGTTCCCTAAGAGAGCTGAAATGACCATGGCGTCCTCGATGGACATGCCGCCTCCGGATGCCTGGAACGGTGTCGTAGCATGTGCTGCGTCGCCCAAGACACATATCGGTCCATCGACGTAGGTGCGAGCGTGTGGATGTTCGAAAAGATATATGCCCCGGCGTTCTGGTTCGTCACAAAGCAGGTCGGTCACAGCCTGCTCCATATGCGATACCCAGCCTTTGCTGATGTACAATTCTTCGAAGTCCTTGGGAGTAAATGTGCGTTGCCACTTATCGGAATCGATGGCGTCCTGATCAATGCCAGTCACGGTGAATTGGACGAGCGATCCATTGCTAAAGAGATTGTGCAACATGAAGCCCCCTTCGCCGGTCCAGCCGTACTCTCGCGCGTCTTCTTGGTTGACTGGAGCATTACCAATACTGTTTCTCGCCTTCTCATACGGATGCATCGTGAACACAGCCCAGGACCCGCTGTTGCGAGGGCTCGCTGCTGGGTCACTTTCACCCAGAATAATTTTCCGGACTGTTGAACGGATGCCATCGGCGCCAATGAGGATGTCGCACTCGTGCGTGGAGCCATCAGCGAAATGGAGAAGAAGTGAGCCGTCTCCTTGACGATCTACACTTTCCAGCTTCTTGCTGGTATGCATTCGTTCAGGAGGAATATCGGCCAGCATCTCCCTAAGGAAATTTGCTCGTTGTACGATGGTCGTCGTGGTCTTGCCCATGGCCTCATTATCCCGTTCGTGCACAAGCTCCCCAGCGTCCTTTCCCTCACCAAGGAAGAAGCGTACCCCTTTCATAGGAACGCCTCCAGCACGCTTTAGACATTCCGTTGCAGAGTCGCCGATCAATGCCAGTGAAGTACGAGCTTGACGAGTCACACCGAAAGCGATACCAGCTTCCTTGAAGGCCGGTGCAGACTCGAAGATGTGAGGATCGAGGTGAGAGTGCTTCAGCAGGGCGTGAATTGTCACCGCACCTGCCACTCCACCTCCCGAAATCGCAATTCTGATCTTTCGTGTCATGTTGTGTCGATGGGAAGGAATAGTGTCAAAGTCTGGGAGGATTCGATCTTTGCTCTCACGATCGATGGATATCCTTCCTACTCTCTTCGACACATGAAGTCGACGAGGGAGTGGCGGCCCGTACGGCAGCGGACCTGTTGCTCATCGACAGAGCCGAACAGCCTGCCGTGTTCTTGCCATCACCACGCATCGGGAACCGCACTGAACCAAGGAAGCTTGCACGATTACGCAACGGGATCTGGAACTACCGCCAAAAGCTTCTTCTGATCAATGCCCTCTGCATCGAGACTATGACGAACGGCGCATACCAATGCCCCACACGGAGATCGTGCCCTGCAGGTCGTTCGATCCTTCAGCTCCTTCAACGGCGCAATCAACGCCTTTCGGCTCCTCACACGTTCCTCCAACACCTTCAGCTCCTTCGACACCCCACTGATCGTCAGCTCCTCCCTCGGTGTATCTCGTACCATGCACATCCGGTCAGCGAAGATGACATCCCACGATCGAGGCAGAAGAAGCTTCTCCACACGGTGAGACTCTCGTCGATAACGATTTCGAATGGCATCTATCTGCCTTATATGGTTGTACATGTTGGGTATACACAAACGCCAGCTGCTTCGTAGAGCATCCATCACATAGGAAAACCAGATTTCCGTCAATCATACGCCCATATCCTCCATATCAAAGCTCAAGATTTAAAGAGCATCGTCCGGGTCGAACTCCGTCGAGCCGTCACGCTTGTAGGCGACATCGGGCTCAGGGAGTGCATTGGCTTCCCGTTGTTGGATTTCAGTCAAGCCATTGGTGCTTTCTGATGAAGTAGAGTCAGCAAGTTCACCAGCAGGCGGCCGACGAGAGGACTTTTTACCAATAGCGACTGGTGCAGCAATGGCAGCAGTGATGGTGAGCAACAAGCTCAAGATCTGACTTGACTTCATTGTAATTTGTGATTGTTGGTATGAGTTGTTGTTCTGGATCGTTTGTTGGTGCTAAAGGTTGTTGGAACAGAGTAAGAAGCGAGGTTCGGAGTTGTCGATAATATGTACAAGAAGAGCGATGCGTTGGCCCGAACATCAAGGACGACATCCGTGGGGTCTTCGCCCCCACATGCAATAAGAGTCTCACAAAGGTGCCTTCCTTGAACGGGCAACGTGAGGCTGATCGAGGAACGCCTATGATGGCATTGTTGGACCCTAGACTTTCTATAAGGTTGACGCCCTAGACTCACAAACTGCAACGCACCACGTCAGACAACTTTCATTGGAGGACGGAGTTTCTTCGAGATTTGTCGTTGCAAGCGCTACACACTCTCTGTTCGGAGCGGCCATCTTGATGCATGGACAATCGATGAGCTTGTCCATTTGTGCTGGACGGACATTCTCAGCTTCGATGCCCCAGCATGTCGTCTGACGAGCTGACATCGTTCCTGGACGAGCATGAGCAAGAGAAAGATGAGCATGACAGTCGATCCAAACACACCAGGAGGAGAGCTCCAGTTATCACCATTCTGGTGGTAACGAACATAGCTCTCCTGGTCGCTTGCGTCTTCTTGGCGTTCAAGCTGAGCTCGATATCACATGGACGGTCTGCAAACTCGAGTGTTCCCGACCCATATTGTGAGCCTCACACTTGATCTATTGAGCAAGACTGACACAATATCAGCTCCTGCCAATGCTGTCATCGAATATGAGCAACGCAAGATGATCTTCAACGATACCCGGTTCACCGGATACCCGTCAGCAAGCTGGGAAGATTACATGCACGATTTGTTGGAAGGTAAGCAGAAGGCATCTGAAACGCTGACGAGATATTTCCGCTTTCTTACTTACATTTCGTTCAGGGACGCTGTTGCGTGTATCGGACGATGAACTCCAACAACATGGATTCGACTCGATACCCCTGAAAGACGGTGGTTACGCTGCCGGCCTCGGGATCGCACACAACCTGCACTGCGTGAAGAAGATCAAATTGTTCCTGTATCGAGATTACTTCTACTCGGATCTGGATCCGGAAGGTGCGGAGTATGCTCATACTCAGGAACATGCAGGTGGGTTACTCGTCTCCTAAATTCAGGGGTCATGCTGATACTGCGATCAAGATCACTGCCTCGACTGGATACGACAAAGTATGATGTGTCACGCTGACTATGCGATGTATACTTTGACCTGGGAAGAAAACGGGCCTCGCAAGGGCAAGCTCAAACATAACGAGCCAGGTTTGCAGAAGTGTGTAAACTGGGATAGTCTGCACGACTGGATGAGATCTAGATCAGCGAATTCGAACATGTTACAACATCCTGGAGATGTGGGGGTATAGCTAGTGAATATTTATACAGTCAAAGCGTTCAATACACCTTCACAAGAATATGGGTTCGCTTTATTATCGATCATCAAGCGGTCCATACGTGCCTTCTTCGTCCTCCATGACGAGAGTTCCACTCGGTTCTTTGCCATTGAAATGCAAAGCTCTCGCATCCGACCATTCCTCGAAAGCACTCCAGTCCTTGCAGGTGCGTGGATGTGAGCTGATGCCCTTGATCTCGCCGTCGTCCCACTTGAAAGTGTCGATCGTCAAGTCCGCGTTGCACATGATACCTCGACGTAGGACCTCGATGCAGTGATCCCAGTGATGGATGCCAAACGTTTCGGGGTCCAGGTCTGTATAGTAATCCTGGTGGCGAAACTGGTAAACACGTTTCTGGATTCTGTCAGCCGAAGTGGCGGGGAATGAATTGGATGGAGGATCTTACGACGCAATGAAGCTGGTGCAGAACCTCCGGATAGCCCAGGTAACCACTCCCATCTCGCAGTGCTACGGATGTCTTGTTCATAGCTCTCATCTCATCTTCTGTAACTCTGATCTTCGTTGCTGTTGTATGTCAGCTTGGCATGGCTTGATGCGTTCGCTTGGGGAAGACTTACATCGTAGGAGGTTGCTCCAGGCCACGTCCAACTCATGACGTGGTTCTCCAGTGAATGGACTAGGCTCATAGACATCGATGCTCTTGACTTCGTATGGGACTGCCGACGTAGCAGGAGCTGCATCAAGTTTGTTAGTGAGAGTTAACACGGTAATCTTGAAACACGCTGGCACTGACTGAACGCTTTGTCGAGATCATTTTGTCCACCACCAAGACTGGAGTCGTAGTGGAGACTCGGATATCTATACCAGCATAGAAGGCCGATGTTCAGGGCCAGGAGAAAGACCTCCACGAGGATGAGAGGTATGTGTATTCTGAGTGGATTTGACGCTTTTCGTGATCGTTCCCGCCATGATTGCGCTTCCGGTTCATCTGTCGGTAGAAATGGTGTCTTTTCCTCGTCTAGATGAGATGTCATGATCCAAACCCAGCACAGAGATGGTCGACAATCGTGCCATAGGACTTGAGCAGTTGTATCGGGAGAACACCATGTGACGGGCCACGTGCTTAGCCAGATGGTCAGCTGTCACGTTGTGAACCCATGAAGATGAATTCCGATGATGAGAAACTTGTCGTGATCGCCAGAGAGTGAGTGGCCGGCATTCTCTGCGGGATGGCGTGTGTGGCGTGGTAGACCTGAGGTAAATTATTTCCGGATTAAGAAGTAGCCCTGAAGGATTCGAAATACCTCAGCCAATGGGAGATTTTCCGACACCAAGGTGCCTGCCAAGATAGGCTTGGTCGTTGCCCTCCTTCACCGGATACCCGGTTGAATCCTTCGGCCAAGGATGCACTCTGCGCTCATACCAACACAGGGTCATGTCTTTGACCAATGGCATGTGAGTCTCGGCGAGCCAGAAACTCCGTCAGACTGCCATCGTCGAACTTACATCGCACAGTAAACTGGATATTCAGCGAAGTGGTGGGAGTTAGGAAGGAGGTTGGGGACGCTACGTGTACTACGGACTACGTGGTACTTCCTCGTCGGACATGCCACGCTCTTCGGCGTGCTCTCCCACGCGTACCAGAACACAGCCATGTGTTCGCTGATCACCACGGAGAGAAGATCATGTCCATCATCACCGGATTCCGGGAGCTTTGGAGCGTTGTGGTCGTTGGGAAGCTTTGTCTCCACCTCTCGTGTCGTCTTCTGTCACACTTCGATCTTGCTCTCTACCTTCACTCTCACCACCAAGGCCTTGAGAGCCTGCACGACGGGCCATCTCGACTATGGGGTACAACGTGGCAGCATGCACGGCCATGGGGGTCATGTTCCCTGTTCTTGGCGCGATAGTGCTGGCTGTGCGAACGCATGTACGATGGGCGTATACGAAGCGTATGGAGATTGATGATATCCTCATAATACCGGCATTCGTAAGTCCATTGCTGGCAGTGATATGTTGGGCGTTGTCTGACCACCTCAAAGCTTCTCATAATTGCTGGCGGCGTTGCTTTCATCTATGGTACGCGACGAAAATTGTGCAGATTTGTACATTTTTCGGTCTCTAACCTCTGGTCCTAGGAGCACAAACCGGCATCATTGGAGGCCACTCGATACCACTCACAACTACAGAATATAGCAAGCTCAACAAGGTCCGTGCGACTCCTCTGCTCAGCTAGGCCCTCACTGATCTGAGACTCTGCAGTTCGAATGGGCTTTCTGGAATGGCCATACCGTTACCATCTGCTTCGTCAAGCTATCGATTCTGTTCTTCTTCCGCCGACTTTTCCGAGGCAAAGGAAAGAGGACCGCGTTCGACATCGCAAACTGGTCCTTGATTGTGTTCATTCCAATATGGGGTGTTGTTTTCCTCTTCGCCCAATTCTTCGTCTGCGGCCTGCACCCTGAGGCCCTATGGACCACGCACTTCTGGGATGCGAACGCTTGCATCAACAGCTTCGCTATGAACCTTGCTGCGTCAGTGTTCAACTGGATTGTCGATTTGTGTATCTTGATCGAACCACTGGTCATGGTATGTTGACTCACTGGGAGAGAATTCAAGGCTGGCTCGGGTCGGCTAACGTGGAGAAAGATCCAACGACTTCAACTTGTGAACGCTCGACAGAGGTTGCAAGCAAGTGCAGTCTTCTCGCTCAGTCTCCTGTAAGTGGATCAGAAGTGTTAGGCATACATCCTTCAGGTAGGCTGACAGATCGACAGTGCCGTGGTTGCAGGTCTCCTGAGAATGATCACCTGGGCAGAATTGAACAGAGATGGCCACACTGCTACAGTCTATGAAATGCTTGGTGTCAAGTATCCCGTCGAGGACTTGGAAGGTATGAATTACTCGCACCGCATGTCTTGTCTGCTTCGCTGACCGTCTCCAGGTATCATCACCCCTATGCTCTTCTGGAGCTACGTCGAGATGGGCGTTGGATTCCTAGTCGCCTGCGTGCTTCCATCAGCCCGGATCTTCGACTCTATCATGTCTTCCAAAACCGTCCAGAAGATCCGCATGCACCTTCTACGGAAGACTTCATCGAGTTCTGAGATGGAACGTACGGGATCGGAAACGAACTTTGTGTACAAGACCAAGAGCAGTTCTGAAGGTTCTTACAGTGAGCCTGGTGACCGCTCGGGGACGAATGAGTTGCAGCAGTATGATCGCGAGATGGCCGTTATTGATAGTCTAGGTTGATGAGAGAAAAGCAATTACCACGTCGGGGAAAGCCTTCTTCAGAACGCCACAGTTACCACAGCGTTTCTGTGTTTTCACAGCAATGCTGCCAATCTCGCTCCATGCAACAAAAACCACGCCAGCAGATGCACGATACATCGAATGCGTTGTCAGGAACTTTTGAAATCGATGCCTTGTGGCCCGAACGGGCTCAGCGCCTTAATTACGACTATGACCCTGCCAACGATACTCTTCAGGACTGTCTCGTTGCAACAAAAAAAGAAAGGCAATCTCGGCCATGTCTGAGCAAACCAAGCTGCCAATACGAATGGCGTTAATCAAATACCGATGCGCTACAACAGATCCAAATCCCAGCTGTCCGTCTTGACTTCTCCGAGTGTACAGCGAGCGAATGGTGTTGTTGAAGTTCAATAATAACCAGGCCCAAATCGCAAATGTGTATCCCCAACTGCTCAATAAAAGTCCTGGAAACGCATTGAGCTCTTCAACCCGAGGAACGATTGGATGCTAGTAGGGCAAGCGAGTCAGCAAGTGTGTTCCAATGACTTGGCCAAAAGGAGGTCAGCCACGCACCATCAATCCTGTGACGATTCCCTCAACTGCAGAAACAGGTTTAAGTTCGTAAAGAAAAGTCCTATGCTCAAAAGTCCCACACAAAGGCCCAGTCGCCGAACGCTACGCCGGAGGTATGTAGTTTCGATTCGGGATTTCTCTGCCTCCAACTGTCGACTGAGAGTGACGGCAATGTCCACGGCGGGACGAGCGTCCGTGGCGTCTGTAGCCCATCGAACTGTATCCTGGTGGACTTTCACCATTTCTTCCGATCTTCCCCAGGTTGCCGACGTGTTCTGCAGGAATTTGTTGTATTCCTCGTTGTGCAAGAGGAGTTCGAACAATAGTGCCTTGTCCTTGGGATTCGCCATTGAACGCAAGCGGTTGTGTCGAAGTTGTTGGATGGAGAAGTGGTGGAGCCGTGAGCTGCTGGGAGGGTTCTCTGGAAGTCTGGATCACTTCGGGTTAGGTTGCAGGATGACTCGATGGTGTGTTGATACGGCGTCCTTGTTGTAATGCTTTTCACAATGGTACTCGTTGATTGATGAAAGCTGCGCGGTGTGATGTGTATAATGCAGTGTTTTGAAGAGTAGGTTGCTGCTCGAGAAATGGACAGAAGTGCCTGCTCTATGTCAGGTGGCAGGCACCATCATGCTCGCCTTCCAAAATCGATACGCTTCGTTATCGAGGCAAGCGCGAGCGACTAACCGCGTATCGCTGTTGCATGCGACTGAGCCACCACAGTGTCAAATTCACGCATCGCCCTTCTTGCTCAACCTTCCCCGCGACCGTCTACTTCCACTCTCGACATTCACTTGCAACGCGAATCACATGCAAATCTTGGCGTCGTGACGTCACTAGTGTGTCGTCGCAAACTTTCTAAAACTGTCTCCGCTTAGCGGCCAGCTTCACTTCACCAGCAAGACATCTCACCAAAACGCACTTTCGGCAAAAAGGTAGACGACGCAGACTTCAACTATTGAAACTGAATGACTGACGCACATCCCACAGACTGCCCACCATGCCGACGAAGATCCAGCAAATCGTCGCTATGTTGGACGGTCTCGACAACTGCGAACTCGAAAGCATCAGAAGCGCCGCCAATCAAGTGATCGAGAGTCGCCCAGGCACGAGTTGCAAGCTCCTCAGCATTCCCGCCGAAATTCGGAACTTCATTTACCACTTTGTCGCCAGAGGCTACCTCGACAGCTACGGCTCCTATGAACATGAAGGAGGTCGGTGCGGATTGTTCCGTGCGAACAAGCAGCTCCGAGTCGAGTTTATGGACATATGTTACGACAAAAAGACGGTCGGCAGAATTCAGCTTGCCTCAGCCGAGTTGGACAGCTACCGTCGTGTGAAGAAGATGTCGTGGGTACCTGTCCGTGGCGAAAAGATCAAGAAATTAATTCTTGACGGTGGAGAGCGTATAACTATCTTTCCGTTCGACAACTTCAAAGGCGCCACGGACTGGGCAGAGCGTACAATTGAGGTAGATGATTGGTGTGTCGCCGAGGGTGACATATCGAATCAGGAGGCTAGGATCGTCGGAATACACAGTAACGACGATGGAAATGACGGTGAGGGCCTGAGAAAGCATGCAGTCTTCGCCATCAAGAAGACGGTGATTCGCGAGGAGGGATTGGAGGATGAGCTGCCAGTCTTCGACGACGGGACCAAGTTGATCTGATACGTCCAAACCAACTCAGGATCGGCGGACCGTGGAGGCGCCTGGCCTGCGGCAACATCATCAAAACAAACATCAAGTCTTCTGATGAGAGCAGGGAGGATCGACGGGTCGCCATCGGCTTGAGGCGAGACCGTGGGGGGATTCTGATGAGTTTACAAGAGGAGTTGAACCTCGAAATGGGAGGGATAGGAGTAGTTTGCTTGTTGTTTCAAGTTAGCATCAGAAGGCAAAAAGGCATATAAAGGGTGTCTGAATTTCTTATGAAGCCGCAATAAGTCAGTCTCAACTTCAGTTCGCTCCTTCCATTTTCGTCGTTTGCACATGCTGAAGCTTGGCGCCAGGCATCCAGCTGTAAGTTTTCACTGCAAACTTCCAACTTTCTTCACCATAACAACAACTGATCACCACCCACATCCACACATTGGCAGCGAGTGACTGCTAGGTACGATAAATTCTACATCCTGCTCACCTGCATCCATACTGACATCCACCAGCCACCCACCACCATGCCCACCAAACTCGAGCAGGTGGTAGCCCACGTAGGCACCTTGAGCAAACTCGAGCTTGATAGCATCATTGCGGTTGCTCAAGCACACAAAGAGCGACTGCCAGACACCACCAAGTGCTACCTGCTCGACCTGCCAGCAGAGCTCCGCAACATCATCTACTACTACGCCGCCATCACGCACCTGCGCGAGTTCGGCAACACCTTGCGCTGTGGTCTCCTCGTTGTGAACAAGAAGGCCGCATCGAGTTCATGGACATCATGTACAGCAAGCAGGTTGCTGTCCTGCGCTACGATACGGGAGATTCAGACACGAGCGACATGCACGTAAACACGAGAAACACGGCCAACAAGAGAAAAACGGCCAACAAGAAGTCGCTCAAGAAGCTTCTGGACGGTCTCGAGGGAATCACAAAGATCCAAGGCTTTCAGTTCATGCCACGCTGCTGGGTGGATGGCAAGGTCGTGAGGATCTCTCGTGATGTGTACGTTTCCCCCGACCAGGAACGTTTCCATGTCCTCGGAACCCTGAAGCTCGTTACCGGTAAACGTGATCGCGAAGTGTCGTTCGGCTGCTGGATGCATGAGGCGAAGCAGTATGGGTTGGACTACGAGATTCCGGAGGATTACCCGGCGGAGTTGCTGAACGGCTATGATGACGAGGAGGAGGACTTGGTGTGAGTGGCAACTACAAGAGTATCCCCGTCTCAGGACGACAGGAAACGATGCGACAGCAGGAAAACAGAGCTTGGTAACAAGTAAAAGAAATGAGAACAGAAACGGAAATGCAGTGTCTTTCCCAATGAATCCTTTTCCCCTTTCTCCTGCCCCCCATCCAGGTTCGACGTCCATCTCCCACAACATACCCCAAAACCTTACAACTCGTGCTTAGCTTCGTGGTGAGCCTGTGTGAAGTCGTTGAGGATGATAGAAGAGTGTGGCTCCTGATCTTGTGCGTGGTATCAAGCTCTACTGTGCCAAACGAAAATGCCACCTCTTTCCGCGCACCCTTTCTCTCGTTTCACAGAAACCATCCATCGAATAAGCATCTCACCTCGACCATCACCATACCGGGCTAGCCTCCAACAACCTCGCCGCAAGGAGAGAACAGACCGCGACGTGAACAGGCGCTTGCAACGACACCTATCACCTCCACCTCCAACAACAGCCATAGACAGAAACACAGCCTCCCTTCCATGAAAGACTCCCTTCTTCCTACTCCCTTCACCGATCACAAACGAACCTCTTCTCCAGCGCAAGATCCCCAAACCACGCAACCAACCCCCAACCACCGCTGTAGATCTCGATAATGGAACCTTGTCCCCAACCACACCTTCACCACCGACCGTCGTCCCCGTGGCCGAGCGTGCTTTTCGGGATCATGTAAACGATTCTGCGCGGTGCCGTCTACTGCCGTGTAAGATGCAAGAGCACGTGAGATGAGAATTAGGAGAGAAACAGGACCGGTAAAGAAGTTGGAACAAAAGAAGAAGAAAGAAGAAGACGAGACAGAGCTCCACGAGTAATAGCGAACAAGAAGAAACAAAACCAAAACGGGACTCCTCTCGACACACAGTCTCCAATTCCGATTCCAATTCAATCGTCCTCTCAGGTACCTACCACTCTCGCCTCCGCTCCAGCACACCAACTAAATTCCAAGAAAACCCCCCACTCATAATCCCAGGTATAATACAATCAATACACACTTTCGCCCACAGCGCCACGCCAAAACAACAAACAGCAGTCATCGAATAAAACACACCAATTGGTCATGACTTCATACCGGAGGAGGAGCAAAATCGCGCAAAGCCAGCACGCGGCTTCCAACAAGCACATCAACAGCAACAACAAGGTTTCGTTTCGTCCGTGAGAGATTTTCTGTACTCGCCCCCATGACTCCATGCTACACTTTCGGAAACCCGCATCTGTATCGTCTTTTGCTTTTTTCGTTCTTCGTTTTCGCTTTCGAGGGTATCGTACAATCAACTTTTTCGTTTCGACATTTACAACACGGCCCACTCGAGCACCTCGAGCGCCATGAGGACCAGCAGCAGTGTGCTGGGGAAGATGACCACGACGTAGCTCGCTACCAGCAGGCTCGACATGGCTCCCATGAAGACGTTGTTGATCTGGCAGATCTGGGCGAGTTGCAAGGCCGACGGGGCGCCAGTGAGCAAGAAGCAGACGATGATGAAGATCGGGTCGCCGAGGATCGAGACTGGAACGTACTTGGCCGTCAGTGCCAGGATCGGAGCCATGATGATGACGGGGATGACCATGCGACTGAGCAAGGAGGCGTAGAGGAGTCTGCGCTCTTCCTTCTTCTCTTCCTTCGACGTGGCGAGCTGCTCTTGTGGGATCGTCGAACGAGCCAAGTTGGCGCCGAGAACAACCAGAATAAGGGGGACAGCTACGCCTCCGGTCTGTGAGATGGCGCGAGTGACGGAGTTGTTGATGAGTGTGCCCTTCGTGAAGAAGAGCTTTTGCAAGTCAGGGATGCTGGCAACAATCAAAGCTGCAAGCATTGCCCAAAGGGGAGGGTTCATCTGTCGCCACACGCCAGCCCAGAACACGCAGTTGTAGTAATGAAGGAAGGACAACACCCGCTGAACAGGATGGGGCAGCTTGCGGAAGATGTTGTTGAAGAACGTGCTGAGAGTGGACTGGACTCGTCTGCCTGCACGCACCGCCGAATTGCCCACGCGATATAAAGGCTTCTTCCAAGACGCCGCGGTGGAGCTGTCGCTGGAACGCTTCGAGAGGCTGCGAGAGAAGTTAGGGAAGACGGTCATTTGATCGCTCGTGTCGCTGGCCGCATCATCGTCACGTCCGATCAGGTGTCGTGGCTCGGTGCTGATGTCGTTGCCGTTGGCGGGCGCTGCTGGTACAACTTCTGGAATCTGTGGCGGGCTTTCACTCCCAGCTGGTGTCTGTGAGCCAGAGCTGAAGCCAGAATCATGTCCACTTCTCTTGACCGGCTTTCCACGCTCATCAAGCTCTGGATGATCGGTATACGGGCCTTCTTCGATACTGCGGTTCTCTTCGGCGGCTTCTCTTCTCTCATCTTCCTCGTACGCGGATGCTGGCTTGAGCAACACGCTATAACCCCATGTCCAGCGCAGCAGTTGTCCCAATTGCTGGAAGATCAGCAAGTACAAGATACCTCTTGCTGCCACTTCATCGTCGTTATCACCTGGCACCTGATCCCAATGCAAGCCACTAATAGTTTTGCTTAAGCTCAAGACCAAGGAGATGGGTAGCGAGTTCGAGTTGCCAAACACACCCATCGCCAGGACGAAGTTCTTCTGCATCTTCTTGCTCTTTCCGCCAAAGCCAAACACCTTTGCCATTGCCTGCGCACTAAGCCAAGAGACCAAAGTCTGAGCAAGGAAGATGAATGGGATGACGACCAGATCGGCGAGCTTGTCCGCGTTGAGTTGACCCGCCAGTTTCGTGAAGATGAGGCATGGTGTGAAGACCATGGTGTTGAGTTCGGCGACGAACTTTTGGCTGTTGGCGTCGAACATGCCATTGATGGCGACGAGAAAGCCGGGCAGGGCGACAAAGACAACCTCTAGCACGGCTTCGGATACCAGGCCTGCCAAATGGCCAAAGTTTGGATGTGACTCGTGTGCTAGGGCGTCCATTGTGCTGTTGGTGACAGCGTCCCAGATAGGGAAATGCGAATCGAGTGAGGTTTGTGATAATAAGGCTCGTTTTTGTGGGAAGGCGGCGAGAGCCAGGTTGGAGAGTTCGCGTATGCGAAACGATTGCGGTCGGTCGAACATTGTGAAAGGATCGCGCGACGGCGAGGTCGCTGCGGCGGAGGTGGGTTATTCGTCGAAGGAGGGTCGAATGTCGTGATTGTAGCCGTGAATACCGATAGCCGAATTCGCGAGTCGATGCTGGCAATTTGCTTGCCGTCGCCGAGCAGGACAAACAACACGTTCGGAGGTGGAGTTGATCGTACGAGACCTGAGGCAGCGCTTCCTGGCGAGACCAGGATATCGAGGTCGAGACCGGGAGGTCGGGGGCGAAGGAATAGGGAGCAGCGGAAGGAGTGGATGGGGTGGGCGTCAATCGGAATAAAGGGGAGGGCAGCGGGACAAGACTGTGGTGTCTTGGTATCGCATCAGCCAAGCTGCGCTGGGCAACCATGCAAACAAGAAGCGTGAAGAGGTGGATGAGTTTTGGCGAAAGTTGGCAAGGCACCAAGGTTACCTGATTGACTAGCCCCAACAAGAGCCACGCTGGCGGGATCAGCGGAGAGTGTGGCGTGGCGTGGCGAATCGTGTGGGAAGTTTGCGACTGGCAGCGACGAGCCGAACCCGGCCAGCCTTTCTCAACCACTGCGCATCCCACGGTGACCTTGCTACGAACCAACTGTACTGCTTGCAGCATTCAATACGTTCAAATACTTGTTCATGATACCACATACATACCATACTAAAGAATAACGAACATTGACTCCACGCCGCCGCATCCCCACCTGTCTGCGTGCGCATCGCGATCCCGCAGGTTCTGAGAGTTGCGCCAGATCGATATCATCGCAGCGTCATGGCCTGGCGCGTCATCCTCTCTTCTATCTCTGCACCTCCACCGACGTGCTCTGTCTCAGGAGGCGCTGCCAAGAACAAGTTATCTGTTCAGCCTTTAGTTCTCTCTGCCGTAGCTGTGACTGCCCTGTTTTCCTGTCGTCCTGCCTGTCCTTGAATCGTTGCCAACTGTTGTCACGCCAGCACCACGTGCAAGTACCTGCTACTCTGCTATAGACTTTCGGCTTACGAACCACCGTTCCTGCGCGCGACAGGCCTGGATCGTGCAACCGGCGCCTTCTTCCTCGAGCCAGAGAATCCAGACCAATTGGACTTCTCACCACGCCAGCGCTGGCGACGACGACGTGTTCTTTCAACCACCCCTCCACGCATTCTCCTGGACCACCCACACTCTGCTCGCCGCCCGCAGAGAACCTGGCATTCTGCACTCGCATGCGCCTCCCGCGGACGCTCGCTTAGCGCCCTCGCTCCAAACCTAGAATCGCCCGCCCCAGCACCGCCACACTTACCACCACCACCATCACGATCCGCATCCGCCAGCGTCGCACGTGGAAAGCAGCCCAACTGCACCTATACCGCCGCCACTGGACTTGGACACTGCCTAAGCCGCGGAATACGCCCAATTCGACCGCTGCCCGCTTCCCTACGCTACCTGCTGCATCCCGCCGTCCCTGGGGCGTGAAGCCCGCCGCTCCGCTGCCATGGCCGACTCCAACGAAGACCCAACCAGTCCCCTCGACAGTCCGTCGCCGCCCACTTCCCCGGAAGACACCGGAGCCTCGCCCCTCAGCAGCCCGCCTTTATCTCGACTGCATGCCTCGCGAGGGAGTTCTGACATGAGTGTGCCTTCCAGCATGTCCAACATGACTGCCTCTTCCACCCCGCGCGGCACCCTCGATGCTGCGCGGCGGCCTCCAGGTGCACCCATGGCCTCAAGAGGGGGACCCCCACAGATGAACCCAGATATTGCTGCGAAAATGAAGGCATTTTCTCTATCCAGAGCAGGGCCACCGACGCCGCAGCCCAACAGAAACCCCATAAGCCCTGCTGCTCAGTCTCCAGGTCCTGCGGTGGGAGGCTTTCCTTCTAACTTCAAGCTTCCTCCTCAACTGCAACGACCGACTCCTCAATCCGCTAACTCTTCACCGGCTATTCCCGGAGGTAATGTCCCTAGGAAAGGCATGTCCCTCGCGGAGAAGCGTGGATTGAAGCTGCCCGGTGGACTGCCAGGCGCGGCACCTCCAGCAACCACAGGAGCGGCTCCACCTCCAGGCCGACAAAAGCCTAAGATGACTTTGTCACAAATGAGTGGTGGACCGACAAATGGGGACACCAATGGAGGAGAGCGGAAAGAACAGTCGGCGATGGACAAGTATGCCGACTTGATTGATACCAAGACGGGGGCTTTGAAATTCAAGGGCAAAGCTGTTGTACATGGCGAGGGTATCGACTTCACGTCCGGCAAGAGCTTCAGCATTAGTCTGGATGAGGTGGACACGCTGGACGAGCTTGGAAAGGGAAACTACGGCACTGTATACAAGGTCAGGCATTCTCGACCCAAGTTCCGAAGACAAGGTCAAGGTCTGGCTGGAAACAAGGCTCGAGGTCCGCTGGCCGACAAAGAAGACGACACAAGCCCGCAGTCACCGACAAGAAACTCAGACCCAGTGCAGACTCCAACAAGTACGACAAGTGCGCAAGCATACGGTCGAGGTGGCACCACTGGAATAGTCATGGCTATGAAGGAGATGCGCCTGGAGCTGGACGATGCCAAGTTCCAGTCTATCATAATGGAGCTCGACATCCTCCATCGATGCATATCACCCTACATTATCGATTTCTACGGCGCATTCTTCCAGGAAGGAGCAGTGTACATCTGCATGGAGTTTATGGATGGAGGCAGCTGCGACAAGCTGTATGGAGACGGGATTCCCGAGAACGTGCTGAGAAAGATCACCTACTCGACAACTCTCGGGCTCAAATCACTAAAGGAGGAACACAACATCATTCATCGAGACGTCAAGCCTACGAACATCCTTGTCAACACAAGAGGGCAAGTCAAGATTTGTGACTTTGGTGTCTCCGGCAACCTGGTCGCCAGCATAGCCAAGACCAACATTGGCTGTCAATCATACATGGCCCCCGAGCGAATATCGAGCGGTGGTCCACAGCAAGCAGGAGGCGCAGCCGTGGGAACCTACAGCGTCCAGTCCGACATATGGTCGCTCGGCCTGACTATCATCGAATGCGCATTGGGAAGATATCCCTACCCACCCGAAACCTACGACAACATCTTCTCCCAACTGGCCGTAAGTTACAAGGCGTCGTAATGGTACTCGTAATCATACACTGACAGACTTTCCAGGCCATCGTCGACGGAGACCCACCCGATCTTCCTGCCGAGACGTTCTCAGAAGCCGCACGTGACTTCGTCGCGGGCTGTCTGAACAAGATCCCCAAACTCCGCCCAACCTACCCTATGCTCCTCCAACACGCCTGGCTCGCACCGCTCGACAAGCCCGAAACGATCGCAGAAGAAGACGAAGAAGCTGCGGAGGCCGCAGCTGAAGCAGAAGCCAACGGCGAGCCTGTCCCATCAGAACCGCAACCCATCGAAAACCAAGGCAACTTCATCGACCGCGAGGTCGGCGAATGGGTCATCGACGCCATCGACCGCCGGAAAAAGGGCACCATGGGCAAGAGCGCCAAGCCGGCCCTGCACGCCGCGCCGCTCGACGCCGTGGGTAGTCCTCAGGCGGAGAAGCCGACGGCTGGTGCTGTGGCTGTTTGAGGCCGTTGTTTGTTTGTTGTAGATGTTTGTTGTACAAGCGGGTCTGTTGTTTTCTTTACTTCATTATCCTATGGCGAGCACACAAACACGAATATGAAGATGCAGATGAAGATGCAGAAAAAGCGGAAAACGATTGCGCTGGTTTCGCGAGATGAGTACGCTTCTTCCTTCCTTTTTTATGAAGTATGGAGTGGGGAATGGTGATGGGAAGGGGTAAGGGGGGGG